AACAAGTGTAAATTGAATAGATCTATTGTTACGAATAACAATGGATTTTGACCACAGGGTGTGAGGAGCGGGGTTTCTGGAAACCCCTCTTCTACATCCCGAAAACACAGTCCATTGTTATTCATAACAACAGAAAATGTTTTTTTTAATAGCATGATCATAACAGAATACTAATAGTGTTCACTACAAGTTGTTTCAAGAAATATAAAAAAAACATATTTCAGGAAATTCCAATAGCGAATATAATATGTAACATCTATTTTGAATAAAAAAAATCATTTAAATACTCCTTTGTTTGAAGCTTAAATTTTAATCCCATATGGCAATGTCTTAAAGAACATACATGTAAAGAACTTTTATTTGAATTATACATTAAAAACATATAGTTTTCATTCGGACTAAGTCTTAATTATAAAATAAATATTAATAGATATAAGAAGATGTGATATGAGTGCCAATGAGACAACTCTCCATCCAAGTCAACATTTATAAAAGTAAACCATTATAGGTCAAAGTACGGTCTTCAACACGGAGCCTTAGCTCACACCGAACAGCAAGCACGCAAACAAATAAATTTGATCTATGATACAATGTAAATACAAAATAAATAAACTAAGGGAAGAATAATAAAATTAACATGTTATACCGCTGTGAAATGTTAAACAATTTAAGAAAAACAATATGCTTGAACAAAAATATCAGCCTTTTGCAATTACTTTAAACACAGGTAAATGAAAATAATTTTGTTGTTAGGTATATGTGTACAGTTCAAATAGAGAAAGGAAATATTTTTACAGAATAAATAACTTTGATGTTCATAGTACGCAAAAGTGAAAATTTATGGTAATACCAAACACTTATCAAAGCTGGTATATAGACCAGATTTAACCCTGAATAACATTAAATAACAAAAAGGCATTACAATTAGTATCAACAGGTCAAATATACGAGAAAGTACGATTTGAGAGTACTCGAGTTACTGACAGCTAGTTAAAAGCCAAAAACAATTAATAATAAAAAAATCAAGCATCAGAGACTAAAATCGACTAAAACACATCCAAGGGATTTAGTATTTTAACGTCATGGACAGCCAAAGAAGACATGACTTGTGCAATGCCAAAAATAAATGTATCGACAGGCAGTAGGATAGTGAGGAGTTAACCTCTTTATAGATCAAAATGAACGTGGGTGTGTCTTTATACATCCCTTTTGAAAAGAATACAAACTTTTAGGTCCTCAATGCTCTTCAACATTGTGCTCTATTTGGCCTTTTAAACATATTTTGATTCGAGAGTCACTGATGAGTCTTTTATAGACGAAACGCGCGTCTGGCCTAAATATAAAAGGTTGATCCTGGTATCTATGACGAGTTTATTAGTTATGTTTTAATTTGCCGATGACAAAATCGATATAAGTGCCAATGTAAACTATATTTAAAGATCTAATTACAGCATTGGTAAGATAACCTTTACTAATAAGTTTGTTTAAAGGTTCGATGAGTTTACACGGATCACATAGTGATTTCCGCGCTTAAAGTACAATATTACCGTAAAATTTAGGATGTGAAATACCGTTTTTAATCAGTTTTCTACAGGTACAGCCAAATTTACTAATCAAATCTTGGTATTTATGAAAGAATTTAGGAAAAGTTTTACGTAATTTATAACGAAATCCCTGACTTAATAATTTACCATTGATGCATTGATTACGTTCGTTAAAATCTATGACATCACTACACACACGGGCATAACGAACGAGTTGGGATATATAAATACCATATGATGGAGCCAAAGGAACATCGCCGTCTAAAAACGGAAAATTAACAATAGGGAATGAAAAGTCGTCTCTTTTGTCGTAAATTTTAGTATGGAGTTTTCCTTTAGAGATTGAAATGTCCAAATCTAGAAAAGGACAACTACTGCTGTTTATGTTAGATTTAGTTAAAGTAAGTTCTTTTGGGTAAATTTCGGTAGTATATTTAGAGAACTCTGGATTATTTAACAAAAAAATATCATCTAGATAACAGAATGTTTGGATTCTTGCAGATTAATGTTGGCACCCAGGGGCGGATCCAGCCATTTTAAAAGGGGGTCCCAACCCAGGATGAATTAGGGGGGTTCCAGTCCTATGCCTCCATTCTAAAGTATTGATCGTAAAAAAGGGGGTTCCAACCCCCGGACCCCCCCCTACCCACCTGGATGGCCCCAAAAAGGGGGGTTCCTACATATGCAATCTGTATTTTTGTATGTTAAGCATGTCCGTCGTCGGGTTTCTAATCCAGACACACATACCCATCAGTATGTTCGAATATGAATGATTGTTTAATGTTGAGAAGAGGGAGGGGGGCTTTTTTTTTATAAAACCGTTACATGTAAAATACATTTATGATTACCTTCATTAAGCTGATACATGTATATGTACTCTCCGTTATAAATATTGCCTTTATCTTTAGTCTCTTCTACCAAATCCAACGCCTGACTCAAAATGACGTCCGTCTCAGTATACCCGTCCATATTGACAACTGCATACAAAAGCATGATGTATATTTTTGGTAATAAGAATGCACGATACGGTCAACCTTGACCTGCTGATCCATATTAGCACATGGATTTTACGGGAATATGCAAAACGGCAACTTTGACATTTGTAAAATCTACTTACTTGTCAAATTTTTAATGAAGAGCGTCAAAGTAAGGTTACTAGTGGGGTTTCATCTAAACAAGTATTTTTTTTCTTATTAATCATGGTTTGATATTGTCAATAAAACTGCTTTCCGTTCTTTTTCATTTAATATTCAATGTAAACAAATATAGGGTTTAGCATCGGGTGTATGTTAGTTATACACTTCGGGATATGGCGTGTCTGGATAAGAAACCCCTCCGGCCTCCGGCCATCTGGTTTCTTATCCAGACACACTTATCCCTCAGTGTATAACTATTACTGATAATATGAGTGATGTGAGGTGTTCATGACTGACGGACAGGGTTCATCTGACCTCAGCTTCATTTTTCATGGTTCATCGGTGGAACTTAAATTTTTTCACGATAAGACCACTTTCCCAGATACAAAGAGTAAATTGGCCAACAATATGTAATCTGTAGAATCAATAAGGTGTACTGGGTACTTTCTTTCCTTCTGACAAGATTCATCTGACCTTGACCTTATTTTCATGGTTCATCAGTAGGACCAGAGACATATATACACATATGTGTATATATGTCTCTGGTAGGACTTAAGGTTTCTTAGATAAAAAGGGAAAATGGTAGGTCAGTTTTAAGTTCTATGAGTAAAACTAAATTTGGCGTATAGAATAATTAAGGTTTAAAAGATTTCCTGGCAGGATTCATCTGACCTTGAAATAATTTTAATGGGTTCATCGGTTGACATTTAGTTTTCATATTAAGGTCATTTTCTCAGTCACTATCAATAAAAGGTCAACTATATTTGATTGTTAGGTTTACAGAACGGACAGGGATCATCTGAACTCATTCTCATTATTTATTGGTCAACAAGGTTTTATCTGATTAGATGTGTTTCTTATATACAAAGATTAATAAGTCAACTTTATTTGATATGTAGAATGACCACCGATTGTATTTCACTGACATTTCCATAGAGCCTTTGTTTTATAATGCCATTGTGCATCTTTTTATCCAAATTATTTTGGGTCTCCCTCATGTATGTCTATAAAGAAATACTTCCAACAGATCATTGATATTTGGTATGCTGTTGCATTAGCAGGCTTTTAACTTGCCTGCTTATTGACTTATCATTAGAGGTTCCCTTGAAACTAACCTAAACACAAACTTTAACATGTAAACTATGCAAAACATTCAAAGTCATTAGAGCATGACAGAAGAGGACAGGGTAAAAAAGATCTCCATGCATACTAAATATCTTTGACACATACCACAAGTGGTTCCCCTAAAACTGACCAAATCAGAAACTAAATTAAAACCGTACTAAATAATATTGTTATACAAATATGCACAAGCACGATACTACAATCTGTCGATACCAATAGTTTGGCATAGCACAAGGTCATGTTTTTCTGACTGTAAATGACGCCTTTATACTAAATCCATTGGATGTTGAATGTGTATATACTGGTTTTTTAGTCTTAGATACATGATTTTTTTTTATCAATTGTTATTGGCTTTGAACTAGCTGTCAGTAACTGTGAGTCCTCTCAGATCTGTACTTTGTGTCTTTTTTGTTGTTAGGATGTATAAATGCCCTGCCATGTCTGGTCTGTGATTTTGTTAAATGTTTTTCTGCTTTGTATCGATCTGACGAGTTAAGCCCTTTTCAACTGATATTTATAGTTTGTTTTTGTGTTGTGCTGTAACAACACTGTCCCAGTTTAGGGGAGGGTTGAGCACTCATAAACATGTTTAACCCGCCACATTCTTTATGTGCCTGTCCCAAAGTCAGGAGCCTGTAGTTCAGTGGTTGTCCTTGATTCATGTCGGTCATATTTTTCTTGTTTTTCTTCAATTGTTTTTTTTATAAATTAGGCCGTTAATTTTCTCAATTTCATATTTTTCATGTCGGGGCCTTTTATAGCAGACTATACGGTGTTTTTCTCATTGTTGAAGGCCATACATTTGCCTATAATTGCTTACATCCACATCATTTGAACTTTAGTGGATTATTGTCTCATTGGCAATCATACCATATCTCCTTATTTTTATATAATACATCAAAACTAAGCAAAAGTTTCAAAGTCAATGAACAATGACTGAGGGGGTTGCCCAAATAATCTTCTTGGAAATGAGATGTGCCAATGCCAATTCAACTGCATACCAAATATCATTGACCTACAACTAGTGGTTCCCCATAAACTGACCTAATCAGAAACTAATGCATTGTTGATGCCACATCCGCAAACAGCACATCTTAGTCTCGCTTTTTACACTTTGTCAAGGTGAGACAAAAACTTTTCTAGCATTTTATAAGCAGACCCTTAATGGAAAACACAATTGAAAATGAACTACAAAATGAGTATAAATTTATTAAAAAAATATCTGTATTAATAACAACAAATGAATATCAATAGAACGATTTAACAAAGACATTATATCTTTTCCATAAAAAGAGATCAGTCTGTAACAGATTTTGATTGTTCATACCACGTATTCTGTGAAGAATATAACATTTTCAACAATATAACAGCCATCATCAACAAGCCTGTTTCATATTCTTTTTTATTGTCATTTAAACTCGAAATTTCCTATGTATACATGTGAAGTATGACTTATTGATTCATTTGAAATATAACATACAAGAGATATAAAATGACTGCATTTAATCATACAGTATTATAATAAAAAAGGAATGAATTTAAAACAAAAATAATGTTTGAATCTTATTGGAATGTTTGAAAATGCTAAATATAAAAAGAAACATGGATATGTTAAAATGAAATGCAATAAGTACTGGTAAATAAAAAAATAAAAAAAATATATAATTGTAAATGTATATAAAAAATGTTTGATAATATATAATTTTATCAATTATGTGTTACATATATAAGATGTATTATCCTATACTTACATACATCATTTAACTATGATTGCTATACAATAACTAAATATATATATTTACATACATAACATATCATAACACAGAAATTAATCCATCTTTCTGACCTTAATTTGGTTCAATGAATGGTTTACTCCAAAAATAAATTTTTCAAAAACAAAACAAACAAAACAATACATCTAAAAAATTTAAAAATTGTACACAAAGGGTAAAAATATAAACAAAATAATTTCTTTTTTGATTAAATTTAAGAAAACAAATAAAACAAGGACATATTTTTATTTCATTAAGTTTGTAAAAAGTAAAATAAATGGAAAACTTTAATAAATTTTGAACATGGCCAGTTCAAGATGGAATCATTCTGAACAGCAATCTGAACATTCTTCTCCATGCACAATCATTCATGTATTCATCCACTACTAGATGCCACATTTAGAAATAAAAGTGTCTTTCATTCAAAGAATCTTGCAAACTGCTGTTCAACAGCTTCTATCTGAAACTGTCTTATGAGATTACTGGGTGGTATCTATATACACATCTCCTGAACGATCAACAGTACGGTAAACACTGCTGCCGCCATTGGTTGTTTGGTACACATCACCACCTGATACAACTCTTTCCTCGAGGACAACCTGCTCTGGTTTTCTAGATTTCTTCCTTCTCCTTCTTCGTTCCTCATCGTAATCAGGCATATACTCTACAGCTGGAAGGTACTGGGTCTGTGCCATTCTTGGAGATTCATATTGCCTAAAATACATTAATATTTACAGGTTATGTTATATTTGTTTGGTGATAATTAAACCCTCAATATGAAAGCAGCTAGCATCAAAGAAAACAGATTTATAAGTAATATTTCAAATGTATATGCCAGATGTCTTGGAAAATTTCTAAATAAACACATGAAAACACCTTTGTTGTTCAAAAAAAAAAAGAAGTAAAGGAAATTTTACCCATAAACCTTTTTTCCAAGGTTAAATTGATTGCCTCTCTTCATGCACCTGTACGTATGCATTTTGCTAAGTAAAGAAAACTTCTTAAATCTCCTGAAAGTCTTGATCAACAGTTATTCTAATTTTATTTGATGGGTATATTTTGTTGAAATACAAAGACTGATAAATGTGATACTTACAAATATTGTGGCTCTTGTTGTACATATTCAATAGTCCTGCAAAATAATAGGCACAACTTAGAAATACTAAATTTGGAGGTCTCTAAACTGTTGATTCCAATGGGTTTAAGTGCATTGATTTGGAGTATCCAATAAACCTCTTGTTTACTTCTTAAAGGACATCAGACCTTGGGTCATTTAGATCATTCGAGAGAACTTTGATGATTTCAAAAGACATATGGTGAATGTTGTGTCCTGGCACTACTTAATCTTCCCATTACATTTCATTCAAATAACATAATAAAAGAACATTGTTGTGTATCAGTAAAATTTCTGATATAAAATCATACAATCATATAAAAAATATTCCAATAATCCAAATGTAATTCTTTTTATACATGTATTGTGAACCTAGTAGGCAATTTTTCTATTTTAGTTTTGACTAATATGTATATTGGCTCCTGTTTGCTAAACACCTAAACATGTACATACTGGTTCACACAAAGATATAAATCTGTTGTATACGGTACACCTTTGGACTTTGGTAGATAGTAAGGTGACCAATAGTTGTCTCATGAATCTCTTATTTGTATATTGTGTCAAATCCACACTAACATAATACAATTGAAGGTTAAATATTGTTTTTTTACATGTTTAAAAAGCAGCTAGTCTATTCAAGCATCAACCCTTGGTGTTTTGTGTAGTAGAGTCATATCAGCAGTTTCTCTACAAAAAAGTGAATGTAGACATTTCTTTAATTGTTTTAGTGTATATTCGTTAATTTGACCTTACGAGGTAATCAGGCTTACTTTTGCACAATTTTCGAAGACAATTTTCTGCTCAATGAGCCAATCACAAGGTGATAATACTGATATTAGATGTATGTCATACACAGAAATAAATACTTACTTGTACTGAGGAACCATCTGTAAGTTAATGTCTTTAAAGTAAATTGGATCCCTAAAAAATAAGTGGAAAACACAATTATAAAATTTCAATTTATAATTTTCATCTGATACCAAAATTTTTTTCAGTAAAACCAGAGAATATTCCCACAGACTTTAGATTTCACAGAATAGCAAACATTGCAATTGATTTTTTTTTCTCATTCCTTCTTGTTTTGAATACTATATATGGGTATCTAGTTAGTTACCCCCCTCAGTTTACAAGGTCATGCTTATTGTCTCAGGTCACTTTTAAGCAAACTATACAGCTCTAATATGACCTGATTTCTCTATATGACAACTTAAATGAAAATGTCAAAAATATTTAATACCTTAAATGAAACAAATTAATTTTTATCTTTATAACTAATATTTGACAAAAAATTTTTTTTTCACATTTAACATAATTTACCATTTATTTCGATTTTTTTCTCTCAGAAGTTTCCCTTCATTTAACTGAAGGAGATTTTGTTAACTTACTCCCCTATGTTAATATCTTATCCTTTAATTGTTTTTGAAAACCTAAAAAATCTTCTAGTCAAATAATATAATGTCTTAATGTCTTGCCTAACTCTACATGCTGTAATATTTCATTTCATTCTTCTAGGAACTGCGAGAGATTTTGCATTGAAAAACAACTCTATATACAGGAATAGAAAACATAAAAAAATGTCTTGCATATAAACTATTGAAGACCCATTGGTGGCCTTCGGCTGTTGTCTGCTCTATGGTCGGGTTGTTGTCTCTTTGACACATTCCCCATTTCCATTCTCAATTTTATAGAAAGTATGAAATGTTTCTGTTGAGTTTCAGTCAATTCAAAGTAAACTGTTGCAGGGTAATTTGCATTCACATTTTTGTTTAGACAGTATATAAACACTATAGATAGCAAAACTATTTTTCTCCCACTAAGAAATGGAGGAGCCATGATAAAAATCAATCCATATATTGGTTATATATAAATTGTACTCATTTCAATGGAAGCTCAACCTTCCTAAATATATATTTTACAATAAGTTACATGGTCCTAAGCAACATATTGCAAATGTAGATATGGAAGCATTATGCACTTTCTACTACTACTTGTTTTAAATTCTACTACTATTTGTTTTAACTGAAAAGCTAAAAGCACTGGATTCATCACTGATTAAGTAAACTGACTTTTGAGATGATAACTTTCTGGATTAATATATAAAATATATCTATGGGTTTCATAGCATTACTAAGATTTATTGTAAGATTTATACAGTACTTACTTCACAGTAGTCATTGGTCTCTGGACTGGTACTTCCTCAATCATTCTTGGAGAAGCTTTCTTTGCACATAATCCTAGTACAAATAAAAATATATTACTTTAATACAACTTACAAAAATGTTGAACTTATTGGCATCCAGGTTGACCAAATCAGACTGACAGATGATAACTTCAAGTGTTTATGCCATTAAAAACAATATTTACAAAATAACAGTGCAAAACTCACTTTACTATTTAGCAAATTTACTGACTGTGCGAGGGCTTTATAGCCAGTCAAGGTCGTTAATAACCCCCATCTTCATATTTAGCAGAAAATAATCTAAATTACCATACAAGTTTTCTTTACTCTCAATATTTATAGTACTTTTAATGATCCCAGAATGTTTAACTATTTGTTAAATAAACTGTTAACACAGAGATATGTCTCGCCTATTTGTTATTTTGATAATGCAAATGTTGAAATTAAAATAACAATACTTTAACATGTAAGTTATGCAAATATTCAAATTCAATGAACCATGACTAAAGGTACAGGGCTAAACAATCTCCATGGAAATGAGATGTGCCAATGCTAATACAACTGCATACCAAATACCATTGACTTTTCATAAGTCATTCCCTTTAAAGAAACCTTACAACAAACACTAACTTGTAAACTAAGCAAAAGTTTCAAAGTCAATAGACCATGACTGAAGGGGCGGGGCCAAATAATCCCCATGGAAATGAGATATGCCAATGTTTATACAACTGCATACCAAATATAATTGACCTACCACTAGTGGTTCCCCATAAACTGACCTAATCACAAACTAATACATGAAAACTAAGCAAAAGTTTCAAAGCCAATAGATCATGACTGAAGGGGCAGGTCCAAATAAACTCCATGGAAATGAGATATGCCAATGCTTATACAACTGCATACCAAATATCATTGACCTACCACTAGTGGTTCCCCATAAACTGACTTAATCACAAAGTAATACACGAAAACTAAGCAAAAGTTTCAAAGTCAATAGACCATGACTGAAAGGGCCGGCCAAATAATCTTCATGGAAATGAGATATGCCAATGCTTATACAACTGCATACCAAATATCATTGACCTACCACTAGTGGTTCCCCATAAACTGACCTAATCAGAAACTAATACATGACAAGAGTGCACACGCTGAAATGTCTCGCCTTCTTTACTAATCATTGATATTATGTTGATAGTCCTAAATATAAAGCTTTATGAACCATGAAAATGAGGTCAAGGTCAGATGAACCATGCTTGGCAGGCATGTACAGCTAACAATTCTTCCATACAACAAATAGAGTTGACCTATTGCTTATAGTTTAAGAAAAACAGACCAAAACACAAAAACTTAACACTGAGCAATGAACCTTGAAAATGAGGTCAAGGTCAAATAAAACCTGCGTGACTGCCAAATAGATCATAAAATATTTCCATACACCAAATATAGTTGAACTATTGCATATAGTATAAGAAAAACAGACCAAAACACAAAAACTTAACTATAACCACTGAACCATGAAAATGAGGTCAAGGTCAGATGACACCTGCCAGTTGGACATGTACACCTTACAGTCCTTCCATACACCAAATATACTAGACCTATTGCTTATAGTATCTGAGATATGGACTTGACCACCAAAACTTAACCTTGTTCATTGATCTATGAAATGAGGTCGAGGTCAAGTGAAAACTGTCTGACGGGCATGAGGACCTTGCAAGGTATGCACATACCAAATATAGTTGAACTATTGCACATAGTATTAGAAAAAAAGACCAAAACTCAAAAACTTAACTTTGACCACTGAACCATGAAAATGAGGTCAAGGTCAGATGACACCTGCCCGCTAGACATGTACACCTTACAATCATTCCATACACCAAATATAGTAGACCTATGGCATACAGTATAAGAAAAACAGACCGAAACACAAAAACTTAACTATAACCACTGAACCATGACAATGAGGTCAAGGTCAGATGACACCTGCCAGTTGGACATGTACACCTTACAGTCCTGCCATACACCGAATATACTAGACCTATTGCTTATAGTATCTGAGATATGGACTTGACCACCAAAACTTAACCTTGTTCACTGATCCATGAAATGAGGTCGAGGTCAAGTGAAAACTGTCTGACGGGCATGAGGACCTTGCAAGGTACGCACATACCAAATATAGTTGAACTATTGCACATAGTATTAGAAAAAAAGACCAAAACTCAAAAACTTAACTTTGACCACTGAACCATGAAAATGAGGTCAAGGTCAGATGACACCTGCCCGCTAGACATGTACACCTTACAATCATTCCATACACCAAATATAGTAGACCTATCTGGCATACAGTATAAGAAAAACAGACCGAAACACAAAAACTTAACTATAACCACTGAACCATGAAAATGAGGTCAAGGTCAGATGACACCTGCCAGTTGGACATGTACACCTTACAGTCCTGCCATACACCGAATATACTAGACCTATTGCTTATAGTATCTGAGATATGGACTTGATCACCAAAACTTAACCTTGTTCACTGATCCATGAAATGAGGTCGAGGTCAAGTGAAAACTGTCTGACGGGCATGAGGACCTTGCAAGGTACGCACATACCAAATATAGTTATCCTATTACTTATAATAAGAGAGAATCTAACATTAAAAAAATCTGAACTTTTTTTCAAGTAGTCACTGAACCATGAAAATGAGGTCAAGGACATTGGACATGTGACTGACGGAAACTTCGTAACATGAGGCATCCATATACAAAGTATGAAGCATCCAGATCTTCCACCTTCTAAAATATAAAGCTTTTAAGAAGTTAGCTAACGCCGCCGCCGCCGCCGCCGGATCACTATCCCTATGTCGAGCTTTCTGCGACAAAAGTCGCAGGCTCGACAAAAACTAAGCAAAGTTCAAATAATCTCCATGGTAATGAGATGTGCCAATGCTAATTCCACTGCATACCAAATATCATTGACCTACCACTAGTGGTTCACCATAAACTAGACCTAATCGCAAACTAATACATTGTTGACGCTGCCACCGGAAACAGCATCCATATGTCTCTCTTTTTGACTCTTGTCAAGGGGAGACAAAAATGTGTTAATTATTTCATCAAATTTTTCAAAAGTTTCAACATGCAAACAAATGAGACAAATCAGGAAGCGGTTTAACAAGTTACACATGTTATTACCCATAATTCATTAGTTACCTTGAGCACATATAATTACTGACCTCTTGTGAAGCAACAGATGATTATAACTGCAGTGATGGCAATGGCAAGTAAGATACCAACTACAATGGCTGCTATCTCTGCTGCAGTCAGTTTTTCAGATGATTCCACAGTAACTATGGTTGCTAAAATAAAATTAAAAATACATCAGCATGTAGTGACATTTTTTCCAAAGGTGTGAAATTTTTTTAAAGATATGCCAAGCAACTGATATATTAAATATGGTGTAAAACCATAAAAATTTACAAAAATAAATTAAAATGTGCATTAAATTAAGTATTGAAGGAATGGGAAAAACCTCAATAACAAAAATAAATGAGCAAAAGCATTCTCTCTTTTTTTTCAAAAACAAAAATAATTCATACATTTTCTTCAAATATACATACAAAGGACAAGTTACTCAATATAATCAAGTAATGAGAAATCATAGAATATGCAAGTGTTGGGAAGGGGGAAGGGGGGAATGAAAAGAAACATACTCTTTACTCCTTCTTGAACGTGGAATTCTATAACAGATGACTGTCCAACGGTATTCTTAGCAATACAAGTGTAGGTTCCAACATCCTGAAGACTGTCCATATCTACTAAGAATGTATCAGAGTAGTGATTGAGTAGTGTTGTTCCATCCTTTGTCCAAGACCACTCTGTGGCAGCAGGATTAGATCTTGTAGCACAATGTAAAGTAACAGGGTTACCAAGAACCCTCTTGAACTCTGTTATTGTGACAGCACTGATTGGAGCAACTACAAAAGGCAATTTTCACATACTTATAAACCAGATCAATAAAATGTCCATATTCCCTGGTGAGTTGAGGATTTGCATACAGTATTGTATCACTCTTAAAAAGGAGCCATTATTACAGAATGATAATATCTAAGATGGCATTAGTCAAGTTTATTTGTACATATAATTGAGCCATCAGCTGATTTAAGTTAAAGACTCAATTTTTTGCATGCAAACTCAAACTTTAATAATGTAACAATACTATCACATCTATACATTGATAAGGATATTTATCCACTCGAGGTACTTTAAAATGCAAGGCATGCTAATCTTTTTATAATTTTAAAATTTAACTCTACCAGAGTGGATAAATATATTGTCAACAGACTTTAGTGGTAGAATACATTTCTCTAATGATTAGATGAAAAATGAAGAATGACAGATTTAAAAGTGTATGATTTTTCAAACCAGTCCAATTGCATATAAATTTAAAGCAATACTTACATCTAACATTAGCATCCATACTAGCTTGGGCCATTCCCTGTGAATTAGTGGCTACACAAGTATACAGTCCACCATCAGTACTGATAGTGCTTGTTACAGTCAGTTGTGGTCCAGTCTGAATCATTTTGTCAGCATAGTACCAAGCAAAGGTAGGAGCAGGATCTCCTTTAGATGTACAGGTAGCATCGAAATTAGCACCAGCAATCACATCCACATATACTGGATTAATTCTGACATCGAAAGGCGCAGCTGGAAAAAATATCAATAACCAGTCAGTAAATTGCTATAATGTATATACGGTACATAAAATCATATTGACTCAGTTTCACTTTTCCTAACATGAAGTATTAAAACAACAACTCTCATTTGCAATAGTTAATATGATTGTTTATGATTTCACCCTTCAGCTACTGCAGATACAAGTCAAAGAAGTGTAAACTAGTGTATAATAAATGCTTAAAATAATTGGTAACTTTGAGATTTCCTTATTTTTTAAAATTTTTTATATTGCTACTTTCTTAATACAAAAAAAAAACATTGAGAGAAGTCTTCATCTGTTGAATTTAATTAAATATAATTATGAAATGACTGAATCTGACAATACCACAACAATAGTCCTGACTGTACCACAACAGCAGTCTAATGACTGAACTAGACAGTACTACAACCAAAGACTAATGACAATACATAATAAAAAAAAAAATGTTTCCAGCATTTGCTTTATATATACCTTGTGTATCAACATTCAAAGTGACGATTTCACTCTCTCCTGTACCAACGTCATTTGTAGCCAAACATTGGTATGTACCGACATCACTAGCCTGTAGATTATAGATGGTAAGACCAGACTGGTATAATCCACCTCCAGCATATTTGTTTCCACCGACAGTCAATGTTTCTGTCACACCACCCGACACCTTTCTCCAGATTACTGCTGTTACAGCAGGGTTGGCAAGGTGTGTACATGGAATGTTGACAGAACCACCACCAACACCATTAAATGTTGAAGTTGAAGTTGAAATAGTTACATCAGGCTTGTCTGTAATAAAATTCATATTTATTCATATTAGGTAATGCTCACAGAACCACCAAAAAAATTACAACAACAATGAATGTGGAAGTCATTGATAAAAAAGTAACATCAGGCTTTTCTGTGAAGAGAGATACTGTTATATGTATAATAGCATCTACAAACTGTAATTTACACTTTCAATTTTTCCTACACATTTTGTTCAGTATGTGACCAAAGGTGTTAGTGCAATACTGAGTTAGGCATGTGGTTTCATAATTTGACCCAGGTGAATTTTTAAAATATGAAAATTATTGTTCAGTTAAAATTATTCTTAAAGATTGTTTTATGTATGTTTTATTGGCAACTTTTTGTTTCACAGTCCTCATATTAATATCCATACCTATGGGTCCATAAATTTTTGTTATGTTTACTTCCTTTATTTTCATTGTTACTGTGTGATGCAATTTTACAATTGAGACAAAAAACACCTTTTATTCTATTTTTTTTTTATAGCTGAATGGCTATGGTTTCAGGAAAGGTATCATTCAAACTAGTTGATATTCTACTTGGGACCAAATTTTGGGGACGCATGTGACATTTTCATGTCTTTAGTCAAACGCTTTCATGGATTATGAAATGTATACAAAATCATTTAGTTTGAAAATAATTTTGGCCACAAATTGTATCTGTTAAGATATCATTATCAATAAAAAAAAATTAGTAGAATTTGGGTAAAATCAATACTTACTTAATAAACCTATAGATATGTCATTTTAACCAAAAATAAGTGAAATATTTTTAATCATGTTGAGGGAGGAGCTATCCAAAGAAATACAACATTTTCCCACATAGTTATCAATGCAAAATACTATCCATCAATTTTCCTGAAAATAATGCTAATGCTTCATCACTCCTGTTTTGACTTCATTTTATCATGAAAATGTCTACATATACAGCTTCAAAACCAGCTCTAATAGCTTTTTCTGATTTTTAAAGTTCTTTTAACAACTTACACTGAACATCAACTGTAAGAGCTGCTTCATCTAAACCATAGTTGTTACGTGCACGGCAAGTGTAGGTTCCCATGTCAGTTCTGGCAGAGTTTTCAATCCTCAATTTATCACCAGTTGCGAAAGCTTGAACACTGTTATCTTTATACCAGGTGTATGTAGGTGTTGGATTGGCTGTACTGACACATGTGGCAAGTATTAAGTCCCCTTCTGTAACTGTTATTCTGCTTGGTGTTACATAGGTCAGTCTTGGAGGCTCTAAAAATCATAATTATTCAAGTTTTAGCTTTTAATAAAAAAAATTAAATATATGAAATCAAATTTTGATGTAAGAATGTCTTACTAATTTGTTGTAAGAATGTCTTCCTAATTTGTTGTAAGAATGTCTTCCTACTTTGTTGTAAGAATGTCTTACTAATTTGTTGTAAGAATGTCTTACTAATTTGTTGTAAGAATGTCTTACTTATTTGTTGTAAGAATGTCTTACTAATTTGTTGTAAGAATGTCTTACTTATTTGTTGTAAGAATGTCTTCCTAATTTTATTTGTTGTAAGAATGTCTTCCTAATTTGTTGTAAGAATGTCTTACTTATTTGTTGTAAGAATGTCTTCCTAATTTGTTGTAAGAATGTCTTACTAATTTGTTGTAAGAATGTCTTCCTAATTTGTTGTAAGATTCCTAATTTGTTGTAAGAATGTCTTACTAATTTGTTGTAAGAATGTCTTACTAATTTGTTGTAAGAATGTCTTACCTATTTGATGTAAGAATGTCTAACTACTTTGTTGTAAGAATGTCTTCCTAATTTTTTGTAAGAATGTATGTCTTCCTAATTTGTTGCAAGAATGTCTTCCTTATTTGTTGTAAGAATGTCTTACTAATTTGTTGTAAGAATGTCTTACTAATTTGTTGTAATAATGTATGTCTTCCTAATTTGTTGCAAGAATGTCTTCCTAATTTGTTGTAAGAATGTCTTCCTAATTTGTTGTAAGAATGTCTTCCTAATTTGTTGTAAGAATGTCTTACTAATTTGTTGTAAGAATGTCTTCCTAATTTGTTGTAAGAATGTCTTCCTAATTTGTTGTAAGAATGTCTTCCTAATTTGTTGTAATAATGTATGTCTTCCTAATTTTTTGTAAGAATGTATGTCTTCCTAATTTGTTGTAAGAATGTCTTACTAATTTGTTGTAAGAATGTCTTCCTAATTTTTTGTAAGAATGTCTTACTAATTTGTTGTAAGAATGTCTTACTAATTTGTTGTAAGAATGCCTTACTACTTTGTTCATCGTAATCTGTTAATAAAACAATACTACAGTTAACAACAACATCAAAAATGCCTTGTGACATAAAATAAGATGTGGTATGATTGCCAATGGGGCAACTATCCAACAAGTCCAAATAGAGTGGATTTAAGCAATTACAGGGCCACTGCTAGTTTACTTATTTAACTTAATATAAAATCAACATCATTTAAATGTAACAATAACACAGAACTTTACCTCCTACAACATCCAGATAGACTTGATTACTAGATCCTGTTCCTACAGTGTTAGTAGCTTGACATATATACTGTCCTTCATCATTGTCTTCTACGTTAGAAATGGTGAGAGCTGGAGTCTGGACAGTTCCACCAGAGTATCTATTGTTACTAGATATAGATAGGGTTGTAGGAACACTATTCACCACTTTTTGCCATGTGATGGAAGTTTCTTTAGGATCAGCTGTGACAATACAGTTAATAACAACTGACTCTCCAACATTGACTGTTGGTTTAATACTAGCTACTACAGCTGGTACATCTGAAAAATTAAAACAATAACTCAAGTTAACAACTTTGTTTTGATCAAAGTGGATAAACCATTTGCACTGCAAAACTTCCAGATCAATGGATACTAAAGGAAAAACAATTGACTCCATTGCTACAAGATATGCTTATCTAATTATCTATACTTTGTTGACAATTTATGTCTTTATGTCTCACCAAACTTTCCAACATGTGCAAGTCCTTTTCCAAAGACAAATGTTCGACACTTAAGTATTCAAGGGTGTCCGAAAATGAAAAGAAGCATGAAAATGGTTTAAATACACATACAATTTTTTTTAAGATTTTGGGGTTGGGGGGTGGGTGCATTCTCTGATTCTTCTAGGTGCCCAATAAGACAATCAAAATGTAACCACAACCATTTGCAATTTCATACAACATTTAACTTACATCCTTCCACATTGAGGAAAGTCTGTGAACTTTGACCCGCTCCAATTCCATTTGTAGCATGACAAATATAAGCTCCCTCATCACTGTCCTCCACATTAAATATGATCAATGATGGTGAACTAACAGTTGAACCTCCATATTTAGCTCCAGTCATGGTGAGTGTAACAGTCTGGCTGTTGACTAATCTGGTCCAGAAAACACTTGTATGATCTGGGGAGGAAGTGACTTCACATTCTAGAGTGATGGGGTTACCTCTTTGTACACTGTAGGAGCTCTGCAAAATTCGGACTGTTGGAGCAGCTGTTAATAAGAGAGAGAAATTAATCATAACTTTACATATGGTTATGTTTTAAAATTTATATTTATCCAAGATATAAAAGTGGCATCTGAGTAATAAATGTTACCTCATTTCATACACATAATAAAATGCTTCTCTTGTTTCTAAAAAATCCTTGAAAATATGCTGATATACAGCTATGCAATAAATTGTTGTCATTTAACAGTTGTTACTTTAGCCTGTTTTCAGCATTAACATCCCCCCCCCCCCCAAAAAAAAATACTAACCTCCTGTAACAGCTACAACTCCTCTTGAACTTTGACCTGTTCCAACAGAGTTGGTAGCAAAACAAATGTACTCTCCTACATCATTACCATCAGCAGTTAAGATAGTCAGGGATGGTGTCTGTACAGTAGAACCAGAGTATTTGTTGTTGTTTTGTACAGTGATGGTCTGTGTGACACCATTACCACTTATTCTCTGCCAGTATACACTTGTATGAGCGGGAGATGATGTAACAGTACATCCAATTACCAGTGTGTCACCATAACCAACAGTGTATGATGTCTGAGTTAATACAACAGTTGGAACATCTGAAAAAGTCATAAAGATGTTCTGTCATTTTGACTAGTAATACAGGGAATTATATGATAAAATTTAGTGGAACTATTTTATGTACTACCTCAGTTCTGTAGGTAAACAGGAGTGGATATTACTAAATACTTCAAAAAATTAATCAGGACACTTCACATGGAACAATCTAATTTTCATCAAATTTGTTGGAGTATGAAACAATTGTAAAGCCTCAAAATCATCACAATTCCTATGTTTATTCAACACATGTTAATTATCAAAAGTGTATCATATGTTAATTTCTCATAAGCTCATCAAATAAGCAACATTTGTAGAATATAAAAATTTTGAAAGGACAGGGTAAAAGAAATTGAGATATTCTTTAAAAACACAATCAATTAAAAACCAACAGTTCAATAATATAAAAATCACTCACAATGTCACTGAAGCATGGGGTAAAATAGGCCGATTTTTTTATCGAAACTATAAGGTATGGGTGCCAATACAGTAGCATTTTATATGTATTAATATCCTATCATGAATGCTTTTTCATTCAAAAACCTAATGGAACATTCAAAATTTGAACAATGCATATTTAAAAAAAATTTATATATAATCTATCAAAAAGGACATGTTTGGTATTTTCTTCAATATACAGTTAAATGAGTTCATATTGTAAAACACATATTTGTAATTATTAGTGTAGTTTGATTTCCAGTTTAAGAGGCTTTTCATTTTATGTACAATTTAACCGCCTTGGTGGTCTTGTGGTAGCGTGTTCGCCTCGAGTGCGAGAGGCTTTAAAGACTTTAAAATTGGTATTTGCTGCTTTTCCGCTAAGCATGCAGCATTAAGGAGTAAGAGCAAAGACTGGTTGGCTCAGAGTCAGAATAATGTATCTGGGTAAGATTACATGTCTTCCTGCGGACTGTCACCTTGTGAACTAGCATGTTAAAAATCCAGCTCAGCGTTTCGGTGTAGTACAAAGCAGGGTTAATATTCATATTACATTAACATGTTCTCGTCCTGAATATGCATATTGATTTGCTGCTGGACGTTAAGCAGCCATCCATCATCATGTACAATTTAACCAGTTTGTTACTTTTTCATGAATAAATGCTCTATTAAGAAAACTTTTCATTCACAACAGTATTATAATTTACTTAATTTTGACGTACACTTTTAAGATGTATACATTGTATGTCTCTGAACAAATAACACATAAATGCAAACAAAAATTATTGACAGTTAATTTCTAAATCTTTTTTCAAAGTATTTGCATTTTTCCATCAGATGTAAATTCATTTACTACCTAACACCACTTCCTACCTGATTTCTATGTGGAAAAGTAATTTTTTTTCAAATTTTAGTGTTAATCATCTGCTATTTTTGCACTTGGGAAGAATTAATCTATTATATTTTTTTATCAAACACTTTGAAAGTGTACATAGGACAATAATTACTTAGCCATATTGTGGTTTCATTCATTTTCATGGGTTGCAATTTTCTTAGATTGAGAAAAAATTATATATTCTTGGATATTTGATTGAGTAGTTTTGCCAGAGTCTGCCATCAAGCCTATAGAAAATTTGTACTTCGTTGAACATTTAAATTGGAGGGTTACATTAACCCCTGAAATCCATGGAAATTGGTATCCAAGGAATAAAAATGAATCCAAAGTAACTTATAGAACTTACTTCCGGCAACATTAAGAACAGTTATTTGACTCTGTCCAACACCAACACTGTTTTCAGCCAAACATCTGTAACTGCCAGCATCAGCAGCCTGAGTACCAGTTATAGTGAGAGATGGTGTATTCAGTGTTGATCCGCTATATTTATTGGTGTTGGTCACAGTAATGTCTTGTGCTTGTCCATTTATAATCCTCTGCCAGAATACCCTAGTATGAGCAGGATTGGATGTAACAGTACAACCCAATACAATGTCGCTTCCAATGTTGATAGAATAGGATATCTGAAGAACGTTGACAATAGGTGCATCTGAAATACAAATAGAAATAGTATATATATATATATTATTGAATTGAGAGTTTTACATTACATTTTTTCCTTAATTGTGTTAATTAACAACAACCATATTCATATTAATTTATAATAGAACAATTCTTTTTAATACTGTTTTTGCAGTATACTTCAAACCTATCCACTGCACTACTTAAGATCACCAGCTTTGATATGCTTACATCAAATATGAATGACTAAATACAAAACACTTCTAAACATCAGAACATACATTCAATCCCAAATGATGATTCCACACTTTAAAAAAGTGAATTTAAAAAAAAACTTTACACACATAAACACTTTTGATCTTTTGTGAAAGTAATACATGATAACCAATTTCACTATTTCTGGTATGTATGTATCTAAAAATACAAAAATGTGGTTGAAGAAGAAATTTTATAAAATCCTTCCATTTTCTGAATTCACCTTTGTGATTGGGTGGAAAAGAAGCAAAAATAAATGTCATGTGATACACTTTTTGAACCTCTACTTTCCTAGAATATCTGTATTGAAAATATGTCATTCATCTGGTATTGAATTTTGTTATGTTTTTGAATCCCAAAATCCACAAAACTTTGTAACCTACTACTGCTATTTTCAGTGGTCCGTTCAAGAACGCTGACCAAATTAGTGATGGCTACTTACTTCAAACAACTTAGAAAACCTGACCAGCTTATGGAGATTTTTTACTACTTTTATATTAGTTTTTAAAAAATACCAAATAAAAATTGGTGAGGATTTTTTCAAATTCCTATAGAATTTTGATACCATGTGGTATGAAAATCTTTTTCCATTATATCGTACTTAAAGTTAAGAAATGTTTGTGTGTATTTATCTTTGGGATGGTTCAACAATGGACACAATGGGAGATTCATTATTGAGACTTCAGAAAAATACTGTATACAAATAAAGCTTTCAAAATTCAAAATGTGAGATTTTATTTTTGCAAAACCCATCCAGTTACTGAGTTTGCACAATAATAAAAAAACATTGCAAAATTTTCTGACAGTACTTGTAAAATGATATATTTCTGTAGAACAACTTACTTCCGATGACATCTAAGAAAGTCTGAGAGCTCTGGCCAGTTCCTACAGAATTCTCAGCATAGCATACATAGTATCCTTCATCTGCAACAACGGCATTGTTAATGGTCAGTGATGGTGAGCTAACTGTTGATCCACCATATTTATTGTTAGCTGTGCCCATGATTATATCATTGGCAACACCATTAACTATCTTTTTCCAGTAAACTGATGTGTGTACAGGGTTAGCTGATACAGAACACTGGAGTGTAACAGAACTTCCAACATTGACACTGTATGTAGGAGCAAGAATGTTTACTTGTGGAGCATCTGCAAATAAATCAAGTGTATCAGTATAGTTTTGTAATTCTAGTTTTTGAACTTAGAGCAATGGATTTATATAAGAGCACTGCTCTTGTTTCCTAATCCCATTTTTTAATTACTTGTAGTTTTAATTACTTCGTATCAGTTTATATTAGCATTTATACATAATGAAATCACCAATAAAATATGCTAACACTAAATCAATGTATATACATAATAGGAATATATAAAATATGTGTTTTGGGTTCAGCATCCTTAGGCTAAAATCTCATTGACCAAAATTTCCTTTCACTTATACAGATTATTAATTAAATTCAACTTCTTTATTGTAACCAGAAACAGTGCAAAAATCTATATGTATGTATATGTATATATCCATTTATACTGCAGCTGTGTTATTTATACAGTCAAATTGCATTGACTGTATGATAATTTCTGATATACAGTCACTGACTGTATCACGCCTTGTTTGTGATGTTGATAATGTGTTCGTATAGAGTTTTATTTATGATACAAATAAAAAATAAAAGATTGCCACATGTTTATGACGCTTCAAATTAAAAAATGTTGGTTTTAACCAAAGATATTTTACTTTGAACAGTTTTAGGATTTGCAGTTTAAAGAGAACAGCCATACATTGTCTCAAAATATTCATTTTATTTGTACTCTGTGCTTGAAACAGAAAAGATATTCTCAGCAGAACCATATATTCTATTCTAAGCCTTGTACAAATAAATTTCATATTTTGATATACAAATATATTCATTTGATTAAAAAGATACTTTCTGACTGATGATAAAGAAGCACATTGAATAATAGAAATAAAATATCATGTGTGGATGTGAAAAACTGCAAAAGAAATTGTTAAACTTTCAATTTTCTGTTACCATTGAAATAGTGCAAAATAACAAAAAATGGAAGTTTTACATGTAAGTAATAAAAAAAATAGGACTTACTTCCTATGACATTGAGGAAGGTACTCTGTGACTGTCCTGTTCCAATACTATTTGTAGCATAACATGTATAATATCCACCATCAGAATTTACAGAATTACTAATGGTCAGAGATGGTCCGTTGACTGTAGCTCCACTGTACCTGCCAGTCGCTTCTATGTCAGTGTTTACATTGTTCAATGTTTTTACCCATTTAACACTGGTATGTGCAGGGTTAGAGGTCACTGTGCAAGTCAAGGTCACACTGTTTCCAACAGTAACACTATACTGGCTTTGTTGAACAGTGACAATTGGTATGCCTTAAAAAGATAAAATAAATTATAATTATTACCTTGAAGTCAGGTATTAAGAAATTCTTCCTTAACATAAAATTACAATAAAAACACAAAAGTATTATATGAATGGCAGCTAAAAACTATGGTAAATTAAATCTAAATAACTCACATGAGAATTTTCTTTTCATGAAAATTGATCTTACACCAAAGTACTAACAGAAAACAAGAGATGGTAATGTGGGTAAAATATCTTTTTGACTAAGGCCTAGACTCATAGCTAATATTAGCAAAAACTATGAGTAAAATTGCTAGTTTAGGTCAAAATGTAAATTCAGACATGTTTATAACATCATGGTGAGGCCACATGCCATTCTATCACACTTAAGTGTCAAGATTATGTCTGACTATTCTATCAATGAAATGAACATAATTATGAAAAGCTTGAAATTCTTTTACTGAATTTGTTAATTCAGTGGCCAAATAGTTACTCTTATGACACACCCTCCTTTAAACCCAAAGTAATTACTGTAAATTCATAAATTATTGCATGCATTTATTTTAAAATGCATAATTTGAAGAATGGACAAAAATGTGAGATTAATTATTGTGTTTTTGGAAAAATCTGCATACAGATATATGTATGAGATATCATAATGCAATTCTTAAAATATTGCAATACTCATCCAGTATCATTATGCGCAATAATAAAAAAACCTCGCAATAATTTCTGAATTATCAGTATAGAATTTTTGACTTACTTCCAGTTATATCCAAAAATGTTTGCTGAGACACTCCTGTTCCAACAATGTTTGTAGCTGAGCACTTATAATATCCTTCATCACTATTGGCAACGTTAGAGATGACCAGTGATGGTGAGTTGACCGTACCACCACTATATCTATTACTACCACTAATGACTACATTCTGATTTTGTCCATTAACTTCCCTTGTCCATTGTACAGAAGTGACAGCAGGATTGCCACTAACACTACATCCTAGTGTTACAGATCCTCCGACAATGATAGCGTATTGATTTGAACCAATTGTGGCTATTGGCAGATCTGCGGAGATAAACGAGATATGTATGTTAATAGAAGATCATTCTTTACATAATTTCTGCATGTGTTTTTCACTTAACTACATTCCAAAAAGAAGATTAAGGTGTTTGTAACCACTTTTCATCATATAGTAAGTCTAACTATGCCCTCTATTTTTGATCTAACTTTTCAAAAATTAGTAAAGGATTCTGCTGTGTCAGTGTAAAAGTGAAATGTTGACTGTACAGAATTTGAAATAAAAAGTAAAACATTTTCTTTAGATACTATTTCTTGATCTTGAACTTGAAGTTGAAGATTAGCTTCTGTCCAAGTTTCATAACAATCCATAAAGGTTTAAAAATTTGTCATGTAAAAAAAAAATCCCAGACCCGTCTGTAAATAATAATTGGCAAAACTAAGTCTATCTATCAGTAAATCACTAAAAAATGAAAAAAAATATATTTTCAGAATCTTATCATAAAAAAGCATCTTGCAAAGTTTCATAGAATTCAATGAAGGTTGGACAAAGAAATTGATGTGTAACAAACTAATCCCAAACTCTACCTACTTGTTAACAGAAAAAAAAAAAAGTGCTTTTTAACATATGGAAAAATGCAAAAATAAAATTTCATAATTTTTTCTGAATAGTCTTTTGTTCATAAAAAAGCTTCTGTGCAAATTTCATAAATTCCATGAAGGTTTGACAAAGCTATTGATGACTGAAAAACTTTAACCTAGACTGTATTTATATGTTAACTGTAAAAAAATAATTATTTCCATTTATTGGTACATGTACAATAAGGAAAAAAATGAAAATAAGAATATGCAAAATTTGCTCTGGATAAGGTCTTTTGGTCATAAAAAAGCTTCTGTCTAAATTTCATAACATTCCGTAAAGGTTTAAAGAAGTTAGTGATGTCTTAAAAAAACTTTAACCACAGACTGTTGATGCTGTTAATGTCGACACTGGAATCTAGCACCTAATTATGGTTTTCACCTAGTTGTCATTGATAACTTAATATGGAAGTGTGATACTGTGAGCAAGGCATGATGCCCTATGAAAACACATTCTTGTTGAGTTTGTCATCCACTAAAAAAATATATGCCCCTCCCAGATCTCAGAATCTAAAGAACTACAGGTATTCTAATTATATGTACAAAAAGATTAAGTAAATAGTGTTACCACAGTGGTTGGTAACCTTCACTGTAAAAGATATTTTGTTATCACAACATTTTTGTATATGCTTTTGAAATATTACCCAGAATGCATTTTCTTTAGAGATTTGATTGAGGTGCGTACAACATGCACCTCCATGATCTTAGAAACTAAAGAAAAATAGGTAATTTAAATGTTTGTATAACAAAATATATTGTTACCACATTGGTTGGTTATCCTTCACTGTCAAGAATGTTGTTAACCAATCAAAACAAACAACTTTGGGTATGTTTTTGAAATATCACCCTGAATCTGGGAACAGTATATCTAACGGGAAATGAATCTGATACGCTTTTCAGTATGAAATTGATAAAATCTCGGACTCCCCGAGACTTCCCGAGATTTACGGATATTGGTAGCGTCTGACTGAAAAACTATCAGAACTGCTCAACAAATAAACCACATAACCCTTATTGTAAATAAATACAAGTTTTATCATTAAGTAGATATATTTTGTCATATAAAATTACCAAAATAAGTTTGATTTATTTGATGTGAAGTGTTTTATAATAGTTTGGGAATTTGTAAATCATCGCGGCAATGGCCGCCATTTTTTTATTACCTGGTTTGCATTCTGCACAATTCTGTGATGAAATGCTTGCGATTTTAACAAATTTGAAGTGACAGAATACAAGTTTGATACACTAGCATCACTATAAAACTAGTTTGAATGACATTTTATTGATAATATCAGAAATTATTAGGATAATAGCGAGTCCGTTTTTAACACATGTCCGTTTCTGTTTCGTATCTTTATTAACTATGGCACGACGATAAAATCGACAACAATCAGGTAGTGTCAAGTCCCGTCAATATATATGTTCCTGCCTGAATGCATTAGATTCAGAAATGGTGAATTCCACATAAAGTAAAATAACCTAAACAAAATAAAATATATAAGTTTTAAAAATACTTACTTCCAACCACTGAAAGGGACGTCTGCTGACTTTGTCCAGTACCAATAGAGTTAACAGCAAAGCAGGTATACGTAGCAGTATCAGTATCATCAGCATTATTAATCGTAAGTGATGGATTTTGTGTAGTTGATCCTGTGTATTTGTTTGTATTTGTGTTGGAATTAATAGTAGATGTTTGTCCATTTTTCAGTTTCTGCCAGTACACAGATGTAGCTGATGGAGTACCACTGACAGTACATACCAGGGTTATGGCATTTCCATAATTAACACTGTACTGTTGTTGAGCAACAACAACTGTTAATACACCTTTGAATAGAAAAAAAGTTATTGGTAATTGTAATACACTTTTAAAAAGAAACAATTTATTGGTAATTGTAATGCAACTTTCTTTAAAAAGAGTAAATTGTTGTAAATTGTAACACAACAAGTATATCCTTTTTTTTATTAGATTCAAATTTTATAATTATAAGATAAGGAGATGTGGTATGATTGCCAATGAGACAACTATCCACCAGAGACTAAATGACATAGATATTAGCAACTAATGGTCACTGTACCGTTGACTCAAATTTTTTCAAAGCGTACTTTTCAACTATGATACCACATTGAGGCGTCATTATGGAAGAAAGGGTTAGCTGGTTTCTTTTCAATTTAAAGATACATTCCTCATTTATAAAAAAAATGTCTGACCCATGGAATTAAATACCAGTCTGCCCAGCTACACATGACTGGTCATCTCTTACAAAGTTTCAATAACTTGGTGAATGTCATCAGACAACATATCTATTTATTGAAATAATGGTTTGGATTACCAATATAGCATTTCTCAGAGTTTCAAATACATTAAATACTTACTGCCAATTACATCTAGGTAGGTCTGTGAACTCTGACCTGTACCAACAGAGTTAGTAGCCCGACAGATATAATAGCCTTCATCAGAGTTAGCAGCATTGTTTATAGTAAGAGATGGTGTGTTGACAGAAGATCCTGTATATTTGCCAACAGTTCCAAGGTTGATGGTTGTTGTTTGACCATTAACTAATCTCTGCCATTGTACTGAAGTGTGTGCAGGATTTGCAGTCACAGTACATTGCAAGGTCACAACGTTTCCAACTTGAACAGTGTATGTGTTTTGCAGCACTTGAACAACAGGTATATCTATAAATATAATAAAATTCATCATTAGCTCTCTTTTTTGTTATCAATTTATGAAAAAGCTGAGATTTTTAAAACAAAAAAATAAAGAAGAAAGTACACAAATAAGTGTATTTACCTGATATTCTGCTGATTCAAAAATATTTGTGCGATAGGAGGAAACCATGAATTCAAAAACTCAACAAAATACAATTTTTAGCCACTATATTAGAACCAAATGATTCAACCATGTAATCAAGGACCCTCAAAATATCAATTTTGTCTCAATCCATGAAAATTGAAATCAAGGAAAATAAGTGAATCCACAGTTTACCTTTTTATACATCACTTAAAAAAATAGCATACACATTTACAGATTATGCATATATTTAACACTGATTTCATGATTTTTCACTTACTTCCTTGAACATCCAAGAAGGTCTGCTGGCTGTTTCCTGTACCAACACTATTTGTGGCATAGCAAACATAGAATCCTTCGTCATTCTGGACAGCATTGGAGATAGTTAGAGAAGGACTTGAAACAGTTGATCCAGTATATCTGTTACCAATTGTCACTGATTGGGAAACACCATTAACAACCTTCTGCCAATATACATTGTTGTGTGCAGGATTGGCTGATACTGTACACGTTAAAGTAACTGTTCCACCGAAGTTAACTGAGTATGAAGGCTGAGATATGGCGACCACAGGTATACCTGGAAAAAAATATTTAAACATTATAAAATATACTCTGCATATGCACTTCAAAGAATTTGACAACATGCAACAGTAAATAAATCAAGTCAATGACATACATACATACAATGATAGAAAAACCGTTATATATGTAAAAATTTATTTTACCTATTTTTAGAAGATAACAGTTTTGTATTCAAAGATTTGTGCCCATCAATTCCATAAGACGTTACCAGTAAATGGATATATAGCACTGTCAAATTAAAACACTGAGGTCTGCAAAGCTTCAAATATAATACTGTTATCTACATCCGATACAACTAAAAGAATACTGCTAAATCCTACATAAAATCAGTCACACAATTTTAGTCCATCAATGGTAGAAACAAAACCTTGATATCTGTGGCATTATCCAAACAAAATGAAGTTACAAACAATGTTGTATTAAAATCATTTTCTCTGGTGGATATATGTCCAATTGGCAATTAAAGCACACCTCTAATTTTCACGATCAATACCATTCAAATGTTACCCAAATTTATTGAATTCGGTCTTAGGTATTTTAAACAATACTGTAAATGAAATTTTATTTTGTGATGAATATAAAATCGTGAACGTATCCTCTTGTGTTAATTTGATGTTCAAAGGAGATCAGAACCATGGACAAGGAAAAGGCAAATATAAAACCTCGCAAAGAGATTTCATGATTGAAATTGTGAAATTAAAACTCTGCCAAAATAAATCATTTTACAGTACATGTGTATTTGGGTATTGAATCAGTATTGCTAATGTAAGAACACCTTACTTCATGTGACTTTACAAAAAAATTAGTTTCACATGATTTCAATATCTAATGTCTTCAAAATTACAACTGATGAAATGAAGAAAAGAAAACAGTTTTGACGACTTGCAAAATAAGCAGCTGTGCAAAGAGTACATGGTATTTGAGTTATCATACTGAGAGATGACATACGGACATACACATAGATGAACAGACATAATGGGTCCCATCTAAATATAAGACTGGTGTATAAAAATTGGTTAAAATATGTATTGTTTTGGTTGTAATTGTAAATAAACTTACTTCCAAGAACATCCAAGTATGTGTTGGCACTCTGTCCAGTTCCTACACTGTTAGTAGCGAAACAAATGTAAAATCCTTCATCATTATTATCAGCATTATTAATGGTCAGTGAAGGATTACTGACTGTGGAACCACTGTATTTATTGTTGTTAATGGTAATTGTGGTAGATACCCCATTGATGTTTCTCTGCCAATATACATTAGTATGAGTGGGTGATGCTGATACAGTACATTCAAGTGTTCTACTGGCCCCAATATTCACAGAGTACTGGTTGCTCAGTACAGTTACTACTGGAGTATCTGAAAAAATATATGCACTACCGTAATTAATATCAGTAAAAATTTACATTATTTGAATATTCTTTACATATAAGAGCCACTACAATTTTCAGCTATTAGAACCCATGCAATCTGTTACATATATAAAATAGCATGAGTTCGCGGCGAGGGAAGAACAAAAATCTGCTTCCCCAAATTCGCAGATTTAACATTGTTGTGCTGATATTTAGAGTAGTTATGAATATAAAATGTGTTTTCAGCCTTGTATCACCTTCAATGGATGGATCTGTCGTAGAGTTGTCACTTGTTTAGACGTACTTATCAAAATAATTATTTCTGTGACTGTATCTTACGATCCTTTAAGATAGATATTTAGCTAATCTGCAATCAATTCCATCTTCAAACCTATGATTGCGTTGGATAAAAACCGCAATTTTTATACGTGTGCATGCAAAACAAATTTCTTGGTAGAGGGGTCTAAATACAGCACAAACAACATTTTCCAAAAGACCAAAAAAGTAAAAAGCATATTTAAACAAAACACATTAGTATATATATATATATATATATAAAATGACTGAATAATAGCCAACGATAAATCTTACGGGGCGATGGATCATATAAATATGATACTGTACACTACAAAATATAATATATAACCAGTCTAAAAGGGTACATCATCACCAAAAAATGAAAATAAACGAACAAATGTAACTATAAATAATTCGGATAACAGATATCCTACATTATAGTTACATTTGTTTGTTTATTGTCATTTTTTGGTGATGTTGTACCCTTTTAGACTGTTCATATATATATAAACAAGTCTAAATTGAAAACAACGTTCAAACCTATGATTGCGTTGGATAAAAACCGCATTTTTTATACCTGTGCATGCAAAACAAATTTCTTGTTAGAAGGGTCTAAATACAGCACAAACAACATTTTCCAAAAGACCAAATGAGTGAAAAAGTATATTTTAACAAAACGCATTTGACTAGCAGGTCGAACAACTGATGTTCTTAAACCCTGCTGACTGCCATTGGTGATTGCCAAATAAACGGATCACAAGATGTAACAAAACAGATCTTAATATTAAATTATTACCAAACAGAAAACAATAAACTTGCGGAAAAGATGGTATATGTATATATATATATATATATATTTATATATAAAAGAACAGGTATTCACAAATTAGACTGCTTGAAAAACAGAATTCTAAGATTTTCAGAGATTAATTATTGTAACAGTAAAATTAATAAATTTTGGATTATTTCTAACTAAGGACGATACCAATATTTGAACAGCTAATACACCAGAAATGAGAGTGCTCACTGATCAAGGAGTAAACACTCAATAACCCCCTCTCCTTTTCCCTTTAGAAACCTTTGTTTTCCAGTTGTAAGGACCAAGTCTGACTTATCCTATCTCCAAACATTTTACTTTATAAAATATTATATCCAATAATAATAATAAAACTTCTTTTCTTTTAGCCCCATCTGTTATTGTAAATATCATATCATTGATAAAAGAAAATAAGATTACTAAATGATTGTTTGGGATTGATTGTTGGTTTTCAACGCCACCTTGAGTACTATTGGCTATATTGTGGCAGTCAGTTTTATTGGTAGAGAAACCAGAGTACCCAGAGAGAACCTTGACCTTCGGCAGGAAAACTTACAATCCTAGTCAATTAAAACTGGAGTAGAACACACCTACCACATGCATGGTTTTGAACTCACAACCTCTGTGTTGACAGGCTAGTGATACAGTAAATGAACTATTCAGTCGAGGCCCCAGATTACTAAATACAAAACTTGTCTGAATAAAAAGAAATCTTGGATACAAGTGAATGACCTAATGTTAAAAGTGACAAAAATGCATGTTTCTTTTCCATAAACGTGGTTCTAGTCTTGACAATTTATTGCAGAAGAAAAATAATCTATCTATGAATCTACAATAATCAATTATAGTCAAGCAATTCTCCAATTGGTGACATCAAACAAATGGACAATTAAAAATTGTTAGTAAAAAACTTACTGCCAACAACATCTAAGAAAGTGTTTTGACTCTGTCCTGTACCAATACTATTAGTGGCATAACATCTATAGCTTCCTTCGTCACTTATAGCAGCATTATTGATTGTCAGTGATGGACTGTTGACTGTAGAACCACTGTACTTATTATTGTTCATGTCAACGTTGGTTCCTACGCCATTATTGCCAATTCTCTGCCAATACACCACTGTGTGAGCAGGGCTGGCAGTTACTGTGCATCCAAGTGTGACAGTGGATCCAATATCAACATTATAATTCGGCAGAGTTACAACCACTTGTGGTAAATCTATAAAAATGTAATAAATAATCAGAAATTCATCTTTACTCAATTATCAAAATTAATTGTCATATTTATAAAAATTAAAAAAAGAAAATTAAGTTTCTTAAAAAAATTGTTCACCTAAACATCACCTTCTGAGAAACTACCATCATCTGGAATAAAGACTGTACAAGAATTTGATTAAATATTCTAGGAAATTGAGTGTCACCAAATTTCTGTATGTTCTTCCTTCAGCAGTTATTGATTACATATCAATTACAAAAATTCAAAAAGTTTCATTTAAGATAAATAACCATCTACAGAATTATTTCCTACATATTGCTTACAAATTATCACCATGATTGAAAACGCTATCATATACAACTTACAAATAAATCAATATTAAATATTAAAAAAAAAAATTTCATTGTACCATAAAGTAACTTTTGCTGCATATAAGTGGATATACTATAAACCAACTAATTTCTCTAGAACAATGTATTTGTGCAAGGACAAAAATAATGGCTAACCTAAAGTCATGAAAATGTCAAACTAGGAACTTCTGTTGTATAAACACCCAAAAAAATGTTTAGAAATAAACCATCAAAAGGTATCCATGATAAATAAGTTGGTTTACAGTGTAAACAACAAAATTGTTTCTTACTTCCTGTTACATCAAGGTATGTCTGTTGACTGACACCTGTTCCAGCAACATTGGTGGCAGTACATGTGTAATAGCCTTCATCAGAATTGGCTGCTGCTGAGATTGTCAAAGATGGACCGTTTACTGTAGAACCACTGTACTTATTGTTTCCTGTTCCCATGTTAATATTTGTTGTTTGACCATTCACTACTCTTGTCCATTGTACAGAGGTGTGTGTAGGTGTGGCAACAACTTGACATTCCAATGTAACAGTATTACCTAAGATAACTGAGTACTGGTTTGAAAGTACTGTTACAGTTGGTATAGCTGGAAATATACAAAGAGATATTTCTCATGAAATAAAACAAAAATGCCTTAAAAATGATTTTATTCATTTAGAAATGTCTAATAACAATAGCATTTACATTGTGCATAGAGGTGTTTTCTTAACTGTTCAAACACATGGTTATGTTTAAATTTTTGTTTTAAAATGAAAGACATAACCAGCAACTTACTTTGTTTTTATAAACACCAGTTAAACAGTAACCACATGGAAGAAAGCTGCCATAATATTAGTTATCAAAGATACAAGCATTGTTTATTTATTAATAAAATGTTTGAAACTTGATGTTTTTAATTGAATCGAAGAGACAACTAACAATATTCATTGAGCAAGTCAATTTGTGGCAGTTAAAAAAAGAATACAAAAACTGAAATGTCTCATCAGCTTGAATTCTATGTTGAACATTTTACAGATCAATTTCTTTCTACAGTATCACAATCATTAACATAAAAATAAAGAGAAGTGGTATGATTGCCAGTGAAACAACTAACCAACAAAGGTTACTGTAGGTCTTATCATTATCAATATATGAAAATTTGGTAAAGGTAAAAAGAACCCAGTCAGGTTGACATTTACTTATTACAATCATTCTATATACCAAATACATTGACCTTTTATTTATTATTGAAAACAGTCAGTATTTGAAATTATTTAATAATGACACAGATGATACCCCCACTTGCATATAACATTATAAAGGGACATAATTAATGAACTGTAAGAGTGGCGCAGTTATTGAACCCTGAAAATGCAAAGAAGGACAACCAATTTATGCAAGATAGAAGAAACTTCAGATCATAAGACATCTGTATGCAAGATTACCCAGCTCTTTGATATACCTTCTGAAATATATAGCTATATACAAATAGTTTATGCTGGTGCTGGATTAGCATCCTTATGTCTCACATTCAGCAACATGTTCTGTTAGTGAGACATAAACCATACAAAACTTACTTCCGACAACATCTAAATATGTCTGTTGACTGTTGCCTGTCCCTATACTGTTTGTAGCGTAACATGTGTAGAAGCCTTCATCACTAATTGCTGAAGATGATATCGTCAGGGATGGAGTGGCAACTGTAGAACCACTGTATTTGTTGGTGTTTGTAACAGAAATGACACTTGTGACTCCATTAATTGTTCTCCTCCATTCTACTGAAGTGTGTTGTGGGGTAGCTGTCACCTGACACTGCAATGTTATAGTGTTACCAAAGTTTACTTGATACTGGTTTTGTGGAATGACAACTGAAGGGATACCTGAAAATATAAACATGATTTAGAATTTTATCAGATTTGCAAATAGAACTTTAATTTCAAAATTGTTTTAATCTACCTATGAAATCTCTGCAAGTACTCTTTTTCAACAATACATATATTTAGTCTATGTGACAATGAAAATGTATCCCAGGTTCAAATTCTTTTCCATACATTTCCTGTTTTATGTTCTGAATAAATTATGCTCTTCGTGGTTATCTTTGATTACATCTTAATCAAAATTCGTAATTCATTTTTTTATTCAATTTCAATGTGTTTCATTGTTTTACTGTGTTGTTAGGTTTCTGTTAAATTAAAACCCCAAATCTGATTTTATTCATATTGTAATTATTTCCTTTAAGGATTTGAGTAGGTGTGATATTACTTAAACATAAACATCACTTAAGTTTGGTTTTCTGCAGTAATAGTAACGGAACATGAACAACACTATTACTACACTTTAATTGTGGTGTAAATGTAAACTCCATATTATCATTGAAAAAAAAAAGGTTCTGTTTAAAAAAAATGACATTTCAGGCATAAAAATTATCATTCTTTTCTTTTCTTTTTTTGTTACTGTAAATTCAGAAATTATTGCGATGCTTTTATTATTGCGAAAAATGCGACAGGGTTATAATAATATTTTCTCGCGGTTCGAAGTAAAGCGGGAAAATATTGTATTGACGTTATGGGTAATATGCGTATGGTCCAATCAGAGGGGTTGATTTAGATCCGGGTATGTAGGTATGTTTGATTCGTTTGTCACTTTCTAGCCGCCGTTCGTACGTGCATGACTTAAAATGGACGTCGATATCAGAGAAATAATCCAAGCCGAAGTACAAAGTGCCATACTAGGAACTCAAGATAAACTATTGAACAGCTTTACTTCTCTGCTCGACACACGATTAAATGGTTTCCAGCAAAACATCCAGGATAGCCAGAAGGCATTGTCCGAGTCACAGTTGGCCAAAATCGACGAGACCATGACAGAGACCTTTAAGTTCCGTAAAAGGGGCAATGAAGAACAGTATAAACACAACAAGAAGGTTTTTGTGAAGGTTCTCGAAGCTAACAGCCAGTTAGAATCAGAAAATTTGAACAACGACAACATCCAAACCGCAAAAAGAAAGATTTACGAAGGTATGGAAATGATAAAGTCAAGGCAAAAGCTCATAAAGTTAGCAGATTCTTCAGACGCAGGATGGCGTGTTGTCGACGAATATACTACAAATCCTTTGGCAGAAGATTCCGAAGATGAAAAAAGAATATACAAGGCACAAAGTAGAGCCGATTCCAAGATAAAGAAAGAGAAGGCTAAACGCAAGACCGATCCAAGGCCAACACCTTATAAGACTAAACAACTGGCTCCAGAGAATCCGATTCCAGTTAATACAAACAAGATGTTTCGCCCTGGAAGATGTTTCAATTGTAGTGAAACTGGTCATTGGAGGAGAGAGTGTCCTCATGCTACGGTGCAGCATACAAACAAGATAAGTACTAATATGTTTTTATGTAACGTTAGTAGTAGTAGTCCGAGTACACCTTTGTATTCAAAACAAACGTTACGCAACACAACATTCCTTAGCAATACACATACTACGATTAATAGTAATCGTGTTCACTCAGGTATATCACCTGTAGGTAGCTTATTAGAAAATGTCAATAACTGGACAAAGATAGGTGCTAACGAACACGTTATTAATGTTATACAAAACGGGTATGTGATTCCGTTTTTAACAATTCCAGAGAGTGTAGTATTAGAAAATAATAAGTCGGCGTGCAACAATAAGATTTTTGTTGCGGAAGAAATCGAAAAGTTGTTGAAAAAAGAGTGCATAAGCAGAGTAAAAGAACAACCTCATGTTATAAACCCTCTAACAGTAGCTAACAATGGGTCAAAACTAAGATTGGTATTAGACGCCAGACATATAAATCCACATTTATTTAAATTTCGTCACAAATACGAAGACGCGGTCACAGCTAGACAAATGTTTAACAAAGGAGATTATATTTTTTCATACGATTTGAAAAGTGCATATCATCATATTAGAATTTCACATTTCGACACTACATACCTTGGTTTCAAATGGGGGGATGAATTTTACGTTTACAACGTGTTACCATTTGGCTTGGCAACAAGTGGTTATATTTTCAGTAAAGTAGTTCGGGAAGTCGTAAAACACTGGAGAAGTAAAGGGTTAAAAATAGTTATGTATTTAGACGATGGATTAGGGGGAGGTTCTTCTTATTCGGAGGCATTAACCGCTAGTGATGCGATTAGGAATGATTTAAATCATTTTGGTTTCGAAATAGCACATGAAAAGTGTAATTGGTCTCCAGTACAAAAACTGGAGTGGTTAGGTTTTTGTTGGTGTTTGGAAGAGGGTGTACTGAAAGTCACCGATAAAAGATTGAACAAGTTAAAAAGCGCTTTGAGTGATCTGTTACAGCAATATGAAAAGGGAATGAAATATTTCAAAGTAAGGTCACTTGCTTGTATTGTTGGACAGATCATCTCAACTCAGGCTGTTTCAGGGGATCTTGCACGTTTAAGATCTAGATTTATGTTTGATTGCATACTTACAAGAGAATGCTGGAATTCCAGCGTGATGTTTAGTCTCGAAGCTGTAAATGAATGCAGGTTTTGGTTAGATAATATAGAAAAAATAAATGAGATAGGATCTCAGTTATGTCAGTTGACATACAATGAAGTTCAAGACTATCACGTCTTTTGTGACGCTTCAGAAACAGGTTTCGGGGGTCATTTGACCACAGGTTCAGAGGACGAACCGATAGAGATATACGGAAGTTGGTCTTCCACTGAAAAAGTAAAAAGCTCTACATGGAGAGAACTTGAATCAGTAAAAAGGGTTTTAAGAAATCTTGTGATCAAATTGCATGGTATGACAATTAGAGTTTACACAGACAATAAAAATGTACCACACATTATGAAAGTTGGTAGTAAGAAGAAAGAATTACACAGAAGCGTTATGTCTGTTCATGAAATTTGTCAAGAGAACAAGATCAAACTAAATTTAGTATGGATACCACGCGAGCATAACGATAAAGCAGACAGTCTAAGTAGAAAATCAGATTGTGATGATTGGGAAATCGACGATTGGATTTTTACGTATCTGAATAAGTTATGGGGTCCATATACTTTTGATCGCTTTGCACAGGATTACAATGCAAAATGCAACAAATTCAATTCGAAATTCTGGTGCACAGGTACATCAGGCATTAATGCTTTTTCTGTGTCATGGGATGGCGAGAATAATTGGTTAGTTCCACCACCTCGTTTGGTCCCACAGACCATTAACAAAATGATACAGGATAAAGGTAGTCATACTTTGATTGTTCCTGAGTGGACATCTGCCGCTTATTGGCCAATGTTAGTTGACCAAGTAGGTCATTTTAAATCTTTCATAAGAGATTACCGGTTTTTTCAAGGTGAGAGCCTCACTAAACGAGGAAGGGGTCAAAACGGTATATTTGGCTCGCAGTTCTTAAAATTCAGATTAGTTGCTCTAAATATTAAATGAAAAACATAGATACTTATAATTTTCATTTTCTTAACAGGCATCAGTTTAGATCGTCATGTAAAAGTCGCAATAGAGGACAGTGGAGTAGAAACAGGAAGCCATTTGTATAGTCTATATCCGAAGATGTGTGAGTTATTATTGAACAGTAAAAGTGACAATACAGTCAAGTCGTATTTCTACGCTTTTAGAAGGTGGGAAAAATTCATTACAGAACATGGACAAGATGCTTTACCTGCACAACCGGTACACGTTGCTTTATATTTGACAAATTTATTGAACAATGGATCTACTAGTCATCCCGTTTCCAATGCTTTATACGGTATAAAATGGGCCCATGAAGTGAGTGGGTTACCAGATCCTACTATAAACTCTTTCGTTACTTCCATAGTTGAAGCTTCCAAACGAACCACAACTAAAACCTCCAACAAAAAAGATCCGGTTTCAGCAGAGATATTAATTGAACTATGTACGCACTTTAAAGATTCAGATGATTTACTCATTATTAGAGATTTGACAATGATATTACTAAGTTTTTCTGGTTTTCTGAGATATGATGAAATTAGTTCGTTAAGATTTAAAGATGTCGTTATACATGACAATTATTTGATTTTGTATATTAACAAAAGTAAAACCGATCAGTATCGTCAAGGAAACGAAATTCTCATTTCGAAAGGTTTATCCATAGCTTGTCCATACGTTATGTTCATAAGATATTTAGAATTGGCCAATTTCGATTTTGACTCCAATAAATATTTATTTAGGCAGATTTGCAGATCGGGCAAAAATTGTAAACTTATAGATAAAGACAAAAAGCTAAGCTATACGGCGGCTAGGGAGGCTTTATTAGGTAGAGTTAGGTTAGTTTCACCAAATTGTAATATAGGCCTACATTCTTTCAGAGCCGGTGGTGCAACGGCTGCTGCAAATGCAAACGTAAACGAGAGGTGTTTGAAAAAACACGGCCGGTGGAAGTCAGACTCTAGCAAAGATCGTTACATTGTTGACTCCACAGAGAAACGTTTACAGGTCTCGAAGGAATTGGGTTTATGATATTTGTTTAGCTCTTATTTATTCTGGCCCCCGTTCTTTGTGTAATTTCTATCAAATACGGCGGGCTGTCGGCAAATTGATATTTGCGTTTGTGTTGTTTTCTTTATAGGCATATGTAGTATAGATAATACTAATATTTTCTCGCGGTTCGAAGTAAAGCGGGAAAATATTGTATTGACGTTATGGGTAATATGCGTATGGTCCAATCAGAGGGGTTGATTTAGATCCGGGTATGTAGGTATGTTTGATTCGTTTGTCACTTTCTAGCCGCCGTTCGTACGTGCATGACTTAAACTTAAGTCATATATATATATGTATATATGTATTCATTTCAAGAAGTTTTGTTTTTTGTCATCTCTCTCGTTATAGAAGGTGAGGTCCGACTACCTTTTTCCTGAGATAGGCTTGTGCATTGTCGTCGGATACAGGTTTCCACTTAACAAAATATGGTTTTTCCTGGACGGCCTCGACTATCCGTGAGGGAAATATTTTGGAAAGATTTAAGAGAGAATGTTCATTTATAATGTATAGAAGCATTGAATTATAACATGTTTGTTATTTGTTGTTTAATAGAAACAATATTGTATTTGTTATTATAAAATTACATCCGGCGTCCATCAAATACGGCGGGCTGTCGGCAAATTGATATTTGCGTTTGTGTTGTTTTCTTTATAGGCATATGTAGTATAGATAATACTTGCAATAATTTTAACTCGCATTTTGAATTTTTTTATATGAATTAAACAGGATTGTTCTCAATATCGCAAAAATTAAAATTGCAATAATAAATGCACACAATAATTTCTGAATTTACAGTATATCAGCAATTTTTGACACATGAAGTGAAATGACTACTTTTGCATAAAAAAATCACACCGAAGAAAGAATATTTCATTAATCTACTAATTGGTCAGTTTATTTTCTTACACTTCTTTTTATGACTATTTTTAATCAACAGCAGATTTATAAAAAAAATACTATGTATGAATATGTGTAGTAACGCACTCATCAAATTATTATTACATTATTCATCATTATACTCTATAAACCTAAGACATGAAATCATTGCAGAAAGTATAAAGTCATACATTTCCCTCTAGAAATGGAGACAACCATTAACATAGAAACACAAAGTTTGCACTTATATGACAATTTTAAAAATTAGCCACCTTTAAACAAACCAAGCTTAAATTCAATGTTTTTCTATGTAATATCACTGAAAGGCCACATTCTAATCAAGGACTACTTGGTATGTAACAGAACTGCAACTTGCATTTTTAATTATCATTAATAAATAAAGTATGATGCACACAGTACTTTTGTGAATGGTGTATGGTGCAATGGAGAATAGTGCATAGTACTTTTGGGAATGGCATATTTAGTGCATGGGAGTCCACCTTTGTTATAAGATATTTTTCAATATTGAAATTTGTAATAGCCCCCTTTCTCTGTAAATAAATATTGGAAAATTGGAATGGTGCATTATTTTGTATGGTTCAATATGGAAAAGGAATGGTGTATGATGTATTTGGCAATAGTGAATGGAATGGAGAATGATGCTAGTAGGAAGTTTACACAGATCAAGGATTGTACTACCAGTAAGATGTTGTTCTACTGTAAATTCAGAAATCATTGCGTGCATTTATTATTGCGATTTTTTCAAAAATGGACAAGAAAGCGAGTTTAATTATTGCGATTTCAGAAAAAACTACATACAGATCTATGTTTTAGTTATCAAAATGCAAGTTCTTATTATTGCGATATTCATCTAGTTGCATTATTCGCTTTAATAAAAACCTCGCAATAATTTCTGAATTTACATTATATAAACTTTACTTAGAACAGTGGTCTATCTATACTGCTGGTTGTATTATTTATTAACAAAAATTATCATGAAAACTGAGATATGATTGAATTAACCTGTATAAAGGAAAGAGTGGTGTATACCTCAAAGGGAAAATCAAGTAAGTTTGTATGTTATTCAGAATTTTAAGCCTTTAAAGAAATTTTGTTAGTTATTACAGTACCTTACTAGGTCAAAAAAATGTATATGATATATTCAAATTTTATATTATTACTGTTGAATAATGAAAGCCAACTGCAACACAAAAAATTAGTAAGGGCGCGGAAACCTGTGTCTTGCCTGCGATTGCTGCTGTCAGTGTAAAGGAGTAATATTGACTTAAAAAGTGAGTCCATTTATCAGTAAAATACAGAATTTAAAAACAAATTCAAACTTTTTCTTTTGATGCTATTTCTTGGTCTTGAAGATTAATTTCTGTCCAAGTTTCATAACAATACATGAAGGTTTACAAATTTATCTTGTCAAAAAAATAGAATCCCAGACGGTCTGTAAATGTGAACTGTAAAAAACGAAGTCCATCTATCAGAAAAGTACTAAAATGAAAAAAATATCTTTTCAATGGTTTGCTTCAGACATTATCTCTTAATCAATAAAAGCTTCTGCCTAAAGTTTCATAAAACTCCATGAAGGTTTGACAAAGTAATTGATGACTGAAAAACTTTAACATCAAACTAAATCTGAATGTTAACTGTAAAAAAACTAAGTCTATTTATTAGAAAAATATGGAAAAATGAAAATAAATATTTTCAAAATTTTTCACTTGATACTGTATTATGGTCATAAACAAGCTTCTGTCCAAATTTCATAAAATTCCAACCATGTAGGTTTAACAAAATTATTGATGACTCAAAAAAACTTTAACAACAGACTGAGATTAAATGTTGATGATGACGGCGATGCAATCTAGGATCACTATGTCTTGCATTCGCGAAATAAATTTTGCAGGCTTAACAAAAATTACAAACAGTAAATCACATGGTTGTTCATCTTTCACGATGGTATAAGTGATTGAGGTACCCCCCCCCCCCCCCCCCCCCCCCTCCAACTTAAAATTATACATACTTCCAATAACAGTAAGAGTGGTCTGTAAACTCTGTCCTGTTCCAACACTGTTCACGGCAAAACACACATATGTGGCTTCATCATCCTCCACTACACTAAAGATTTGTAATGATGGATTCTGTACACTAGATCCTCCATATCTGTTGGTGTTTGTATTGGAATTAATTGTTGTAGTCACGCCATTTTTAATCTTCTGCCAGTACACACTTGTCTCAGCTGGGTTGGCAGTCACAGTACAACCAAGAGTGACAGGGTTATTTAGATTGATACTGTAGGATGTGCTTGATACAGTTACAACTGGTACACCTAGTTTAATGAAGAAAGACGCATTTTAATGATGTGAAAAACCATCAGAAAAATACATTCAAGTGTACTGAAAATTACCACAAACAAGACTCTCAAGAGCCTGAATCGCTCACCTTAATTTTTTGCTTAAATCTTTCATCAATGATTATTTTTGCTTTTTAATGTATAGTAATGAGTGGCTTAAAAATTCCATTGAGATGTTCTTTGTATCTGTCATATTTTCTTCAAAAGCAATACATTTTACCCCTATGTTCCATTTTAGCCATAGTGGCTATGTTTCTTGACATACAAGAAAATAAAATACAAAATTTATACTAGATACTCTGAAACTCATTCAGCCCAAGTTTGGCTGAAATTGATTCATCAGTTTCAAAGGAGAAGATTTTTTAAAGTAAGCAACTAGATGAGCAAATTGTGAAAAATTGTCTTTAAAAGGCAATAACTCCTTTAGGACACATTTGACGATTTTGGTCATATTAACTTATTTATAGATCTTACTTTGCTGAACATTTTTGCTGTTTACAGTTTATCTTTATCATTAATAATATTCAAGATATCTATGGTTGAGGGGTGGGGATCTTGACCACTTACAAGATATTAGAACTTTGTCAAATGGTAGGGGGTGGGGGTGACCCCTGGGGACTTACCCTTTATTTGACTTGATGTGCTTTATCATGTAGAACATTTTCAATTATAAAGATTGTGTCTATCACTAACGGTTTTCAAGTTATAATCATTTGAAAATTTAAAAAATTAAAATCCCATAGGGTTCTTTAGTAAACCCCTCCCTTCTTTTGGCCCCTCAAAGTACCCCTTTTTAGACCCCAATGCACAAACGAAACCCTGATTGCACCACTAGACATGTTAGTCTAACATATTGTGAAACCTTAAGTAAATCTGACCAGCGGAAAAAAGTGGCGGAAGAGGGAAGCCATTTTGCAGAAGCTAAGTACTGTTGGTACCTCAGGGCACCACTGCCAATATTTGCATAAAGTTTCATTAGGTTGGCTCTAATAACAAAAGATTTAGAATTTCGATTTTTTTCACATTTTTGCAGTTTCCATGGTAATGGCCGCCATTTTGTACCATTCCAATGTCTCTTGCACAACTTCTCATGGCGGTTCATATTATGGTATTGTTCCATCGACATTGGTCTGACCAATTCGGAGAAATACCATGGACAAAATGTGTGGAAGAATAAAAATAAGACACTAGAGGCTCTAAAGAGCCTGTGTCGCTCACCTTGGTCTATGTGCATATTAAACAAAGGAACTAGATGGATTCATGACAAAATTGTGTTTTGGTGATCGTGATGGTGATGTGTTTGTAGATCTTACTTTACTGAACATTCTTGCTCCTTACTATTATCTCTATCTAAAATGAACTTGGCCGGTAGTTACAGTGGAAAATATTTTGTAAAAATTTACAAAAATTTACAAAATTTATGAAAATTGTAAAAAATTGACTATAAAGGGCAATAACTCCTTAAGGGGTCAATTGAAAATTTTGGTCATGTTGACTTATTTGTAGATCTAACTTTGCTGTACATTATTGCTGTTTACAGTTTATCTCTATCTATAATAATTTTCAATATAATAACCAAAAGCTGCAAAATTTTCTTAAAATTACCAATTCAGGGGCAGCAACCCAACAACGTGTTGCCTGATTGGTCTGAAAATTTCAGGGCAGATAGATCTTGACCTAATGAACAATTTTATCATCATCAGATTTGCTCTAAATGCTTCGGTTTCAGAGATATGAGCCAAAAACTGCATTTTACCCTATGTACTATTTTTTAGCCATGTCGGCCATCTTGGTTCGCGGGCGGGGTCATCGGACACATTTTTTAAACTAGATACCCTAATGATGATTGTGGACAAGTTTGGTTAAATTTGTCTTAGTAGTTTCAGAGGAGAAGATTTTTGTAAAAAATGATAAAAATTTACGACAAATGGTTAAAAATTGACTATAAAGGGCAATAACTCCTTAAGGGGTCAACTGACCATTTTGGTCATGTTGACTTATTTGTAGATCTTACTTTGCTGAACATTATTGCTGTTTACAGTTTATCTCTATCTATAATAATATTCAAGATAATAACCAAAAACAGCAAAATTTCCTTAAAATTACCAATTCAGGGGCAGCAACCCAACAACGGGTTGTCCGATTCATCTGAAAATTTCAGGGCAGATAGATCTTAACCTGATGAACATTTTCACCCTTTGTCAGATTTGCTCTAAATGCTTTAGTTTCAGAGATATAAGCCAAAAACTGCATTTTTACCCCTATGTTCTATTTTTAGCCATGTCGGCCATGTTGGTTGGCAGGCGGGGTCATCGGACACATTTTTTAAACTAGATACTTGAATGATGATTGTGTTTAAGTTTGGGTGCATTTTGCCTAGTAGTTTCAGAGGAGAAGATTTTTGTAAAAGTTTACGGACGACGGACGACGGACGCAGGACGACGGACGCCAAGTGATGAGAAAAGCTCACTTGACCTTTCAGGTCAGGTGAGCTAAAAAAAGAACGGAACAATAACAATATGTCACCCCAACTTCGTTGAGGGTGCCATAATAACTAGATTTGCCATTGCAAGCAATAGTGGATGTCACCCTTCCCCTCTTTGCCACTAAGTGGCAGCCATTTTAGAAATTTTAAACAGTGAATGCAAATATATGCAGTTAGCATTAATATAAAGTTATATTAAGTTTGGTGCATTTTGAAGTTTTTGACATTTTTGCTGGTTTGCATGGTAACAAAGACCATTTCCAAAATTGTAATGACAGACGCCACATTGGTACATGGGATGGAACATACCATCAATGTTTCAATGGATTTGACCTACCATTTTAAGAGAGAAAATGCTACTTTGAGGTTTTTCCCATAGGATTGTAATGGGAAACCTTTCCCCAGTTTCCATGGCAATACAGTAGTTCCGATGATTCTCAAAATCATCCAAAACCTGTATATAGTGGATACCTATGTTGTATAAAAATTTGATGATTTTTAGTTCAGGCATTCTCAAATTAGTCATCAAGAACAAAAACAATATTTTTCACATTTTTGCTGTTTCCATGGAAACGGTGGCCATTTTAAAGTTCCAAAGTTTCACTGCAACTCCACTGATGGTGGTCCTTATTATGCTCAACAGTCATGAAGATTGGTTCCATTGCCTGCCGGACAAAATTAGGTAGAACAAAAATAATAATAATAGGGAAAAAGAAACAGAGGAAAAGCAATATGTCACCTGACATTGTCGATCGGGTGACATAATAAGAACTGAGCAAAAACAATAAGTCTTCCCAAACTTCGTTTGGGAGACTTAATTAAAGAGATGCAACTATGTATGTGGAAAAATAAATGAAACTTATTAAAGTGTTACAGATGGATATGTGTATGTCAATATATCCCCAGACCCTAAAAATATCTGCATTGTTTAATTAAATCATCACTGTTCACTTACTTCCAAAAACATCAAGGAAAGTTTGAGAACTTTGTCCAGTTCCAACCGAATTATCAGCATAACAGATGTAATTTCCTTCATCAGAATTATCAGCATTATTGATGACTAATGATGGTGAGTTGACTGTAGATCCACTGTATCTGTTATTATTTGCGACATTAATGTCTGTGAGGGCACCATTAATAACTCTCCTCCAGTAAACTGTAGTGTGACTTGGGTTGGCTGTCACTGTACATCCTAGTGTCACAGTGTTACCAATCAAGACTGTATACTGGGCTTGTTGAATAACAACTGATGGTACATCTGAAATTCAAAATTAAGATTTCTTAACGCCATGAGCATGGATGAAGGAATACAAATTAACAAAAGTTCAACAATTTTCAACATCTCAGTTTTGTTTTCTCATTTAGTTTATTGGATTATCAGTATTGCTTCATTTTTCAAATTATAGGATGATCGGTTTTGTTAACTGATTCAGTTATTTGGATTACCAGTTTTATTTGCTGTTTCAAAGGAATTTGTCTTAATTAATAATATGTATCAAATGGATGTTAAAGATTAAATTTATTATTATGAAAAATATAATCTGCTATACTATAACATTCAATTCACAATTTGTAAGACTTCATTCATATGAATTCTCATGTTTAACTTATTTTCATGTAAACATATAATTGATCTTAATCTATTACATCTGCAGTGGACATTAAGCAACTAACAATCAATCAATCAATCTATACATCCACATTCATATATCACAAATTTATTTAACTACATATAAATCATTCTACATGCAAATTTTTGATGATTTTGATTGTGAAATGTGTGCTGTAAATACAAATATAAATACATTAACATTACATATATAATGAAAAAATACAACAATACGCACATATTTTTTTCAATCATTACAAAATTAGATTTCATTGCATGACTTACAGATAATAAAAATGGAAAAAAAAACTGGTATTGCCTCATATAACTAACAAACATACTTCCTGTAACATCCAAGAAAGTCTGTTGACTCTGGCCAGTCCCAACAGCATTAACAGCAAAACAGATGTAATTAGCCTCATCATCCTGCACAGCATTCAATACAGTTAGAGATGGTGTGCCAACAGTTGATCCAGAGTATTTGTTTGTATTGGTGTTACTATTTATAGTTGTTGTTGTACCACCCTGAATCTTCTGCCAATAGATAGATGTTGCCGATGGTGATCCTGATACCAAACATTCCAGAGTTCGGGATTGACCAAGAAGAACAGAGTATGAAGACTGTGGAATCTGTACAGTTAACACATCTGTAACATAATCCAGTTTATTTAGAGTATATAGACGTATTTACACTTGTATGCAAATTTGTCCGCCATTACATAAAATCACACAGGTTCCTGTAAACTTTGACATCATAATTCAAAACATTTGACGTCACAATTTAAAAGTGATTGTTGTCTGACGTCAAAAGGTGATTCGGAGTACCGGTAGATCTAAAGTCATTCGGAGGCAAAATATAGCTAAATACCAAAAGTATAAATACGTTTATTGCTGTATACAACATCTATTATATAATGTGTGTATTAAACGGTGTCAGCTACAGTTTGTCAGAAAATCATTACTTTACTAATTTTATGAAAATCATGTGATGAAAGGAATGTTTAAAGATCACCTAAAATTTACCATGCATTCATTATGGAATATTTGAAAGCTTTATTAAAATGACACAGTTAAGGTAACATAATAACATAAGGGAACTGCTCAAAATATTTCTTAAAATAGAGAGATATTGAAATGATTTGATGTTAATTAATTATCAATCCATTAATGAAATTTTGTCACTGAAACAAAGACCCATTTATCTGAGATGCACAACATGTAGGATCTTTCCTTATTAAACTACATCAAGTAAATTTGAAAATCGTGAAATTAAATATCCCAGAAGTGGGCTAGAAAGGGCTAAATGCGAAATGATAGACATGAACTTTTTTTTGTTACAATACCATCAGCTGCAACATAATATAAAACTTACTGCCAACAACATCCAAGAAAGTTTGTGTGCTCTCTCCTGTACCAATACTGTTAGTTGCTGTACAGACGTAGTTGCCTTCATCACTAATTTCCACATTGTTGATGGTCAGTGATGGTGTATTGACTGTAGACCCTGTGTATTTTGCCAGACCTATGTTGATGTTACTTCTCTGGTTATTGATGACACGCTGCCATTGCACAGTAGTATGAGCAGGGTTGGCAGTTACAGTACATACCAAAGTGACAGTTGAACCAAAGTTTACACTGTACTGAGGCTGCTGAACTTGTACAGATGGTATATCTAAATAAAACAAGATAAATTAACTAATAGTTTTCTTTTCGGTTTAGTCAGCTTTCTTTGAGGTTTTATATTTACAATCTCTTATTACTGTCCACTGTTCCGACATTAAGCAATCATCAATCAATCAATCAATCAAATTACTGTCTTTTACCTTGTTTCATGTAATGACTTTTTTCACATTAAAAAACTTAAATCCTCCTTATTTGTTTAACAAATAGCAATAACATCAAATAAGTTGTACTTAAATCAAATGAAATGACCTTATTGTTTTTGTTGAGAATTGTCTTTTTTTGAAAATCAAAAATAGTTTGAATGCCTAAATTGCCTAAAATATACAAAATTTCTTAAGGGAGATAACTCTCTTGTGTTTTTTTTTAATTAGGTTTTATAATATAAATCATGTATATCATCAACTAATACAAAATCATATGTGCAATCTTTCCAGCAATTGTTGATTTAATTAATAAAGGTGAAAGCTAGCAATTTTTTCTTCTATTTTATATTAGTTTTGGGTTTTATTAAAAGTCTATTACTGGTACTTTACTATTGTGAAAGGCCCATTTAAAATAATATTTAGATTCTTGAAGAAAATAACAAGCTGAAGGACTTTTGTCTTGTCTGAATAGAAGACTTATTGAATAGGATTGAATAATAAAATTTGTTCATGAGATTCTTCCAATATTTAGTCTTTAATCTAGTAAAAATTATATTCCAAGGTATTTCACTCATATTTTTTTTACAAAACTGTAAAAGAGGATGAAAAGACCTCTGAAGGTATTATTCTAGAGCAGTGGATCAAGTGGGTTTAACATTGTTCTTTCTTTAGGCATGGCTTGTAGTCATGGTTCAAACCAAATGTTAACATGCTATATCTTACATCACATGTATTAAGCTCAAATTTTTATAATAAAAATACTTAAACAAATTTAAAAACATTTTGAGGAGAATTTTCTTCTTACATTTTGTAAACATTTGCACTCTTATCATCAATCCAGAAATATAACTTACTTCCAGTAACATCCAAGAAAGTTTGTGTACTCTGACCAGTTCCAACACCATTGGTAGCAAAGCAGACGTATGTTGCTTCATCACTCTGGTCAGCATTGACAATAGTCAATGATGGTGTGCTAATGGTGGAGCCACTATACTTATTTGTGTTGGTGCTTATGGTTGTTACAACATTATTTACTGTTTTCTGCCAATAGACAGTGTTAGCAGCAGGGGAACCAGTCACAGTGCACCCCAGGGTTACTGTTTGACCAATTGTAACAGTGTATGACGACTGCTGAATTGTTACAGTTAAAATATCTGAAAAGTAATAAAAACATCAACAAAATAATTTGACATTGAAAATAAGCTGGAAAAGTCCAAAGAATTATTAAAATAAACATAATTTCCTGCTTTTGATATTTTAATATACTTATGTACAATCATTTCCAGAATAAAATTTCATCCTGTTGTCAACAAGATATGATTATGATCTGGTATTTATAATGTTTTCACAACATAACAAAGCTTGTGCACATAATAACTGCAGTTCATAATGTATTGAAGGAATGTAATGTATATTATACAGGAAGACGATAAACACTCCTAAACCCTAAAATGCAGAAAAGACACTTCCTGGGCCCTTTCAAAAACAAATTTGGGCATGGTTCCCTTTTCCAGCTGGTCTAATTGCAATGGTCAATTATAATATTTAGGAAAAAAGTGTTATTATATTTTCACCTCTGTCAAACCCTTATTTGTAGTAAACTCTTTTTTGAAACCCCATTAATAATATGGCCGAGGTTTTCCTGACCTAACACAGCTGGTCTAGGGGGCATCTGAACAGTACTACCATTGAAAAATTACATTTTATAAAAATAAACAATGGTTATTCACATCAATTGAAACTCATTAGAGTAAACTTTTAGAGACCCATTTAATGGACATTCCAATTTCCACATCACTATAGAAATCTGAATTTGCAAACATATCAAATACTCAACTAACAGAAGCAACTCTTGAAATACAGAAACACAGAACTGGTTGTAATGCATCTTATCTTAAGTCCAGTTATTATTGATTTAAAGAATAATTAACATATTCTATAAAAAAAATAGTCGCTAAAGAATTATTGTTATTTCACCTTTTTTAAATAGAGCAAAAAGGGAGCAAGTTAAAGAAGCATAACTTCTAATGCTTGCTATAAATTTACCCACCTTCAATTCATTGCAAAGTGTTTTTAAAATCTTTACTTGTTGTAATGAGGCAATGATTTTTTTAATTTGTTTGTTTACAAATCAGCTGAACCAATTTTTCCAGTTTTAAGAAAAAAATTAAAATGTATATTCATGCTTTTTTTTATTCCTGCCTACTCTACAAAAATTGTCATCCCCGAAAATATATAAAATATCTATGTAGCTGCATTTACCTCAAACAATGTGCATTATTTTATTATGTTTAAACAAAAACAGAAAGGATAACACATCATCCGTTATGTTTGTGTTCTTAAAAATACAATTCTAAATAAGATCTGGAAATGTTTGTTACACAAATATTATACAGAACAAAAATCTGTGTTAAATAGCCCTTTATAATAAGTTTGTGTCATAATTCAGAAAGATATTTTAGGACAAGGTAAGTTGTTTCATCCTCATGCATGAAAAGAACCTGTCTACAAATGGGAAAGATGTTAAGTTAAAAGCAACAGAAGATGACCACAAACAATTAGGAATTTTCTCATTCATAGGTTATATAAAAATACTTCATCAATTTTAAAAATTAGAAGTGGGGTAACCTTGCAAAAAGGACCAAACCAATATCCCCATCATACACAAGTGGTAAAGTGTTATTTTGTGTGCATGTTTGCAATTTTTTTTCTCATGCTTTTCTGCTTGAAGCTTATTATTCACCCTGTTTTGTAAAAATTGATAAAAGCAACAGTTATTTTCTTTTTTTTGCTCATCATAAAATGACCATTTATTTCTCATTTATAAATGCATATTCCTCCATCTCCATTTTTTACGAATTTGTATGACATTGGCATGCATTATATTTTTAAAAAAGAAAATATGTTTAGCACTAAAATTTAATGAATGCTGACAAAAAATTAGAACAAAAATATTGTAATTAAGCTAAAGTACACAGTAATTCTATACATATTTATGTCTTGTACGATATTTTGATTTTTGTTTTTGTTTTGATGGACCGAAATTAAAAACCCTTCTTAAAATCTAATCAAATTTATTTTACTACGCCATGCCAGACATGACCAGGTTTCTCTGTCTCTTGTGGAATTTTTGTCTCAATTTTACATAATTCATTTTGAAATTTTTGTGACATTTTAATTATTGCAAAAACTGTGATAAATCTTTTATCTCATTAATTGGATCTTTTAATTGAAAGAGGGAACATTATAAACTGTATGTAGCATTTCTTTAAACAAATTTATTAATGTCACATTCTTGTCAGATGATAAAAAATTGCAACAAAAAATACACGTAATAATTCTACATAAAAGTTTGTAAAGAATATCATACTTCCAATGACATCTAAGAAAGTCTGTGAACTCTGTCCTGTTCCTAAGCTATTAGTAGCTGTGCAAATATAAAATCCTTCATCATTCAAGTCAGCTGAATTAACTGTTAAAGATGGAGTAGAAACAGAAGATCCACTATATTTATTATTGGCAAAGTTGATGGACTGAAATTGATTGTTGACTAATTTCTGCCACTGTACAGTCGTGTGGGTGGGGTTTGAACTAACTGTACACTCCAATACTCTAGTACTGCCAAAGTTTACTTGGTATGTAGATTGTAAAATCTGAACTACTGGGATACCTGTGAAAAAAAATCATTGTGCATCATTAAAATAATTTTTTTTTTATCTAAGTATACACCATCCTTTTATCAGAAATGAATTTCCAGATTCTACATTCAGACAACTTTAAGTTATCATGAAGATATTCAGCCAATTGGATTGAATTTCTACACTTTCAAATAAGATTTCCATTTAGAAAATGTTCAAATTTTTTGGAATATGTAATGTCAAAGGTTTTCATCGATGACTGATGCCTGTGTAATACTTTGGAATGGTCAACAGTAACTTTTTATCAACCACTGACTCATTATAAAACTTTGAAAAAAAACAAGAGAAAAAAGGAAATTCATATACAAAACATGCTAAAATTGCTGAATAAAACCTAAAAAAAAAAGGATATATATCAAGTTAAAATATATTTTGAAACAGTCTTAACATATTCCAATGCATAAAAACTGCCAATATCTATATTGTATCTTAATGACAAAATTTCATTTAACTGACATTTGTATAAAATAAGAACGTTATGTATCCATAGAAAACCATGCCTCACTAACGTTATTACACTTCCATGTTCAGTGAACTGAAAAATATGGTTCAAAACTATAATTTGGAATATTATAAAAAAACAAGAATGTGTCCATAGTACACGTATGCCCCACTCGCACTATAATTTTCTATGTTCAGTGGACTGTGAAATTGGGGTCAAAACTCTAATTTGGCTTTAAAATTAGAAAGATCATATCATAGGGAACATGTGTACTAAGTTTCAAGTTGATTGGACTTCAACTTCATCAAAAACTACCTTGACCAAAAACTTTAACCTGAAGCGGGAAAAATAACATCATCATTAACATGTGTACTAAGTTTCAAGTTGATGTAATCACAACGCCATGGTAAACTACCTTACTCCAAAACTTAAACCTTATAAGGATGGACAAATGAATGAACATACACACAAACAAATGGACAGAGGGATGCAAAAACAAGAAACACTATGCCACATACTTTTAAAGGAGGGTGAAGTAGCATAAAAATTAAAATCAATTCAGAATTATATATCATATATTCAAATTCAATCTGATTTTTTTTAAATATAAGTGTTCCTTCAATATGAAATCTCTGTATTTTTGGTAGACAGCTTTCTGTAAGTTTAGACAGAATCTTAACAGGTACTTGTAAAAGTAGGATCTGACAAATAAATAAAAAGGAGTAAAATACATCTCCATTTTACAAAGACAAAGAAACGGTTATAACAGTTTTGAATACCAGTAATAAGTTTTATAAATGAAATACTTTACTGTGATTCATTTATTTTCATGGATACCAATTTTCTTGGATTGAGGAAAAAGTGTATTTTCATGGACATTTGATTTCATGTTTTTGCTAAAGTCTGCTACAAGACTTGCTAAATTCTGGCTACAAGCCTATAGAAAATTTGTACTTCGTTGAACATTTAAATTCATATGAAACTTCAAATTTAAAAAAAAAGTTGAATATGTTTTATATACTTGAATGGCTAAGTTTTACTATAAAACAAGTGTACGTAAACTTTTTTTAAAAAGAAAATCCTTTATATATTATCAAAATCTTCATAATATCCATCTATTAAATTATTGTCTTCCTGGTCAATAATTCAACGATATTTTCCCGTATGCAGTGACCTTAGCCACATGACCTGTCGTTAGAACTTCAGCCGCAGCACAGCGCAAGTGCTTTGGGAAAACCCTGATGAAAGAATATAAACAAATGTGTACTGGAAGGTAAAAAGTAGTAACTGATTCTTAAAGAACACATTTAATGCAACAAATCGTTAAACAACATTATGAAAAAGTTTAATTAACAACTGGGAACGCATGGAAAATATAAAAAAGAATGTCATGGCTCTAACAATTTACTTATTCGTCACAAGCTACACATGCTTTGTATTGTATGTTTATCAATGTCACAACCTGGTAAACTTCAGCAACACACTCGAAAGTTAATTAGCTTCCTACCAACAAATACTGAAAGAAACCTTATTTGTTGATAATACATTATAGATTTGTAATAGATATAAAGTACGTGCATGCAGGAGTGTTACAAAATGGGGAAAAGATGGCTTAAATAACAATTCAAAGCTGTAAAGATATATTAAACAATCAATTTTGATTTGCCAAAAAAAACTTTTTATAAATATTTAAAAGAGCGGTCAAAGATACCAAAGGGACATTGAAACTCATAAATCGAAAGTCAACAGACAACGCCATGGCAAAAAAAGTATTTTACTTACTTCCAGTAACGGTAAGTGTAGTTGCTGAACTAGATCCTGTTCCAAACTGGTTCGTTGCCTGACAAACATAACTTCCTTCATCACTCTCGGCAGAACTAAAGATGGTCAGAGATGGGACATTTACAGAAGAGCCACTATACTTATTAGTATTTGCTAAACTGATTGTTGTTGTAACACCATTTGTGGTACGTTGCCAAACAACTGATGTAGCTCCAGGGGTGGATGTTACAGTACATACTAACGTAATGGTGTTACCCACTAACACGTTGTATGATGGTTGCTGTATTACAACTGTTGGTGGATCTGTAAAGTTAAGGTATTATATTAATCATACTGTTATCAAAAGGGGGGGTAACTTCGATATTTTTTTGGTAGGGGTGAGCAATTTTTGCATCAAAAAAAGTACCCATTTTAATATAACATTCACTGAAATTCAGTACCTATAGTTATACAAATATTTAAGAAAGAATGACCTATACTTATATACAATATCTAAAATATGACCTATGGTTATATAAGCACTTAATCTTTATCATCACTCATAAATATACAGGTACCCTTCAGTTTTTATATATGAATTGACATCCTGGGTTCATTTGGGAACTTATTTGAAAGTTGAACTTTCAAATGAATTGATTTTATTTGATATAATTGACCATTAATAACGTAAGATTGTCAATAGCATATTTATATATTATATGTAGATCATACCCCAAATCAAAATACAGTTATTAAACGTAAATGTATTTTAATATATTATGTCATTAAAAAGGAGGGTCATTTTTATATAAATCTCGCAAAATTATGACCCATATTTTTGGCACATCCCCATTTCCCAATAATAGGAAGTAACCTCCCTGTGGTTAAAATATTTCTATTTTTTTGTATTAAATTTCTCATTTATGAAAACATATTTACATTGTTATTTGAGGGAATCACAAAACTTCGTGCTCTAATCACTAACAACTTATACAAATGCTCTCATTGGGACTCTTAACTCATGGGTTGGAGTACAAATCTAGCCCATTGAACCACATCCACTTAATTGAAAAGTGGTAGGTCTATCTCTTTGTAACTCTCATGTAACTTAAGATCAAAAGCCTTAATCAATTCAATATTAGAATTGTAATTTCACATGTTTTCTTTTCAGACAATGTTTTATTTATCTGACAGCAGTCAATTCAGCTTTTATATATAGGTTAAAGGACCGCAAGAAGATCTAGTAACAGTCACACCAAATATCATATTTTAAACAAATGTCTCAATTTATGACAAATCTTACTATATGTCTCCCCCATCCTGATGATCCAACTAATAACCTTCTTTTCAGATGATAATCTTGCAGTTCTTATTCAATAATACTTTCTTTTATAGATAACATATTGTAAATCCTCCCATTGACCCCCCCACCCCCCCCCCCCCCCTCTTTCCCCAGCAAAAAAAAAACAACAACATTGGTTTAATTTAATGAAATATTTTAACTTTTGAATCATACCTCCAACAACATTTAAAGTAGTTGCTGTGCTGCTTCCAGTTCCTACAATGTTGGTAGCAGAACATACATATTGTCCGATATCATTCAGGTCAGCATTATTGATACTAAGTGATGGTGAATTTACAGTACCACCACTGTATTTCCCAGATCCGACACCAATATTTGTAGTGACTCCATTCTGTGTTCTCTGCCATTGGACAGTGGTATGTGTAGGGTTAGCAGTTACAGTACATACTAGTGTTACAGTTTGTGCCAGATTAACAGAGTATGATGATTGTTGTATTTGTACAACAGGAATACCTGTAAGAAAATACAGGACATGTATACATGATATAAATACAAAAAATTCTTCACATCCCATAAAATCACGATTTTCAAATCAAAGGACTGTGGTGTTCAAACCATTAATTTTAACATCAAATATTAATTACAGGAGATTTGGAATATACATCGATGAGTAAGCAACCCAACATCACAAAAACCAAAAGATATCAAATGTTCATCTTCAGCTAAAAATTAAACACCAAGAAAATCTCATGTTTTTATTCAAAGGTGCAACTGATTGTATTTTAGACTAGACATCCAATTCATCATGTTCCATTCCTATAAAAAAGGAGATGTAGGGTATATGTCAATGAGACAGCAACCCAACAACCAAAAGACACCTACCCTTATTTAGGTTGTGTTAAATGTCACAATACATACAGAATAACAGGAATTACCAAAAATGTTGTACAGTAAAACACAAATCACCAACACCAAACTCCTCTGAAAACATAGAGGTAAAAACAAAAAAACCAACAATGAATAACACAAGTCCAGATAGCGACACAAAATGTCTACAAAAAGGGTATAAAAAATGAATACAAGTACTTATAACATGGATGACTTACTATGGATAACAGGAAATAACGGACATAGTTTATGGATAACAGGCAGTAACAGACAAGGTTTTTTTTAGGACTAACTGTAAATAAAAGGCAATAACAGACACAGTTTTCTAAGGATTTACTGTGGATAACAGGCAATAACAGAGACAGTTTTCTGATGACTTACTAAGGAAAACAGGCAATAGCAGAGATATAAATTACTAAGTACTTACTTCTGATAATAGGCAATAACAGAGATAGTCTGAGGATTTACTATGGATAACATACAAGAACAGAAAAAAGTATGAATTTGTATTTACTCAAATTATTAATAATGGTTGAATTTCAAGAATAAATCTACAAATGGTGAATTGCAGTATGTAATAATACATGTACTTTAAGTGGTTTTATTTTTGTCAATTTAAAATTTGTGATTTCTTTGACCAAACCTGTTTGCAAGGTTTTATTTTCACATTTTACTTTTTCATGATTGTAATATTTTCTTAAAGATAAAATTTACACCAGGGGATATTTTCACAATTTTGTTTTAGTCAGGAACTTAGCCAAAATAAGCACTTCACGAAAATTTTCCACTTTATGCTAAACTGTAGAGAGCTTAGTGAAATATACACCAGGTCTACCTGTAGACAATGGGATAACTTTGAACTGACTCATCAGGAATAGACAGTGGGCTGATAACTGAGTACTGATTCACCAGGAATAGATTGATTGATAGATTGATTGGTGATTGCTTTACGCTGCATCAGCACAAAAATACACCAGGAATAGACAATAGGATGATATTTGAGAACTGACTCACCAGGAATAGACAATGAGATGATATTTGAGAACTGACTCATCAGGAATAGACAGTGGGATGATAACTGAGTACTGACTCATCCAGGAATAGACAAAAAGATGATATTTGAGAACTGACTCACCAGGAATAGTCAATGAGACGATATTTGAGAACTGACTCACCAGGAATAGACAGTAGGATGGTAACTGAGAACTGACTCACCAGGAATAGACATGGGATGATATCTGAGAATTGATTAGAACTAGACAATGTTATCTGAGAACTGAAACACCCGAACCGGGCAATGATATCTGAAATCTGATTCACTAGAACCAGGCATTGATAACAGTTGACTCACTAGGACAAGATAATGTTATCCGAGACTGATTCACCAGGACTAGATGTTATCTGTGAACTGACTCACCTGAACTGGCCAATGTTATCTGAAAACTGATTCACCAGGACTAGATGTTATCTGTGAACTGACTCACCTGAACTGGCCAATGTTATCTGAAAACTGACTCACTGGGACCAAACAATGATATCTGAGACCTGACTTTCAGCAATATCTAGTTCTGATGATAGAACTAAACAATGTTATTGGTGAACTGACTAATTTAAACAAATATTCAAAGAGATCTATTAACTTTTTTAAGTAAATGACTTACTTCCAGTAACAGATAGTGAAGTTTGAGAACTGGTTCCTGTTCCAACACTGTTAGTAGCAGTACAAACATAATTTGCAGAATCTGTTGTATCTGTATTAGATATGGTCAAGGATGGAGTGTTTACTGTAGCACCAGTATATTTAGTGACAAGTCCTGTATTGACATTACTTGTAACACCATTCTGAATTTTCTGCCAGACAACACTGGTTTGGAAAGGATTTGCCGAAACAGTACATTCCAATGTCACAGTGTTTCCTATGACAACATTGTAGTTTGGCTGTAATATATTCACTACAGGAATACCTAAAAAAAAATATATTTACATGATGTGTTTTGCAACAAAATTAACTCTGTTTAACAGTTATTCTAATGCAACATCGTTTATAATAGATATACGAAGATGTGGTATGAGTGCCAATGAGACAACTCTCCATCCAAGTCAAAATTTATAAAAGTAAACCATTATAGGTCACAGTACCGTCTTCAACACGGAGCCTTGGCTCACACCGAACAGTAAGCTATAAAGGGCCCCAAAAAATTACTAGTGTAAAACCATTCAAACGGGAAAACCAACGGTCTAATCTATATAAAAAACGAGAAACGAGAAACACTTATGAACTACATCAACAAACGACAACTACTGAACATCAGATTCCTGACTTAGGACAGGTGAAAACAAATGTTCATTTTGATTGGATAACATCACCAATTTTCATGGCATCAATTCACAATTGATACTATGAAAACGTACACGCAAGCGCAGATAACGTATGACAGATTTTAAATGTATGTTTTGACGTTGTTTTCCATCAGTTTCATTAGAATGGAGATAACAATATTGTATTTTAAGCTACGATGGCATCAATTGGTGATTTGGTGGTCGCAAATACCAGTTAACTGGCTCCGCTAACTGATCACCATTAAACTTAATTTGCGACCATCAAATCACCAATTGATGCCGTTGTTGCTTAAAATATAATACAAGTTACCTCCTAAATCAAATGAATGAAATCTGATTCAATAGCTTCTATGATAAATATTTTTGTCAAAATCATATAACTTCATTATAAAACAGAGACCAGAATGATGGAAAAGTGTCACTTAATAAGGATTTTCAAAAGTAGTTTATATAACATAACTCCACAATTAAAAGTTAACTACATTATAGCTAATCATTATGATTAATGCAATTTGATTAACACATGCATTTACAGAATGAATATGTTAAGACTTTATTGCAATTTGAACCTATTTGTACTTTTAACATCAATGAAAAATTCCAATCATATATATAGTCAAAATATTGATGATTGCTCACCCCCAAGGGAACCAGATAAGAAATGTAAGCACTCTGCATAAAACATTACTTGGGTTATGAAGCATAGGTTCAAAAGTCTACTTTCTAATGAAGGACTCCAAACTATACTCATTTATTTCTATTAGACCAAAGGGTATGCAATAACTGGGGAGGTACTGTCAACAGTCAAGTTTAATGTTATTATCAAAGGTATCAATGAATTCACGTAGAAAATGAATATGTCATTAAATATCTGAAAAAAATATTGGTGCACAGACCAATATTTTTCTCTTTGGATGTCGAATATGCACTGACTGAAGAAGGCTATGTCCCAAGTCAGGAGCCTGTTGTTCAGTGGATGTCGTTTGTTAATCTGGTTCAAAATTGTTTCTCGTTTCTCGATTTTTTATTTAGATTAGACCATTGGTTTTCCTGTTTGAATTGTTTTACACTAGTCACTTTGGGGCCCTTTATAGCTTGCTGTTCGGTGTGAGCCAAGGCTCCGTGTTGAAGGCCGTACTTTGACCTATAATTGTTTACTTTTTAAACATTGTGACTTGGATGGAGAGTTGTATCATTGGCACTCATACCACATCTTCTTATTTATATATACCAATATTTTAGGACAAATTTTTGATATATATTTAAATTTTCATCATGGAAATAGAAGATGCTAAGATTTGCTTGATATACCAGATATGGTATAATCCACCAGAAGCAAAACATGTTTTCATATGGACAAATAATTCAGGTAATTTCACACACTATTCAGTATTCTATTGAAACAGACAACAAAAAATACCCCCAAAAAATACAAAGACTGATAAAAATGCATATGAAAAGAGTTAATCAGTAACATAATAACACCTACTTCCAGTAACAGACAGTGAGGTAGTTGTACTCTGTCCTGTTCCTACACTGTTGGTGGCAAAACATGTGTAAACCCCAGCATCACTTTGTGCTGCATTAAAGATGGTTAGAGATGGTTGGGAAATAGTACTACCACTGTATTTGTTGTTGGTGTTGGTTGATGTGATAGTTGTTACTGTACCACCAATATTCCTCTGCCAGTAAACAGAATTGACAGCAAGGTTTGAGGTCACAGTACACACCAAGGTAATGGAGTTACCAGTGGTAACAGAGTATGTTGGTTGTTGGATGATTACAGTTGGTACAGCTAAAAATCAATAACAAAATATTTTTAAGTAATGTATCCTAAGCTTTAAAGTAATAATGTGAACCTTATTTCTGTAGAAATTTGACAGGAATGATAAGATTTACTCCCGAGATGTTATTTCCAAACATACAAATTTACTTACCAGCATGCAAGAACTGACTTTTATTTTGTGTCAAAGAACAAGATGATAAAATTGCTTGTCAAATCATTACATGGAAACCAATTTCTCATCTAACTGATGCAGCATTTCTTGATTTCAATCTCACGCTTGTTGGCTACACAATGTTTTTTCTCAATTTAAAAAGTAATCAATCTGTCCAAATTGTATAAAACATTTAACTGGAAATTGTTTACTAACTTAGAAAGATATATTTTCATCAGAAGTAAAGTGTAACTGCAGACTACATTGGAAATTTCATTCCTTTATTATGACATTGTCAAACTCGAAGAAACCACAAACGTCATTTATGTGAAAGCTTCCATTTCAAAGCAAACCTGATGATAAGAATCATAAACATTGTTGAAAGGGCAAACCATGAAAATCTCAGACATCCTCAGATGAAGTCAGAAGAAGTCATTGATAAAGAAGTTAAGGAAACAGATTTAGATCAAAAGACGATGAAAAATTTTACCTAAATCTGTGACATAGCCATTTACTGTTCCTTGACCTTAACAGTGAGATATTAATGATCAGAAAATTTCACAAAAACAAAGAGTATATGTCCTATGGACTCTATGCTCTGTTCCCACATTTTTTACATTTCCATGTTAAGAGGGTCTCAAAATTTTGGTCATAAAGCCTTATTTGGCATATATATTTGCTTTAAACTGACTATATGGACTAAGTTTTAAAGTTGACTGGACAACAAACTACCATCAAACCAAACATAAACCTTCCTATAACCAAAACTTTAACCTGATATGGGATGTACAGACTAACCTACTGATACAAAAACTAGAAATAATAATGCTGTTCTTTAGTCATAGTGGGCTGGTTGAACAAGTTATACATTATGTCATTTCAAAGGAATACAGTTTGATGATTTAAAAGAACTTTAAATTAAAAATCACAATTAAAGAATTAATCAATGATACAAGTCTACATTAGTGAAGGAGGTCATTAACAGGTAAGATTGCTGAAAATACCAAAAGGTTTGGTGTTTTGGTAATGGTAAATAGTTATGAACAGTATTTATTAGTAAATGGTTATGCAAAAGATGATAGAATCTTGATATACCCTCAAAAGACGAGAATATTAATATACCCTCAAAACTGAATTAACTTGGTGATGCTGGTGATATAGGAATGTGATTCCATAGTTGTCGAAGTGATACATGTTATTAGGATAATCGACAATTGTAGAAATGAAAGGATACCTGTTACAAAGATAATTGCAAATTATAGAAATGAAAGGGTATCTGTTATAAAGATAGTTGATAATAGAAGAAATGGAAGGGTATCTGTTATTAAGATAATAAACAAGTAAAGAAAAGACCAAAAACCAAGTGACGTGATAAAAGGAAAGGGATATCATCTTGTAGACAGTGAGACATACTTCCTGTTACAGTAAGAGTAGTGACTGCACTCTGTCCTGTTCCTACACTGTTGGTGGCAAAACATGTATAATCTCCTGTGTCACTAAGTTCCGTTATGGAAATAGTGAGAGATGGTGTGGTAACAGTATTACCACTGTATTTGTTGGTGTTACTTGTTGATGTGATGGTTGTAATAGCACCACCAACATTTCTCTGCCATTGAACTGAAGTCACGGGAAGGACAGATGAAACCGTGCATTCCAGAGTGACAGTGTTTCCAACAGTAATAGAATATGATGGTTGTAGGACTGTAACTGTAGGTGGTGCTGAAATAAGTTTAAGTTAAATATTCAATGAACGGAAAGAGATTTAATATGAGGGTAGTTATTTTGGGGGTGTCTTGTCCATAGGTCCAAGCATTTAACATATGCCAGACTAATTTTTTTCATTAGGAGGGCCAAATCAATAAGATAACCTCATGATCAAGACACTATTAGAGGAAGTATTGCTCACAAGGTTAACAAATTTACCCTTGATAAATTTATTCTTCAATATACTGCAACTAATTTGAAAAGCATAATCAGAAGAAAATTATATGAATTTTTTTTTACTACCCTTTTCACTAACATTCAAATCATAAATATATAGATATATACATGTAGAATGAAAAACCAAAAACAATGAAATATGATAAAACTTAATACTGGTTAGATGAATTAATAAAAACAAAAATAATGTAATGAAAAATAATATAATTAGATCAAATAATGAAAACATAAAATGAAATAAAATAATGAAAGCTACTACATGCATTTATATCAATTTGCTCTAGAAATGATGTTAAGTATAAAAAATAAGCATTAAGGTCCTAATAGGAAGTTTTTTAATCATAGTTTAAAATTTTTTTTGACGCAACAATTACCATTAACATTTGCAATGAAACCATTTGATCCCACAAAAAAAATCATAAAGGGCACAGCTCGAATAATAAGTACATCCAAACCAATCTTATTAGTAATTAGGGTGATTCAATTTGGACATAACTCAGTCATAGAAGGCAGAAATCTAACAAATGCACAACATATTCTCCCCCATACTGCAAGGGTTTTTTAAGTAAGATAACATGTTAACAAGGTTAACTAAGTTGAACCAAGTTTTTAACACTGACCATATATTTTCTTCAATCTCACATGTGACATACCTTCTGGTAGTGGTGAAAAACCTGCCAAGTTTCATTACCCAACTCCAGGGCTTTTTCAGTTAGATAGCAGAAACACTTTTGTACATAAGCAAAGGGGTGGCAAAGTTGTAGTAATTTTATATATGGTTTTCTTTCTTATTTGCAATACACCTTATTGTAGTGTTGAATGCTTATGTCAAGTTTCCTTACTCTCCCGAAGGGGTTTTAAATTTAGAGAGAGGCAACAATTTGTGACAGATGCACAAGCTGATAGTATAGACCTTCCACAGATTAATCAGTTGGGGCCCAAAAAAAGGAAGTTCACTTCAATTCTAAATTTTCCTCCACAGACTATCTCCTGATCATGAAGAAGCTTCTGACCAAATTTTTTAAACTTCCATGAACGTTAGATTAAAGATATTAAAGTCTAAATACATGAAACACAGACTGTATAAAAATATTAACTGCAAAACAAAAATAATAAGCCCATTTATATATAGTACATAAAAGTAATTTAAAAAAAACTTATTTTACAAACTTTGCTCTAGACGATATCTTTTGTTCATGAGAAAGCTTCTGTCCATTTCTTGTAATATTCATTGTAATATGTTGATGAGAAAATAGCCATGTCTTACTTTTCTTTGCAGGCAACACGAAATGACTGCAGACAATTAAATGTTGTTAAAATAAAGAAATGATTAGCTATTGATGAAGATCTAAGGAACAGTATAACTTTTACAACTGTTTAAAGTTAATAGAGAAGTTTTTGCAAATTAAACATTTATTTAATGCCATTAATCTTTTTCTTCAAACTCAGTCAGATGTAGTTGTTTGTTATTTTGGATACTTTCTCAATGAAGTTTCATCCAATAGAAGAAAAGACAAATGGATAAATTTATTTAGTCCTTAATCAGGTTGGCAATTCCAATGATAGAAATCACATAGTCCTTAATGGTTGGCAATTCCAATGATAGAAATCACAAAGTCCATGCTACAACAATTGTAACACTTCGATAAAAAGAATAAGGTTGTGTAGTAAACCCTTTCATTGAAAATAATTTGCAAATTTAAGATCAGAGATGACAATTAAATCAGTATTTATCCTTGAACCTCAAAAAGCCTTTGTTTTATTGAGGAAATCTCAAAAATGTAATTGATAAAACATTGATAAATAGAGTATGTAATGCAACACTTATTATTTTCTTTTAAATAATTTACTCAGCATGTTTGATTTTCTACCAAAATAATACTATATACTTCCTGTTAGAGACAATATTCTCCATTTGGTTTGTTTCTTTTGTATAGTATCAATTAATTGAAACATAATTTGCATATTCCACAAATCATGCAATAATAATACAAAGTTGACAGAAGCCAAAGAAACTTATGATGTTGAAATAAAATACATAAGTGCAATACTTCACTATCTGTGAAGATAAATTTCATTTTTTTGCCTCTGTTGAAAAGTTTTAGAGGTCTTCTTCAAAGTTATTGAAAACATGTATTTTCACTAAATATTAGAACATTCCAAAATGACTTACTATCCACAATGATATACAAGTGTTTACAGTAAGTAACATACCTCAGCAAAGAGTTTATAAAACAGTTAAAAAGATCTAAACCTTAATAGAAAGGCTAAATAAAGCACACGGATATGATTTTACAGGTGAACAGTATCATAGTTGGTCATAAGCATATAGGAGGTAAGATATAATACAAATACAGTTGTATGTGTTGACAGGGGAGATGCATGTGTAAAAAACAACATTGGCAGAATAAATGCAAATTGTGTAAATGCAAATGGGAATATAGGCCAATGTGAGCACAGCAGGTAGGAAGTGGGTAAATATATAAATGTGATTCCATTGAATAACAGGTATATATGTAAACATAATCAGGTGCGATAAAGCATATATGAAAAGTAGGTGTTTTCACATACTTCCTGTCACAGTAAGAGTGGTGACTGTACTTTGTCCTGTTCCTACACTGTTCGTGGCAAAACATGTATAATCTCCTGTGTCACTGAGGTCAGTAACAGAAATAGTGAGAGATGGTGTGGTAACAGTATTACCACTATATTTGTTGGTGTTACTTGTTGATGTGATCGTTGTAATAGCACCACCAACATTTCTCTGCCATTGTACTGATGTTACAGGAAGGACAGAGGTAACAGTACATTCCAGAGTGACAGAGTCACCAACAGTGACAGAATATGATGGTTGTAGGACAGTGACTGTAGGTGGAGCTGAAACATGTTATCAATGAAAGTTATTAGGTGCGGACAAACGATTTTATTTAGTGTTGAATCTAAGATACAAAATAAAAAATCTCTATTGTTCCACCTTCTTCTTTCAGTTTATTCACAAATTAATAATCATGATCATGTGTACTGAATATTATTAAAGTCATATGAAACTTCAAATTCAGCAAAAATATTGAATATATTTTATATACTTAAATTGCTTAGTTATACTATAAACACATGTAAATGGACTTTCATTTTGAAGAAAATCTTTTATTTTAATCCAAATCTCCAGAAATGTACTACTATTGAATTACTGTAAATTCAGAAATTATTGCATTGTTTTTATAAATTGTAATGATGCGACTTGGTGAGTATCGCAATAATAACTAGCCTTCTTATATCTGATACATCGATATATATGAAGATTTTCCTAAAATCACAATAATTAATTTCACATTTTGTCCATTTTTCAAAAATTGCAATAATAAACACATGCAATAATTTCTGAATTTACAGTTTTGTATTCTCGTACTCTAATTAGCCAACAGCTTTTCCCTATGCAGTGACCTTAACCATTTCACCTTTTGTATGAAATTTATCAACCTCACAGCGTAAGTGCGAGGGAAAACCTGATGAAAGAAAAGGTAATCAAACATGGAAGGAAGTTAGTATTAATTGATTATGTCCAAAAAATAATTACACCATATCATTTAACAACTAATATGACAAAGTGAATTAACAAATGGGAAACTCATGGAAAATAGAAAAAAAAATATACACCACTATGTCACTTATTTTTCATGTGCTCCATGATGCATGTTGATTTTTTATCAGTACATAATGATCCATTAACTTCAGCACCAAAACAAAAAAGTTATTTAGTAACTCAAGTTTTTGATTAATAATCACAGAATAAAATACTTTTTGTCAATTAGACATTACGGATTTGTAATAAATGTAAAAAGCACTTAGTATTATATATATTCGTGTATTGGTTTAATAATTTCCTTAAAATTATAATTACCAAAACTGGTTTCATATGACTTTAAAAATAAATATAGTCACCAATGAAAATTAACAAAACAGATAATCAAATGAAAAGAAATAAACAAGACTAGACAAAACAATGAAAACAATGAAAACAATAAAAACTAAATATAAAACTTAAAACTTGTTATATCCCGTTTACATCTGAACAGGCTTTCCGCTGGCGGTCGCCATTTATCCCATTTTGCGAAAAAATAAAAATTGTGGCGATTTAAATTCATTATTGGCGAAAGAAATATAACGGTTCAATTTCATTCATCTTGTTTACTTTTTACGGGTTTTTCTGACAATACTGGGAATTCACCTTGAACTCGTTACGATTTTGACAGAAAATCAATAATCGGCTGACTGCATTATATAGCTATAGGCAACAAATGGACTAATTAATAAAGGTGATGATTGTATTGTTTAATAAAATGGTGTGGTTAAATGGCGTCACATGTCACCTATGAAGAAATATATTCAAAAGTAAGAACAATCTCAGACTTTAGTCTTTATCCTTCAACTAGATGGGAAGTATATATCTGATAAACTTTATTGAAGATGAATTGCGTGTTCCAAGAAGTCAAAAATGACGATTTCATTATCTATATTGCAATTTTACAGTATCTTTTAAAGGAAATGTTTTTTTTTTTATCACAATATAGATTAAAATATGGATTTGTAGAATTATCATTGACAACAATGTGGCAAAATGATTCTTTTTTGTTAGAAAGAAGGAAAATTTTAAACAAAAACTATGTTAATATTAGTTAGTGAGGAAAAAATTGAAAGTAGCAAAAAATAAACTGTTTTTGGCAAAAGAGGTGGCGAAAATGAAAATTGACCCAGGGGAAACCTTGCATCTGAAAATAAATTTTGATGATAATATAAATTTATTCAGCAACCATTAATCAATAAATCAATCAGTTATTTAACAACACTTAAGTTCAGAAATTATTCAAAGTAATATAGAACAAATAATTCCTACAAAGAATATGAAAACAAAGGGGTCTGAGTGTATAAGGCAACACATTTCAATGAGTATAAACTATTTTATTATGTTTTTAAGATGCAGTATGTACAGAAATTAAACATGATGGCTTGTGACTGGCAAGGTGAATGCATAGAAATGATACTAAACAAGCAACTGTGAAATATAAAATGGAGATATAACCCAATGTGAACACAGCAAGTAGGTAGGTATACATATTTATATATGTGATTCCAATGAATACAATGGAGACGTTAATAAGACAAATCTATAAGCCGAGGTGATTAAAGTGGTAAGGTTTAAAGCAAATATGGAAACTGTAAGTATGGGTGTTTTCACATACTTCCTGTTACAGTTAGGGTAGTGACTGTACTTTGTCCTGTTCCTATACTGTTAGTGGCGAAACATGTATAATCTCCTGTGTCACTTAGGGCCGTAACAGAAATAGTGAGAGATGGTGTGGTAACAGTACTACCACTGTATTTGTTGGTGTTACTAGTTGATGTGATGGTTGTAATAGCACCACCAACATTTCTCTGCCATTGTACTGATGTTACAGGAAGGACAGAGGTAACAGTACATTCCAGAGTGACAGAGTTTCCAACAGTAATAGAATAGGATGGTTGTTGGACTGTGACTGTAGGTGGTGCTGAAACATGATGTCAATTAAAGTTATAAGGTGTGGACAAAACATTTTTATAGTGTATAAAATAAGTCTTTCGCTTGTTCCTACTTCTTCTCTCAGTTAAATCACAAATTAATAAAAATGAACATGTGTACTGAAAAATAATGAAACAAAATACAACAGTGAAGACTTTAAAAACAAAAGACTAGATAATTATCGAAAATGATAAAACAAAACAAATTAAAAAAACAATGAAAACAAAATAAAATAACTGTTGACACAGAGAAATGTCTCGCTAGTCAGCACAAAATTCTGAAAAATACAATCTGGTGGATAGTAACATTGCTAATTAATTCAAAGTTGCTGGACCATGACGTAGGGGGTAGGGCCTCGAAATAGTCATTAAACTGATATAGTCGTTAAACTGATATGTACAGATAGTAACTGCAACTTTATAGAAAATATCACTGATCTATCACAAGAAGTTTCTATCAAACTAACTTTAGCAGAAAAAAATCACATTGAATATTGTTAATTACTTCTAAATCACCAGACCACGACTTAGGAGGCAGGGCCTCGAAATTGTCATGAAACTGATATGTACCGAAAGTAATTCAACTTTATTGAAAATATCATTGACCTATCACAAGTAGTTCATATCAAACTAACTTAAGCAGAAAATTTAATATTGAAAATTGCTAATTAGAGCCTTGAAATAGTTGTCAAACTAATATGTACTGATAGCAATGCAACTTTATAGAAAATATTATTGATCTATCACAAGTAGTTTCTATCAAACTCACTTAAGCAGAAAACTTAACAATTGTTGAAGCAGATGCTGTCGTCATCATCACTGCCTAAAAAGCAACACCTTTGTCTCGCCTTCAACAAATTTTTTTCAGGAGGGACAAAAAGCGAATAAAAGCTTATAACTAAATATACATTTTTCACTACTTAGTGTCTCAGTTACTTCTGAAAATCATCAATGATGATAAGTGTAAGTAAAGAAAGCAGCTAAGCTGATTGATTGATTGACTGATGATTAATTTATATCAGCAAATCAACCAACCCATTAGTGATACAATTACATTTAAGTTCAGAAACTTTATACAAAGTATTAAAGAAAAATATACATACTTTCTACAAAAAATATGAAAACATATAAAATGTATGTATGTGATAGCTTGGGACATGCAATGTGAATGCATTAAACTAAAAGTATACATGCAACTTTGACATAACAGATTGGATATAAGACAATGTGAACACATGAAGATAAGTATATAAATAAGGGTTTGAGTGTATAAGTGAATACTGTTCTACTTGTATGAACTGTTATGTAATGTTCCTGGAGATATAAGCACTAAAAAAAAGATAAATCTATGTAATAGCTTGGGACATGCAAGGTGGATGCATTAAACTGAAAGTATACATGCAGCTGTGACATAACAAATTGGATATAAGTCAATGTGAACACAGGAAGATAAGTATATATATAAATATATGATTCCACTGAATTCAAAGGAGATGAAAAAACCATTTGTATAGGCAGTTGTGATTAAAGTGGTAAGATTTAAAGTAAATATGGAAACTGTAAGTAGGTGTTTTCACATACTTCCTGTTACAGTGAGGGTGGTGACTGTACTCTGTCCTGTTCCTACGCTGTTGGTGGCGAAACATGTATAATCTCCTGTGTCACTTAGGGCCGTAACAGAAATAGTGAGAGATGGTGTGGTAACAGTATTACCACTGTATTTGTTGGTGTTACTTGTTGATGTGATGGTCGTTATAGTACCACCAACATTTCTCTGCCATTGAACTGATGTTACAGGAAGGACAGATGAAACAGTACATTCAAGAGTGACAGAGTTTCCAACAGTAATAAAATATGATGGTTGCAGGACTGCAACAGTAGGCGGTGCTGAAACATTATTTATTGAAGGTCATTAATTTTTAACCAACTCTTATCTACTGTAGACAACAAGACAGCAAATTACAAAAATAAAGATATTTAAATCAAACTTTTTTACTGCATTGGGCATTATCATTATTCATATCATACATCTAATCTTCATAAACATTTAAGGCAAAATAGAAACATGAAAAAAATTTACTGTTAATTTACCTATGACCCCTTCTTTTGATATCTTCCTCTTGACATGGTGTTTTGATAAAATTCTAATTGTTTGTGGTTACAAATCACATGCACAACTTTATGTATGATTCCCAAAGAAAAAAGATGCTGTATATTTGAAACTGTCAAAATAAGGGTAAGCAAAAAGAGTTTTTAAAATCTGTGAATCAAAATGCATCTAAATGTCTAAAAATATAGAGCCTACACAGTCCAATGATTGACTCCAATCTCTGTTGAAATCTTTAAAATACATATTGTGGTGTTTGCACATGATGCAATAGCAGTGAATAATAAATAGGCTAAAAATAAATAAACAATGTGCACAAATACTGGCTTTTTAATGGAAATATTTGGTTTTTTCTCAATCTAAATAAGGCTGTAGGAAAAGCTGTGAACAGACTGACAAAGCAAAAACTATTAAGCCAAAATAAATGACAAATACTTATTGCCCTTTTAAAATTTAAGCATTTAAAGATAAACCTGCAAGATGTTGTTTTAAATTTTAAAGCTGTCCTTTCACAAAATTTCACTATTATCCCATAAACAGCTAAAAAATTATGTTCTCCAAGAATTGATACATTTATCTGAGGTAAAATGGCTAACTCAATTCCACTGAAATATGGCGTCATCATATAATTTTCATGAAAATGAACTAGAGGCTCTAAAGAGCCTGTGTCGCACACCTTGGTCTATGTGCATATTCAACAAAAGACACTCTCCAACATTGTAGACGAGAATAGAATTCATGACAAAAATCTCTGTTTTGTTGATCTTGTATTGCTGATCATTTAGTTTGTTTAGTTTTTCTCTTCTTTCTTTAGTTTTTGCTCAAAACACAAAAGAGGGTAAAAAAAACCCTCATTTAAGGCCAATCACTCCTATAAAGAGTGACAGTCTACTAACTATATCGACAAAATTTTACTTGTTAGTAGATCTTGCCTTGCTGATTATTTTTGTGGTTTAAAGTGTCTATTTATCTATTATAATTTTTATCATATAAGGCAAAACTCAAAATAAAAAGGTAAAAATCTTCATAAAAGAGCAATAACTTGAATAAGGAGTTGTCGGACAATTTCCTCCATAAGTCTTAATTGCAGATCTTGTTTTGCTGATCATTTTTGCTTATTTAAGTTTCTCTATCTATCAAATATATATTTTAAGATAGGCAAAAAAAATTGGTAAAAATCATCATCAAAGAGCAATAACTCAAATAAGTAGTCAACTGACGATTTCGACAATTCAGATTTATTTGTAGAACTTATCTTGCTGATCATTTTTGCAATTTAAAGTTTCTCTCTATGTATTAGAGTTTACAAGATAATAGGCAAAAACGAAAAAAAATGGTAAAAGTTGTCATTTAAGGGCAATGTCGTCTGACAGTTTTGATATATATGAAGAATTGGTAGAGCTTAACATTCTAAACATTTCTGCTCCAGATTTTCTCTATTCATAATGGTTTTCAAAATAATAGGCAAAACTTGCATTTTACCCCTAAGTTCTATTTTTAACCATGTCGGCCAACTTGGTTGGCAAGCGGGGTCATCGGACAGATTTTTTAAAACTTGATACCCCAACGTTGATTGTGGCCAAGTTTGTTTAAATTTAACTGAGTAGTTTCAGAGGAATAAATTTTTGTAAAAGATAACGACGGAAGTCAAGTGATGAAAAAGCTCACATGGCCCTTTTTGGCAGGTGAGCTAAAAATGAAATTGATGTGGTCTATTGTATTGTCCAGTTATTTTTGGAAATTCTGGGTTTATTTTTAGGGATTAATAAACTTGACCTTAGTATGCTTATAACAGAAATTATACAGCTTATAAAAACTAATGTCTAAGCAAAAAGTGCAAATACAAAAGTAAGTGTAATTGGAATAGGCATATAGGCTATTACAAATACTGCAGGAATATGTGCTGGTCTGCACATCTACACATACTTCCTGTTACAGATAGTGTGGTGGCTGTACTTTGTCCTGTTCCGACACTGTTGGTAGCAAAACATGTATAATTTCCTGAGTCACTTTGTGCTCCATTAGATATAGTGAGAGATGGAGTGGAAGGAGTACTACCACTGTATTTATTGGTGTTGGTTGTGCTTGTAATAGTTGTTAAAATACCACCAATATTTCTTTCCCATTGTACTGATGTGACAGGGAGATTGGAGGTAACTATGCAAACAAGAGTGATAGAATCCCCAATTGTAATGGAATATGATGGCTGTTGTACAGTAACAGAAGGTGGGGCTGAAAAAAACAAATTTTACATCACCTTTACCACTGAAATACAACTATCATAAAATATTAAACCAGATCCCCTCATGTGTATTTGTCTGATAAATGACACTGCATACAAACTAGAGGCTCTAAAGAGCCTGTGTCGCTCACCTTGGTCGATATGCATATTCAACAAAGGACACTCTCCAACATTGAAGATGAGAATAGAATTCGTAACAAAAATCTCTGTTTTGTTGATCTTGTATTGCTAATCATTTAGTCGGTTTAGTTTCTCTCTATCTTCTTTAGTTTTTGCTCAAAACACAAAAGTGGGTAAAACAAATTCCTAATTTAAGGCCAATCACTTCTATAAAGAGTGACAGTCTACTAACTATATCGGCAAAATTTGACTTGTTAGTAGATCTTGTCTTACTGATCATTTTTGGTTATTTAATTTTCTATCTATCTATTATAATTATTATCATATAAGGCAAAACGCAAAAAAAATGGTAAAAATCATCATTAAAGGGCAATAACTCCAATCAAGAGTTGTCGGAAGATTTCCACCATTTGTCTTAATTGTAGATCTTGTCTTGCTGATTATTTTTGCTTATTTAAGTTTCTATCATGATTTTTAAGATATGAAGCAAAACAGCAAAAACTTGGTAAAAATCTTCATCAAAGGGCAATAACTCTGATAAGGATTCGACGGACAAATTCAAGAATTAGAATTACTTGTAGAACTTGTCTTGCTGATCAATTTTTCAATTTAAAGTTTCTCTCTATCTATTATAATTTTCAAGATAATAGGCAAAAATGAAAAAAATGGTGAAATTTGTCATTTAAGGGCAATAACTCCTATAAGAAGTCATCTAACAGTTTTGATGTATATGGACAATTCGTAGAGCTCAACATTCTAAACATTTCTGCCCTGTCAGACTTGGTTGGCAGGCGGGGTCATCAAACACATTTTTTAAACTTGATACCCCAATGATGATTGTGGTCAAGTTTAGTTAAATTTGGCCCAGTTTCTTCAGAGGAGAAGATTTTTTATAAAAGTTAACAGACGACTACCGACGACAGACAACAAGTGATGAGGAAACCTGAGCTAAAAAGGAATAATTCACTACACTGTAATATAACTTACTTCCATGTAGCTCTATATTTGGATTGTGTATGCCATTCAACATTGTTGTGGCATAAATACAACACAGCATGCATTTAATTGCCTTTAAAAGTGCAAACACCTTGTTGGTAAATGCAACATTGACAACTGATCAATTATCTAAAAATCAAAACTTCTAATAATAAATCAGCAGAATAAGATTGTAACAAAACTACTCACTTCCAGTAACAGACAGTTGTGTAGTTGTACTCTGTCCAGTTCCTATACTGTTTGTGGCAAAACATGTGTAAGTTCCTACATCACTTTGTGCTGCATTAAAGATGGTCAGAGATGGGGTTCCTGTAGTGCTGCCACTATATTTGTTGGTGTTGGTTGTAATTTGTGTTATGCTTCCACCAACATTTCTTTGCCAATAAACGCTGGTGACAGTAAGTGTAGATGTCACTGTGCACACCAAGGTCACAGAGCTACCAGTGGTTACTGAATATGATGGTTGTTGAACTTGAACTGTTGGTACAGCTAAAAATGAAACATTAAAAACATAATTGATCACCAATTCACAGATCTTTTCCTTCTACCAATGTTTATTTTGAATTATCTTAATACCTTTGACTGAATTATCAGTTAAAACTGAATAGGATGTTTGTTGAACAGTAATTACTTTGAAAATATGTATGTAATGTATTAACTGAAATGGTATCATTTAATAAATAAACTCAATTAAGGTAGATTGAGACACCCTAGGTCTTAATTATAATCCATAGAATTTTTTAATAATTTGCCTAAATGTAGTTTATATCATGCTTTTTTAAAAAAAATAATAAAAAGAATGGGTCACGGGGATTATTTTCACGCTACAGGTTGCGCAAAATTGACAGATTTTGTATAGATTATGCATGGAAAACCCAATTTTCTGCCATAAAACGAAAACTACACCATAGAATTTTGAGATAAAATATGAGAAGATAGCTCTAATAGTATGCTTTCAGATAAGAAAAAGAAAAAATGGGGTCACGGGACCCGTTTTCTTGCTACATAATAAAATAGGTAAATTCCTAACACATTCTATTGTAAAAGTAACTTTATCTGAATTATCTGCCCTTACATTTGAGTTGCCTCCCCTTATGTGGCAAAGTTGGAAAAAATTGAATCAAACAAAAGTATTCTGTTTTTTTGTAAAATACAACCATAAATATGATATAATATGTCATTTTCTCTATTCAAATGAAAATTCTTACACATGAATTACCTACTACTCTCAAAATTTGCACCTTTTATTAAAGATCTAGACCGATTGATTTCTGGTATTTCAAAATCCAAGATGGAGGAAGACACCCTATCTACCTTAAGACAGTTTTAAAGTTTCAGTAAAGGTACATATACAAATAAACTTACATTTCTTACTTAAATCACTTACAGGGATTTATATTTTTGATTCGTCTGAGCTTTTAAATAACAGAGAAATTTTCTGCTTATGATTCTTTTATTTAAGGAACAACACAAGGAAAGAAGATTTTAAGATCCCAAAGACGCCAAAAATTAAACATTTTGGAAAAACTGCAAGTTTTGACATATATTTGTGTAAGAGACAAAGTACCATCAATTTGTAATCTTCATGATAGAATAATAGTGAATAATAAATATACAAAATATAAAAAGACAATGACCATATAAACTGGGTAGCTAAGGGAAATTATGGGATTCATATCATTCTAAACAAAGCTGTGAGAAAATTTGGATTCACAAAGTTAATGCACTAAAGATCCTGTGTTGATCACCTAGATCTATGCGCATCAATGAACACTCCAACATTTTAGACTAGATTATAATTCAAAACAAAAATCTCTTTTATGATGATTTTGTATTGCTGCTATTTTTTTCTGTTTACAATTCCTCTCTATCTTCTCTAATCTTTACCCAAAACACCAAAGAAAGGTAAAAATTGTCATTAAAGGGCAATTACTCCTATAAAGATTAAACTAAAAATTTCGGTAAAATATGAAATATTTGTAGATCTTGCCTTGCTGATCATTATTGCTGTTTAAAGTGTATATCTATCTTTTATAGTTTTCAATATAAGCTAAAACGTCAAAAAAATTGCATTAAAGAGCAAAAATTGCTCAATGATCTTCAACTGTGTACTTTATTTGACCTTTGTTTTTTTACTTTTTTGATTCAGACTGATGAGTCTTTTGTAGATGAAACGCGCGTCTGACATACAAATTTTAAGCCTGGTATCTATGATTAGTTTATTTATATTATATGAGGAGTTACTTACACAAAAAATATAGTTAAAATTGTCATTACAGGCCAAAAACTCCAATGCATCAACTGTAGATTGCGGCCATGTTGACTTATTTGTACATGTTGTCTTGATGAAAATTTTGGCTTTTAAAAGATTCCATCTACCTATTATAGTTTTTAAGATATTACGCACAAACGTAAAAAACAGGTAAAAATAGTCAATTAAGGCAATAACTCCAATAAGGAGTAGACTCACAATTTCCACCATGTTGACTTGTTCGTAGATCTTGTCTTGCTGATTAATTTTGCGATTGAAAATAGCTCTCTACATAATAGATTTCAAGATAATAGGTAAAATTCATCAATTAAGGGCAATAACGCCTATACAAAGTCATCTAACAGTTTTGATGTTAATAAACAGTAGGTAGATCTCAGCTTTCTGAACATTTCTGACCCTGTTAGATTTTATCTATTTAAAGCGGTTTTCAAGATAATAGGCAATACTTGCATTTTACCCCTATGTCCTATTTTTAGCCATGTAAGCCATGTTGGTTGGAATGTGGGGTCATCGGATACATTTTTAAAACTAAATACCCCAATGATGATTGCAGTCAAAATTGGTTAAATCTAGCCCAAAAATCGCAGAGGAGAAATTTTTGTAAAAGTTAATGGACAACAGAAGACAACGATGAAGGACGACAGACGCCAAGTGATGAGTAAAGCTCACTTGGCTCTTTAGACCAGGTGAGTTTAAATAATGTGGACAGACTGAAAAAAGTCAAAATTAAATCTTTAAGGCTCTTCCATTAGTGATATCTCATCCTAATCTCTCACTGAAAATAAAAGCATTTGAAGAGAAAAGATTGAATAAAAGCACAAAACCTTCCTTAAAACAAACAAACGATTAAAAAGTTCTAGTGCATCTCATGTAAAATTGCCAATCTAATATAAATGTTAATACATTAAATAACTAAATTCAAACTATAACTTAACATTCTGCAGAAGACAAAAAGCTTAATTACTTTATAAAACAACTATCACATAGTAATTTAAACTTATTTGATTAACATTCATTATAAAAACATTTTTCATTTCATTTTAGTTCTATTGCCAGATTTTTCATTTATTTTAGTTATAATAAATTTTTTAAAACTATAATACACCTGTAAATATATTGTAAGGCTGTTGAATTTTTCTGTACAAAAAAACACTATACCTTAAAAAAAATTGAGCCAATCTTTTTTTTCTTTTTCTGTCTATGTAAAATAAAGCCTGATCTAATACTTATAGTGCTACTACAATACAAAACAAGTGTGAAAGGAACAGGGATATAGGCTATTATGAATGCTGCATGCACATGTAGTGGTCTACACATACTTCCTGTTACAGATAGTGTGGTGGCTGTACTTTGTCCTGTTCCGACACTGTTGGTAGCAAAACATGTATAATCTCCTGAGTCACTTTGTGCTCCATTAGATATAGTCAGAGATGGAGTGGTAGGAGTACTACCGCTGTATTTATTGGTGTTGGTTGTGCTTGTAATAGTCGTTACAGTACCACCAATATTTCTTTCCCATTGTACTGATGTGACAGGGAGATTAGAGGTAACTATGCAAACAAGAGTGATAGAATCCCCAATTGTAATGGAATATGATGGCTGTTGTACAGTAACAGAAGGTGGGGCTGAAAAAATAAATTGTACATCACCTTTACTCTGAAATACTACTATCATAAAATATTAAACCAGATCCCTTCTGCGTATTTGTCTGATAATTGACACTGCATACAAAAAGGAATAATTCACTACACTGTAATATAACTTACTTCCATGTAGCTCTATATTTGGATTGTGTATGCCCTTCAACTTTCTAGAGGCATGCACTCAGTACAGAATGCATTTAATTGCATTTAAAAGTCAAAACATAGTGTCGGTAAACACAACATTGACAACTGATCAATTATCAAAAAATCAAAACCACACTCTCATAATTATAACCAATCAGAATGAGATTTCAAGAACATAAGCATACTCACTTCCAGTAACAGACAGTGTAGTAGTTGTACTCTGTCCTGTTCCTACACTGTTGGTGGCAAAACATGTGTAAGTTCCTGCATCACTTTGTGCTGCATTAAAGATGGTAAGAGAGGGTGTGCCGGTAGTACTGCCACTATATTTGTTGGTGTTGGTTGTAATTTGCGTTATGCTTCCACCAACATTTCTTTGCCAGTAAACGCTTGTGACAGTAAGTGTAGATGTTACAGTACACACCAAGGTCACAGAGCTACCAGTGGTGACTGAATATGATGGTTGTTGAACTTGAACTGTAGGTACAGCTAAAATGAAACATAAAAAACATTATTGATCACCAAATCACAGATCTTTTCCTTCTACCCATATTTATTTTGAATTATCTTCATACCTTGGACTCACTGATAAAAACTGAGGTGTCAAACTAAGGCTTTAGGAGGGCAAATTTTACTACAGCACATTTCAAACAATATATTATATTTTTGTAGTACATGTACCAATCATTTATTTTGGGGAGGGAAAAAACTAAAACATTGATGGCAGCTTATGAAATTTCTCCAGTAGCCAAACAACTTGTATTTTCACAAATACAACTATAGACATATTGTATAACTTAAGTGAATTTAAGGAATTGTACACAACTGCTGAAAAACAAATGTTTTTTTTTTAATCCAATTTTGATTTAAACTGGTACAGGCATGTAACTTTCTTGAATGCACATTTACTGGAGCTTTAGAAAAAAAGACCATTATTTTCAGGCAAACATTAACTACTTCAATAAAATATTCACACTTAGAATAAATTTGTCATAAAATACACATTCTCAAATCTGTAACCTCAATCTGAAACTTCCTTTTTTTTCTTAAGAAATCATCATTCCAAATTATGCAATTGGCACAAAAATGGAACTGTCCTGACCTTAAATTGTACAATTTAATCATCAGAGGTTTCCATTAAACTTGTCTGTACATAATCTTTAATATATTAAATATACTAAATTTTGTAAGTCAAAAGGCCATGTCTGAAAGGGCAAGGGTAAAATATCACCATGAAAATGCGATCAAAATACAAATACCAGTAACACTTTATAAATTTTGTGCTTCCAAAACCCTTTTTAGGATTTACCTTCATAAGGAATGCTCAAACTTCAATTTTTGACAGCCATGGTTGTGTAATAGCGTAGAAACATTAGGGCTATATTGACAAGTGTTTATTGATAAAGTGAGATTATGTCAGTTTTTGAGATGTGAGAAAGAGACTTATCATAAAAAATGTTCATAATAAGAAAGTAATGGCCATCAGATTACATTCATGTATTACAGTATCAAAACTAAAATCACAGGTACCACCAAAATGAAAACCCTTTAAAGGGCAAAATTCTTTTAGCTGAATACCTGTTTATTGTTGCTCGGCAGAAAGGAAAAGGTTACCTATGCGCATATGGTGCATAAACTTTGGTACTGTAAATTGTAATTTTACTGTTATCTTTTCAAGTCAATCTAATAAAAGTGTTTTAGTAAAACCTACTTCCAGTAACAGACAGTGTAGTAGTTGAACTCTGTCCAGTTCCTACACTGTTGGTGGCAAAACATGTGTAAGTTCCTGCATCACTTTGTGCTGCATTAAATATGGTTAAAGATGGTGTGCCAGTTGTACTGCCACTGTATTTATTTGTGTTAAATGAGGATGTGATGGTTGTTACTGTACCACCAACATTTCTCTGCCAGTAAACATTATTGACAGTTAGTGTAGAGGTCACAGTACACACCAAGGTTACAGAGCTACCAGTAGTAACAGAATAGGATGGTTGTTGAACTTGAACAGTGGGTACAGCTATAATTAATAATAATACCATGTTAATATCTCATTCCATGATTTTACATTGTAAATAATTTAAAAGATATATAAGAGGACTCAATGAAATGTTCTATTAAAAATTCAAGTTTTTTTAACTTATATATCCTCTTAGCAGTGAAGGTCATTAGGTGAAAAACAAAATGCACATTCTGTAGGTAAGTAATCAGTAAATCAATTTTTTCATATTGATTTATAAACTTTTGAAAGCAATCGATGTATAATAATATAGTAACATTAGGGGCTAAATTGACAAGCATTTCCTGATTAACTGAGATCATTCCAATTTGAGAGATAAAATCATGACAGAGACTTACAAAAAAAAAAATTATGATAAGAGAGTCATTGTCAACATATAACATGTATGTATTACAGTATAAGAACTAAAATCACTGGTAAGACAATCGGTAAAGTGGCAAAATTCTTTCAGATGAGCACCTCTTTATTGTACATGCAGCAGAAAAGAAAATGTTCACAATTATCTTTCATGAAATTATAAAAGGCACTAACTGAAAGATATGTTAAATACTGAAAAGCCAACATACATTTGAGAGAAAAATTACATCACCATTAATCAAGTCAGTCTATTAAAAGTGTTTTAGTAAAACCTACTTCCAGCAACAGACAGTGTAGTAGTTGAACTCTGTCCAGTTCCTACACTGTTGGTGGCAAAACATGTGTAAGTTCCTACATCACTTTGTGCTGCATTAAATATGGTTAGAGATGGCGTGCTGGTCGTACTGCCACTGTATTTATTTGTGTTAAATGAGGATGTGATGGTTGTTACTGTACCACCAACATTTCTCTGCCAGTAAACATTATTGACAGTTAGTGTAGAGGTCACAGTACACACCAAGGTTACAGAGCTACCAGTAGTAACAGAATAGGATGGTTGTTGAACTTGAACAGTTGGTACAGCTATATTTAATAATAATACCATGTTAATATATCAGTGCATGATTTGACATTGTAAATAATTGAAGAGGTACATAAGGAGACTCAAAGAAATCAAATGTCATTTCAAACAGACCCTTTTTTTTCTAAAATTCAATTTCTATTAAAAATTCAAGTTTTTTTAACTTATTTATCCTCTTAGCAATGAAAGTTATTAGGTGTAGGTGAGTAATCAGTAAAACTATTAAATAAAATAATACTGTACATTATATAAAACACTTACTTCCAGTAACAGACAGTGTAGTAGTTGTACTCTGTCCAGTTCCTACACTGTTGGTGGCAAAACATGTGTAAGTTCCTACATCACTTTGGTCTGCATTAAAGATGGTAAGGGAGGGTGTGCCGGTAGTACTGCCACTATATTTGTTGGTGTTGGTTGTAATTTGTGTTATGCTTCCACCAATATTTCTTTGCCAGTAAACGCTGGTGACAGTAAGTGTAGATGTTACAGTACACACTAAGGTCACAGAGCTACCAGTGGTGACTGAATATGATTGTTGTTGAACTTGAACTGTTGGTACAGCTAAAATGAAACATAAAAACATTATTGATCACAGATCTTTTACCACTGTTTATTTTGAATTATCTTCATACCTTTGACTGACTGATAAAAACTGAAATGTCAACGAATATAAAATTAAGGAGTTGTGGTGTGATTGCCAATTAGACAACTACCCACAAAAGTTTAAATGAAGTATATGTTAGAAATTAAAGGCAACTGTACAGCCTTCAACAATTAGAAAAACCCATACCTTATATTCAGCTATAAAAGGCACCAATATCAAATATATGAATCAATTCAATTAAGAAAACTAATGGCATAATTAATAACAAAACAATTTTCGAAAAAACAAATATGACAGACATGAACTAATGACAACCACAGAACTACAGGCTCTTGACTTGGGACAGGCTGAGGAGGGTAAATTTGACTACAGAACATTTCAAACAATATAATATATCTTTGTAGTACAAATCATTATTTTCTTTGGATGGAATAAAACTAAAACGTCAGTGGCAGCTAAATGACATTTTCCAGTTGTCAAACAACTTGTATTTTCACAAAAAACTCTTACAGACATATTTCTTAACTTAAGGGTCCATGCAAAATTGCAGAAAACTTAGGATTGGTGAACTGACTGGCACAAACCTACAGTTCACATTGGATTTGCTGGTAGGTGACAATAATTGTAAATCACTGTACTTATTATTGAGAAATGAGGGATTTAACATTCAATCACTTTGCAAAGATTTTACAGCAGAAACCCTTGAACAAAATTAAAAAAAAAGTATGGATAGAATTTAACAATTTGTTTGGAGGGGAAAAAATGGAGACAGCCTCTCTGTATTTTCAATATTTCCAAAAAAATATAAAAATTGGTATAGTCAGATTAAAGAATCTTCTCTGAATTGAATACATTTATAATTTGAAGACTCTACATGGTGATTTCTCCTGTACTTAATAAATAGTTTAGCTCTGTTTTTAATTTGAGTAAATGTTCGTTAGTTGGCTGGAAAAGCATATATAATTGTAAAATTAGGCAATTTGAAACATGGTTTGTAACAATGCACACCAAGTAGGACTTTATCCAATCTAAGGAGTAGAAGCAGTCACCCGAATTAAAGGCCCAGTAAAGATGAATTTTTAAACTTTAGTTGTTTTAGTAAATCTAATGTGTTTGAATTGCTCAATGTATTATTTTTGAAAGAATGATAAAAAAAATTGTATGTCTGCTTCAAACATTATAAATATTTTAACCTGAAATAGGAAATGATTTCATTTTAGTTAGTTTTTCCTGAAATAGTCACCTTCATCACCTCGCCCATTGAAAGTTTGGTTGGAAAATAAAGAATATGGTATATAAAGAATATTTTGGTAATAATATTTGTTGGTTAGGAGTGACACCACTCTTAATTTTGCAACTGTCAAAACTTTTGCGGAATTGTGCTGAAAATCAGGTTTTAATGAGTTGCCTATATTTATGCCGTCACAAATACATCACTAATGATGCAATTGGTGAAAAATCTTCTCTTTCTGACACAATTGGACATTTTAACATCAAGTTTTTACAACATTATCGCAGTTTAAAAAAAATAAGATTTTAGGGCCAAAATTATTGGTTAGTGAATCAACTCCTTTCAAATGTTCAGGAAGATTCAAACCAAAAGATTTTCAAAAAGTACAGGATGATCAACAGGCAAACAATTGACCCTAAAAATATCAATGGCTAAAATGGACCATGTGGGTACAATCTAAGGAATGGTACAAAACTGCTGAAAACAAATGGGTTTATTTTGTTTTCTATTCAATGCAATTAAACTGGCACAGGCATGTAACTTTCCTGAATGCACATTTACTGGAGCTTTAGAAAAGAAAAAAAAAAGTTGGATATTTTTAGACAAACAATAACTACTTCATTAAAAATTTCAAATTTTGTCATACGAATACACAGATCTCAAATCTGTAACCTCAATCTGAAACTTCCTTTTTTCTCTTTTTTTTTCAAAGATATCATCATTCTAAATTATGAAATTGGCACAAAAATGGAACTGACCATAAATGATAGAATTTTATTGTCAGAGGTATCTGTTAAACTTGTCTCAACATAATCTTTAATATATTAAAAGAATTTTGTAAGTCAAAAGACCATGCCTGAAAGGGCAGCAGTAAAATATTTCAATGAAAACTTGATCTTATCTTTCATGAAATTATAAAAGGCATGAAAGATATGTTAAATACTGAAAAGCCAACATACATTTGAGGAAAAATCACATCACCATTAATCAAGTCAATCTATTAAAAGTAAAACCTACTTCCAGTAACACCCAGTGAAGTAGCTGAACTCTGTCCAGTTCCTACACTGTTGGTGGCAAAACATGTGTAAGTTCCTACATCACTTTGTGCGGCATTAAATATGGTTAAAGATGGTGTGCCAGTTGTACTGCCACTGTATTTATTTGTGTTAAATGAGGATGTGATGGTTGTTATGGCACCACCAATGTTTCGTTGCCAGTAAACATTATTGACAGTTAGTGTAGAGGTCACAGTACACACCAAGGTTACAGAGCTACCAGTTGTAACAGAATAGGATGGTTGTTGAACTTGAACAGTGGGTACAGCTATAATTAATAATAATACCATGTTAATATCTCATTTCATGATTTTACATTGTAAATAATTGAAGAGATATATAAGAAGGCTCAATGAAATAAAATGACAATTCAGTTATAGAACCATTTTCTTTTTAAATTCAATATATTATTAAAAAATTCTAGTTTTTTTAACTGATTTATCCTCTTAGCAATGAAGGTCGTTAGGTAAAAAACAGAATGCACATTTTGAAGGTAAGTAATCAATAAAACTATTTTTTCATATGTATCTCCTGTGAAAATGTTATTAACACTAATAACATAAATAAAGGTTTATAACTGTATAAAGAAAAAAAAGTTTAGCATGCTATATGAAACCATATAATGCATATTAAAAATAATTCTAGAACGAAAATTGCAATAATAAGCAAAATCTAGAGGCTAAAAGAGCCTGTGTCGCTCACCTGCATCTGCAACAAAGGCCACTTTTGGTAAAAATTATTAGTTAAAGGGCCATAACCTTATAAAGAGTTAACTGACAATTTCAGTCATGTTGACATATGTGTAGATATTGTCTAAGTTATCATGAAAAAAATGGCTAAAATTATGATTAAAGTGCAATAACTCAAATAACAAGTCAACTGCAGATTTCAGCCATACCTTTTTTTAGTAGATCTTGTCTTGCTGATCAATTTTGCTATTTAAAGTTTTTATCTTTCTACTTTTGTTTTCAAGATAATAGGCAAACATGCAAAATATTGGGGAAAATCTTCATTAATGGGCAATAACTTCAATAACGAGTCGACTGACAATTTCAGTCTTGTTGACTTATATGTAGATCCTGTCTTCTTGATCAATTTGGATTATAAAATTTCTATCTAAATATTACAAATTTTAAAATAATAGGTAAAAATTAAAAGAAATTGAGAAAATCATAATTTAAGGGCAATAACTGCAATAAGGAGTAGATTGGAGACTTCGATTATGTTTGACTTATTTGTAGATCTTTTCTTGCTGATCATTTTTGCTATTTAAAGTTTCTGTCTATCTATTATAGTTTTCAAGATAATAGGCAAAATTGAAAAACTAGAGGCTTTAAAGAGCCTGTGTCGCTCACCTTGGTCTATGTGCATATTCAACAAAAGATACTCTCCAACATTGTAGACAAGAACAAAATTCATGACAAAAATCTCTGTTTTGTTGATCTTGTATTGCTGATCATTTAGTCTGTTAAGTGTCCCTCTATCTTCTTTAGTTTTCGCTCAAAACACATAAGAGGGTAAAAAAAAATCCTCATTTAAGGGCAATCACTCCTATAAAGAGTGACAGTCTACTAACTATATTGGCAAAATTTGACTTGTTAGTAGATCTTGCCTTGCTGATCATTTTTGTGATTCAAAGTGTCTATTTATCTATATTAATTTTTAACATACAAGGCAAAATGCAAAAAAAAATGGTAAAAATCGTCAATAAAGGGCAATAACTCTGATAAGCAGTTGTAGGACGATTTCCTCCATATTGTCTTAATTGTAGATCTTGTCTTGCTGATCCTTTTTGCTTATTTAAGTTTCTATCTATCTATTATAATTTTTAAGATATAAGGCAAAAACACCAAAAAATGGTAAAAATCGTCATCAAAGGGCAATAACTCTAATAAGGAGTCAACTGAAGATTGCGGCCATGTTGACCTATTTGTACATGTTGTCTTGCTGAAAATTTTTGCTTCGTCAATGCTGTGCTTAAGATGATCTGACAACTCTTTGTTCTTCTTTCTGTCCTTGTATTTATTAAATCAGCCAATGAAATTTCAGCCTTTAAATTTTGGAAAGTGTGTATGATCAAGACTAAACCAAAGAATCACGAAAGGTCTACAAAACATCAGTAGAAAAGAGCGCTGTCAGATCCTAGTAAGTGAATAGCGGACACAGGATCACTTTTCTTTTTATCAGGTTGAAACAAGAGTGCACACGCTGAAATGTCTCATCTACTATACTGACCATTGATTTTATGTTGATAGTCATACATATAAAGTTTTACTACAAGTATCACATTAACATTTATGATCCAAGAAATGAGGTCAAGGTCAGATAAACCAAGCCAGACATACATGTACACCTTTATTATTCATTCCATACACAGAATATAGATATTGACCAATGAACCATGAAAATGAAGTCAAGGTCAGATGAACCCTGCCAGACAGACATGTACACCTTTAAATCATTCCATGATTCAAATATAGTTGACCTATTGCTTATAGTATCTAAGAAACAAAGTTAACCGGGAAAACTGAACATTGACCAATGAACCAGGAAAATGAGGTGAAGGTCAGATGATACCTGCCAGACAGACATACACACCTTACAATCATTCCATACACCAAATATAGTTGACCTTTTGCTTAATGTTTAAGAAAAACAAACCAAAACACAAAAACTTAACATTGAGCAATGAAGCATGAAAATGAGGTCAAGGTCAAATAAAACCTGCCAGACTGACATGCACATTGTTCAATATTTCCATACACCAAATATAGTGACCTACTGCATACAGTATTAGAAAAATAGACCAAAACGCAAAAACTTAATATTGAGCAATGAACCGTGAAAATGAGGTCAAGGTCAAATAAAAGCTGCCAGACTGACATGTACACCGTAAAATATTTCCATACACCAAATATAGTTGACCTACTGCATACAGTAAAAGAAAATAGACCAAAACACATAAACCTTAACATTGAGCAATGAACCGTAAAAATGAGAACAAGGTCAAATAAAAGCTGCCAGACTGACATGTACATCGTTAAATATTTCTAAACACCAAATATAGTTGACCTACTGCATATAGTATTAGAAAAACAGACCAAAACACAAAAACTAACCTATTACCACTGAACCATGAAAATGAGGTCAAGGTCAGATGACACCTGCCAGTTGGACATGTACACCTTACAATCATTACATACACCAAATACAGTAGACCTATTGCTTATAGTATCTGAGATATGGACTTGACCACCAAAACTTAGCCTTGTTCACTGATCCATGAAATGAGGTCAATGTCAAGTGAAAACTGTCTGACAGGCATGAGGACCTTGCAAGGTACGCACATACCAAATATAGTTAACCTATTACTCATAATAAGAGAGAAATCAAGATTACAAAAAATCTTAACTTTTTTTTTTTTTCAAGTAGTCACTGAACCATGAAAATGAGGTCAAGGACAACGGAATGACAGAAACTTCATATCATGAGACATCTATATACAAAGTGTGAAGCATCCAGGTCTTCTACCTTCTGAAAAATCAAGCTTTTAAGAAGTAAGTTAACGCCGCCGCCGGATCACTATCCCAATGTCGAGCTTTCTGCGACAAAAAAGTCGCATGCTCGACAAAAATGAGAATGAAAATATCTAAATAGACTCAAATTTTAAAGTGAGGCAAATATCTAGCATACAACAAACTTTGGAAACCTTCAGAAGCACAATTCAAAAAAGGTTTATAATTTTTATTATCCAGGAACATAATTAGCAGCAGTCCTGCTCAAGGTTAATCTAAAAAAAAAAGGCCTCAGACTCACCCTATTTATATAATGTTATTTTCTTAAAAAAGTAAGTTGTGAGATTCCGTCAACACTGTCTAAAATTTATTGGAAAGGTTAAGCATCAGATACAACATTATTTGCTTATCAAAAGACTAGGGTTATATAACAAAAAAATAATGTGATAATAATAAATCAAATTATTGAATGGTTTATCATGCAAAAGCTGATTTTCCATAAAACTAACCAATTGCTAGAATCTAATTATATGAGCATTAAGCATTGCTGATTATTGAATATAACAAACATTATGGAAATTTCTTAGTGGCAAATTCTAATTTTACATTGACAAAAATATGGAAAATAAAACATCCTAAGTCATAAGTTAGTACAACCTAAGTACCAAAAATACCTAAATGAAGAAATACGGACCTACATGTTATAATCATCATTTTTGAGAGAAATGTAACAGATGGTTACTCTTTTAAAAGATGCCTCTTCTCAGGTACAAAATTTATATTGCTATAAAGAATAACAACACCTACTTCCAGTAACAGACAGTGTAGTAGTTGTACTCTGTCCAGTTCCTACAATGTTGGTGGCAAAACATGTGTAAGTTCCTACATCACTTTGTGCTGCATTAAAGATGGTTAGAGATGGGGTTGCAGCAGTACTGCCATCATATTTGTTAGTGTTTGTTGTTGTTGAAATGGTTTCTATGATACCACCAACATTTCGCTGCCAGTAAACATTAGTTACAGCAAGGTTAGATGTCACAAAGCACACCAGGGTGACAATGTTGCCAGTTATAGCAGAATAAGATGGTTGTTGTATCTGAACAGTGGGCACAGCTACAATAAAGCACAGGTTAATCCAAGCATTATCAGATGGGAAACCCTATAGCTTACTATGCAAGTTCCTTTAAATAAGCAAACTTTTCTAATCCTTTTTCTATATGCTGAACAACCTATATACTTGTTATAATTCTAAAAGTTGTCACAGCCAAAAAAAATGTTGCACATGCAAGGAGTGAGCAAGCTAGCAGCTAATAATAACAATATTAAAGCAAAGAAAAATACTACAAAAACACTACTAGATGGTGGAATCTAAACTAAGGCATACTGTATTTTGTGGGGTTTTCTATTTATATTATTATTGTTATTTTTTTTGCAGAAACTTTGATGTAAAAATTAATTTTTGGTGTTTGTAATTTTCAATGATGTAAATTTTTAGCACTTTTGCAGATATTTATTTTCACAAATTAAAACAAAAATTTCATATTATGCATTTAGAAAATTCTTCCCCTAAAAGGAAATAAGCACCAATGACTTTAATGGTAAATCCTCCAAATTATTAGCTCTTAAAGTTAACACATGTCACTTCTACTTTGATAACTACAAAACTCCATCATTATACAAAATTATTTTTATCATTGCTATAGATAAAATTAAAGAACCTATGAGAACAAGCTCACAAGACCCCCTAAAGCATTAAGATTGAATACCTCCCACACAAACTTTCTTTTTATTATAATTATTCTATTATCTAAACACATCCAAGGTTTTTGTAAGAGTAGAATTTCATATAAATTCCAAGTGATCAGTAGAAAAAATTCAATAAAAGTATGTTTTTTAACATAAAGTCTTTTCTCTTCCTATCTGTGACTATTTTAAAATCTTAAAATACCATGATAAAATACATTTCAAGTAATCAACTCTAAACGTTAAATAATTCTATTACTTAATTCCATAGCACTTCAAATATTTACCAAAACATTCTTATTGTACTAAAAATATGTAATGCACATTTCTAGAAGTTAAAATCAATCTCAAATAAAATGCTTCGCTGAGTGCAGCTGGATACAATCGCAGAGGTCCAACCCTGAACAGTTGGGGCGAAAATGGACACAATATTCGCCCGCGATACAGGTCTGAATTTGGATTGTAATTAAATATTTGACACATAATAGGTTTCTGACACCGAATAACTGTAGTCAAAGAACTAAGAATTGGTTATATGATTTGAATTTATATTCAATTTTTTGCTTTTGTGCAATACACTATGCTGTTGCAAATTGACCCCCCACCCAACAAAAAAAAAAAAATTTACCCCCCCTTTTTTTTGCTTTTGTGAAATACACTATACTGTTGCATATTGCGTATCGACACCCCCCTTCAAAAAATTTTTTTGTTTAACCCACACACCCCCCCCCCCCCCCCCCACCTTTTTTCTGCAAAAAAAAAAATTTTTGAAGAAATTCTCTTTTTAATTTCTGAAATCTGAACAAAATTGCCCCTCACAATTTCTTTTTTACCCCCCTCCCTTTATTGGCCCCTTTTTGGCCCATAATTCCTTAACTGTTGGTACCATAACCCCCAAAATCAATCCCAACCTTCCTTTTGTGGTATTGAACCTTATGGTAAAATTTCATAGAGATCCATTCACTTAAAACTAAAGTTATTGTGCGAAAACCAATGTGTCTTCGGACGACGACAACGATGACAACGTCATACCAATATACGACCGCAAAATTTTTGGCATTTGTATAAAAATAATTCACAAGTACTGAATTTCCTATATATATAAAAGACATTTCTGAATTTATATCTTCATGAAATATGCCGATTCTGCACATAGTAGTTATTACAGTTGTTGCTAACCATAACTCTTAAATATCTTATTCCAAAGAGCTCTGTTAACACTATTTGACAATGTCAAAAATAGAAAAATCCGACCTAGATATTGTAAGAAGCAATGGTGTCCAGTTTAATTAATACAGATTTTTTACTGTTGATTTCCTGTTATAAAAATTGAATTAAGCACATGAATATTTTAAATAACATCAATCTCGGATCTGAAAGAGGGAAAGACATAATACTTTTAAATGTTAGTTTGAAAAGACAGTTAAATAAAGTAAATACAAACTCATTAAAGAAACCAGACTACTAAGCATGGATCTGAGAGAGGGAAAGACATAATACTTTAAAATGTTAGTTTGAAAAGACAGTTAAATAAAGTGAATACAAACTCATTAAAGAAACCAGACTACTAAGCATGCAAATCTTTCAAACCACTATTATAAAATAACACCTACTTCCAGTAACAGACAATGTAGTAGTTGTACTTTGTCCAGTTCCTACACTGTTGGTAGCAAAACATGTGTAAGTTCCTGCATCACTTTGGTCTGCATTAGATATGGTTAGAGATGGTGTGCTGGTCGTACTGCCACTATATTTGTTGGTGTTGGTATTGGGTGTAATTTGTGTTATGGTACCACCAACATTTCTTTGCCAGTAAACATTATTGACAGTAAGTGTCGATGTCACAGTACAAAATAAAGTTACAGAGCTACCAGTGGACACTGAATAGGATGGTTGTTGTACACTAACAGTTGGTACACCTTTAGAAAAATAAAATGTACAAGTGTCAGAACTATAGAAAGCAACACAAATAAAAAAATATGTCAAATACATGACCCATTCAAGATTAAAGCACAACCCTTAAAACATTCAGTGAATTTCAAATCAAAAGAATCAATTGTTCCAATTTTGGAAGTAGTAAAATAGAATGATTAAAAATAATTTTGCTTTGTTCACGCATCGTTGTCAATATAATGAAATTTGATGCAACTGTCATACAAGTGAGAGGTTTAGCTAGCTATAAAACCAGGTTAAATCCACAATTTTCTACATAAGAAAATGCCTGTACCAAGTCAGGAATATGACAGTTGTTATCCATTCGTTTGATGTGTTTGAGCTTTTGATTTTGCCATTTGATTAGGGACTTTCCTTTTTGAATTTTCCTCGGAGTTCAGTATTTTTGTGATTTTACTTTTATATATATTATAAACAGTTTTTTTTTTTAAGTGAATTTAATACTTGGAATAAATTATGAACTCTATTTACTGAATAGTGTTAAAAACAATATATATACCATCAGTGTTTAAAAAATATTACACTTATCAAAGATATTCCACCCAAAAATGGTGTATGTTAATGTCTAATGCATAAAGGAAATACAACTATAATTCATTAATCTTTTTCAAAGCCAAATTACTAACTTTTCATTTTCAATTAAAAAAAAACCACTTGAATCACTCACAACAGTTATAGTTCCATGGACACTTTTGGTGTTCCATTGATACCGTGCAGCACAACTATCATAATTTGTTAATTAAATCTCTTGTTAGAAAGTTAAAAAAAAAATTGATAAGTTTTAAATTACAATAACAACGACAATGTCAACACATCTGCCTCAATACCGAATTTTCCAAATAGCAAAAACATCAAGACAACCAATGATGAGGTTCCTAACTAATTCTGTTGGAAAAATGTGGGGGAGGGGGGGAAGTTATTTATTCTTATACTGAAAAAAAAAAATTCTCAAAGGGAAATGGAAGCTTTCATTAATGAATTGAATTCTTATACCACAAAGCAAAACAACTTCTGTAAAAAAAAAATGGTCAAACAGTATATTTTCATTTTTTTTTGTAAAACTCACATTCTCTGAAATGACAATAATTTGGAATTAATAATTTTCATAATTAGCAATGACAGTTAAAATAGGACTACAGTATTATTAAAAAAACATTTTACCAGATGTATATTTAATTAAGATAGTAATTATGTATAAAATGTGAATTGCCATTTAGTTAGGTTATGTCAGAAGTGATATAAAGACAACAAATGACAATGTGAGATTGTATAAGGTGATTCATATGTTTGTTATTTTTATAAAAAGAGTTAGTATTTTTTTAATGTTGATAACATCAATTGTGCATTTGCTTACTCTGTGCCAGTACTGTAACTCTTGTGTCTATATTACTCTGTCCAGTTCCTGCACTGCTGACAGCAAAACAAGTATAATCACCAGCATCAATAATGTCAGCATTAAATATGGTTAATGCAGGATTTGATGTGGTACTACCAGAATATTTATTGTTAGGATTATTTACAGTAGGGTTTATAGTAGTTATAGCACCATTTGAGTTTCTCCTCCAGTAAACAGACGTTAGTGCCAGATTGGAGGATACAGTGCAATCAAGTGTTACAGAGTTTCCTTGCACCACATTAATGGCACCATTGAGTATGGTTACAGTTGGTGAATCTGGAAACATATTGTAAGTACAAAGGTATGTCTGTAAACATTAAATTCAATCATTAATACAACATAAAAGGTTTTATGCAACAACTGAATACCATTAAGACCTTAATCTTGAAGACATTTTTTTTTAAATTGTGTGTTAACTGTCACCTCAATTTAAGATTTAAAAATGCTTAGCAAATAAGTTTCAAAACATGTGAAAACCACTGCATTTTAATGTTGAATTCAATTTTTGTATGATAAGTTCTATGTCAATGCAAAAAGAATTCTTTAAGGGACAAAGCTAAATTTTAATTGAGGTTTTTGTAACAGCAAGTAACTTTTTTACAATAGCCCATTTGCATTGAGTATATTGAAAGGTGCAATATATTACAAAATACAAATTTTGTTAATATTTTTTTAAATGCTTAAAACAGACACTTGATAACCTCAGTTGTTGCAAGAGGATGTAATAACAAATTGTGCAAAAAAGGACGGTCAAATAATAAAGGGAATTAAAGTCTGTTCCACTTTTGATTTACTAAAGAATAGTACATCTAAACAAACAAACAAAAATCATAATTCACAAATCTCAGCAAAACTTTTGTGAAATTTATAGCAAATGGAACAAAGAATAAAACTGTTTCTTCATTAATTTCAAAGTATGCCCAATAATTACTTCTTTGAGGAATATACTGTAGTTTCCTGTAATAATGTTCAATAAACATTACTGATTATTTTATGTTGTTTTGGTTTTGTATTTTTTTGAAAAATGTTGCATTTACCTCATAGAAGTACTAACTGGGCATGCTCAAAAATGTATGAAAGGGTTTTATAACAGTAAAATTCTGTGCACAAGGAAGGAAAGAATATAATAATAAGACAGTCATAAATAGTGTGAAATAATAATACATTTGTTTAAAACTTTCATAAAAAAGACATGTTAACAGGGAATATCATTAATTAGAACAAGATAAAGATATGTCCCTTTCATCATTTGTTTCTTTTTCCTTTTTCTTAACTTTTACCCAGTATCCTAAATAATTATAAATATTTTATCATTTTTCAATTAATTGCTGTAATATTTTTTCCAATATTATTATTACCAATTAAGGAATGACTGTAATATTTTTTTTGTCTATGAAGAAATAACATCAAAAATGTGGTGCACACTGGAAAACAAGCGTAGCGGGTTATTTAACAGTGTGCACCACATTTTTTGAGGTTATTTCAAATAGAGAAAAAAAATATTACAGTCCTTTCTTATAATTTAATTCTAAAATCCGTTTTTAAGGAGTAAATCATGAAAAAACGTTGATGACATCATGGTTACATGACAAATAAATTTATGTCAATGAGCTGATAGAAAAAAAACTTTCAACCAATCAGAAGACAAGTTACATCCAAAATTAAATTACATGAAAATAATCATAAATAAAAGACAGGAAGGAACTGTTATCAAGTTACAAACATTAATTGTTTTGAACTCTGAAAACACATAATTCTAAGAAAACCATGAGCAAAGGCTACTGCAAAAAAAAACTACTTAAGAACCAAATAAGCATGCTTTGATCTTTTGGACAGTTGAGTTCAAAATACATGAGGCAAATATTTAGGGAAAATGATATTTTGTTACATTTCTTTTAATGTTTGTTTATACAAAAAGTGACTATAAACAGCAAAATATAAAATATTTAGATATCCTTGAAGTTAAAGGTCAATATCACAATTCCACCAATAAATAATTTATACTTTATAAATAATTATTCTGAAGCAAAAGAAAAATAAAAGGAAATTCAATGCACTAGCTGAACACTTGGTTTTAGATCATAAATGAAAAGGTAATTGTTATAGACGAAAAGATTTAAAAACAGATGACATTAAATACTAAATTAAACATTAACAAATTCAGCAATTTTATCTCTTGTGAAATCATTATCAATGCTTTTAGTCTCATCTCAATTTCTTTAATATTCTATCATTTATAACTGGCCACCTTTGATAATGTTAAATTGTTAAAAATAAACACTTAAAAGCATTATCAACAACACCCTTACCATGACATGAGATTAAAAAAAAGCCATCACACATGTTTTAAGATTTTGACAACCTTCACAAATAAGGACCTTATTTTTTTTCCAAAATCAGATAACCGTTTATTCTAATGGTACTCATTACTACAACATCAAATAAATCTTGCAAATAAAATTTAAGAAATCTTATAATGAATAAGTCATTACAAAAAAAAAGCTAGCCTCCATTACCTTCCCCTAAAATACCATTCTTATAAAGCATTTTTGGAATCACTCCATCAAATTCAAGAACTGCCACAGGAGTCTTTCATATTAAAATCAGATCTTCAATTGCTCCTGGGGGCCTTTGTGGCTGAGTGGTCTAAGTAGTCGAACTGCAGTATCATTAGCCTGCCTGTGTCAACACCAAGCTTGTGAGTTCGAATCCCTCACATGCCAGGTGCGCTCGATTCCAATCTTAATTGACTAGGATTGTCAGTTTTCCTACCAAAGGTCAGCGGTTCTCTCCAGGAACTCTGGCTTCCTCTACCAATAACAACTGACCACCATAAAATAGCACAATAGTACTAAAAGTGGCATTAAACAACAATCAATCAATCAATTGCTTCTGCTTACTAATATCCAATGAGAGGTGCTAATAAAGTGACCTTTAAGTTAAACACCAAACCATCAACATCATTATCAATTTAAGCTAAAATCAAATTAACTAATAAACTAGTCTATTACATTTGAAAACAGAAACTTTTTATATCTTTTGCATAAATAAAGTCATTAAACAACACTGAAAAGTCAAGAGGATACCAATTAAATCAACAACAGCGTTGCCTGTGGTGGCCATGATTTTATGGTCAGATCATATGTTTTTGTATGTCATATGAATTCGTACTATGCATGCTTTTTCAATGGAAATTGTGACGTCACAATTCATTCTTAATAGCACAAAAACCAATGAGACGAGGATATAAACACAATAAATTTTATAAGATCCTTTCATAAATTATCCCTCCTATATGCAAAATCTAATTACAATGACGCACAACAATAGCTTGAAAATAAGACTTGTGGTCAAGTTGAGATGAAATATATATTTTTTTATTCTGCGGAACTGAAACTAATTTAATCATCTTAGTGAACAAAATGACCTTTGATTCTTTTCAAATGATATTGTAGTGCATAAAAGGATAAAATGAGAAATTCAGTACTAAATATAGATAAGACAGAGAACTACTTTTAAACATAAAATAATACAGAATAAATAACAAAATTACTTACTATTTGAGGTAACAGACAGACTTGCTGTGTTAGCACTTTGTCCTGTACCAGCACTGTTTGAAGCAAAACATCTATATGTTCCAGCATCATTTGAATCTGTATTGAATATGGTGAGTGATGGAGTAGATGAAGTACTGCCGCTGTATTTGTTGGTGTTGGTAGTGGATGTAATTGTAGTGATAGCACTGTTGACTGTTCTCTGCCAGGTAACACTTGTTACAGTTGTAGTGGATGACACAGTACATGCCAAAGTCACAGAACTTCCTGAATTGACTGAGTAGGATGTCTGCGTAATGGTAACTGTTGGAACAGCTGTAACCGAAAGAAAAAAATATTTTTATAGGAATTTTTGACACTGTGAACTTAAGTTTTTTTTGGAGTTTGGACATTCAAAAAATGGCCTCTGATAGATGTGTATTTATCTGACACAATAAATTCTGAAAGATACTTTAATTAGTGGTAATTATCCCACCAACTTTTTTTAGACTGCAAAATAGAATTTCATAGAAAATGAAAATGTGCAAAATCTAAATACAATGACACACAACAATAGCTGGAAAATAGACTTTTGGTCAAGCTGAGATAAAATATTGTTTTAAATTCTACTGAACTGAAACTAATTAAATCATTTTACTGCACAAAATCACCTCAATTTCTGTTTATAATGCTGTTGTAGTGCATAAAAGTATAAAATGAGAAATTTCAGTACTAAATCTGGATACTATAAATTTAGAATTTATTGCAAGATTTTTATTAATGCCAATAATGCAACTGGGTGATGATCTCAATTAATAAGAACTCACATTATGATATTTGTTACATATATCTGTATGCAGATTTTCCTTAAATCGCATTAATTAATCTCACATTTTTGTCCATTCTTCAAAAATCGCAATAATTTCTGAATTTTACAGTAAAAGAGTGCTACTTTTAGACATAGAATAATACAGAATAAATATCAATATAATGTGAATAATGCGACTGGGTGATGATCGCAATAATAAGAACTCGTGCTTTGATATTTGATACATATATCTGTATGCACTTTTTTTTCCTAAAATCACAATAATTAATTGAGCATTTTGTCTATTCTTCAAAAATCACAATAATAAGTGCACGCAATATTTTGGGAATTTACAGTAATAGAGTGCTATATGCTATTTCGAGACGTAAAATAATACAGAATAAATATTAACATTACTTACTATTTGTGGTAACAGACAGACTTGCTGTGTTAGCACTCTGTCCTGTTCCAGCACTGTTTGAAGCAAAACATCTATATGTTCCAGCATCATTTGAATCTGCATTGAATATGGTGAGTGAAGGAGTAGATGAAGTACTGCCGCTGTATTTGTTGGTGTTGGTATTGGATGTTATTGTAGTGATAGCACTATTGACTGTTCTCTGCCAGGTAACACTTGTTACAGTTGTAGTTGACGATACAGAACATGCCAAAGTCACAGTACTTCCTGAATTGACTGAGTAGAATGTCTGTGTAATGGTCACTGTTGGAACAGCTGTAACAGAACATACAATTTATTTTTATAGGAATTTTTGACACTGTGTGAAATAAAGTTTTTATGGAGTTTTGACATTTAAAACATGGCCTCTGATAGATGTGCTTTTATCTGACATAATAAATTCTAAAAGATTCATTCATTACTGGTAATTATCCCACAAAGTTTTGTTTAGACTGCCAAATAGAATTGAAAAGAAAAAGAAAAAGTGCAAAATCTAATTCGATGACACACAACAATAGCTGGAAATAGACTTTTGGTCAAGCTGAGATAAAATATTGTTTTAATTATGTACTGAACTGAAACGAATTAAATCATTTTACCACACAATATCATCTCAATTTCTGTTTATATAGCTTTTGTGCAGAAAAGGATCAAATGAGGCATTTCAGAACTAAATCTGGATACCATCAATTCAGAAATTATTGCGAGGTTTTTAATAATGTGAATAATGCGACTGGGTGATGATAGCAATAATTAGAACTCACGCTTTGATATTTTATACATATATCTGTATGCACTTTTTTTTCCTAAAATCCCAAAAATTAATTGAGCATTTTGTCCATTCTTCAAAAATCACAATAATAAGTGCACGTAATATTTTGGGAATTTACAGTAATAGAGTGCTATATGCTATTTCGAGACGTAAAATAATACAGAATAAATATTAACATTACTTACTATTTGTGGTAACAGACAGACTTGCTGTGTTAGCACTTTGTCCTGTTCCAGCACTGTTTGAAGCAAAACATCTATATGTTCCAGCATCATTTGAATCTGCATTGAGTATGGTGAGTGAAGGAGTAGATGAAGTACTGCCGCTGTATTTGTTGGTGTTGGTATTGGATGTAATTGTAGTGATAGCACTATTGACTGTTCTCTGCCAGGTAACACTTGTTACAGTTGTAGTTGACGATACAGTACATGCCAAAGTCACAGTACTTCCTGAATTGACTGAGTAGAATGTCTGTGTAATGGTCACTGTTGGAACAGCTGCAACAGAACAAAACATTTATTTTTATAGGAACTTTTGACACTGTGTGAAGTAAAGTTTTTTGGAGTTTGGACATTCAAAACATGGCCTCTGATAGATGTGCATTTATCTGACACAATAAATTCTAAAAGATTCTTTCATTACTTGTAATTATCACACAAAGTTTTGTTTAGACTGCCAAATAGAATTGAAAAGAAAAAGAAAAAGTGCAAAATCTAATTACAATGACACACAACAATAGCTGGAAATAGACTTTGGTCAAGCTGAGATAAAATATTGTTTTAATAATGTACTGAACATAAACGAATTAAATCATTTTACCACACAATATCATCTCAATTTCTGTTTATATAGTTTTTGTGCAAAAAAGGATCAAATGAGGCATTTCAGAACTAAATCTGGATACCATCAATTCAGAAATTATTGCGAGGTTTTTAATAATGTGAATAATGCGACTGGGTGATGATCGCAATAATAAGAACTCACGCTTTGATATTTTATACATATATCTGTATGCACTTTTTTTTCCTAAAATCCCAAAAATTAATTGAGCATTTTGTCCATTCTTCAAAAATCACAATAATAAGTGCACGCAATATTTTGGGAATTTACAGTAATAGCATGCTATATGCTATTTCGAGACGTAAAATAATACAGAATAAATATTAACATTACTTACTATTTGTGGTAACAGACAGACTTGCTGTGTTAGCACTCTGTCCTGTTCCAGCACTGTTTGAAGCAAAACATCTATATGTTCCAGCATCATTTGAATCTGCATTGAGTATGGTGAGTGAAGGAGTAGATGAAGTACTGCCGCTGTATTTGTTGGTGTTGGTATTGGATGTTATTGTAGTGATAGCACTATTGACTGTTCTCTGCCAGGTAACACTTGTTACAGTTGTAGTTGACGATACAGTACATGCCAAAGTCACAGTACTTCCTGAATTGACTGAGTAGAATGTCTGTGTAATGGTCACTGTTGGAACAGCTGCAACAGAACAAAACATTTATTTTTATAGGAATTTTTGACACTGTGTGAAGTAAAGTTTTTTGGAGTTTGGACATTCAAAACATGGCCTCTGATAGATGTGCATTTATCTGACACAATAAATTCTAAAAGATTCTTTCATTACTTGTAATTATCACACAAAGTTTTGTTTAGACTGCCAAATAGATTTGAAGAGAAAATGAAAAAGTGCAAAATCTAATTACAATGACACACAACAATAGCTGGAAAATAGACTTCTGGTCAAGCCAATATAATTTATTGTTTTAAATTCTACTGAACTGAATTTAATAAAATAATTTTACTGCACAAAATCATCTCAATTTCTGTTCATAACGCTGTTGTGCAGAAGAGTATTAAATGGGTCATTTCAGAACTAAATCTTGATACCATCTATTCAGAAATTATTGCGATTTTTTTAATAATGTGAATAATGAGACTGGGTAATGATCGCAATAATAAGAACTCACGCTTTGATATTTCATACATATATCTCTATGCACATTTTTTCCTAAAATCGCAAAAATAATTAATTGAGCATTTTTGTCCATTCTTCAAAAATCATAATAATAAGTGCACGCAATATTTTTGGCATTTACAGTAATAGAGTGCTATATACTATTTCGAGACGTAAAATAATACAGAATAAATATTAACATTACTTACTATTTGTGGTAACAGACAGACTTGCTGTGTTAGCACTTTGTCCTGTACCAGCACTGTTTGAAGCAAAACATCTATATGTTCCAGCATCATTTGTATCTGTATTGAATATGGTGAGTGATGGAGTAGATGAAGTACTGCCGCTGTATTTGTTGGTGTTGGTATTGGATGTAATTGTAGTGATAGCACTATTGACTGTTCTCTGCCAGGTAACACTTGTTACAGTTGTAGTTGACGATACAGTACATGCCAAAGTCACAGTACTTCCTGAATTGACTGAGTAGAATGTCTGTGTAATGGTCACTGTTGGAACAGCTGCAACAGAACGAAAAAATTGCATTTTATAGGAATTTTTTACTTCGTGTGAAATGAAGTTTTTATGGAGTTTGGACATTCAAAACATGGCCTCTGGTGGATGTGTTTTTATCTGACAAAATAAATTCTAAAAGATTCTTTCATTACCGGTAATAATCCCACAAAGTTTTGTTTAGACTGCCAAATAGAATTGAAGAGAAAATGAAAAAGTGCAAAATCTAATTACAATGACACACAACAATAGCTGGAAATAGACTTTTGGTCAAATTAAGATAAAATATTGTTTTAATACTGTACTGAAACTAATTAAATCATTTGACTGCATAACATAACCTCTAATTCTGTTCATATTGTTATTTTAGTGCATAAAAGAATAAAATGAGGCATTTCAGTACAAAATCTAAATAAAATAGAGTACTACTACTAGATATAAAATAATACAGAATAAATATTAGCATTACTTACTATTTGAAGTAACAGACAGACTTGCTGTATTAGCACTTTGTCCTGTCCCAGCATTGTTTGTAGCCAAACATCTGTATGTTCCAGCATCATTTGAATCTGCATTGAATATGGTGAGTGAAGGAGTAGATGAAGTACTGCCGCTGTATTTGTTGGTGTTGGTATTTGATGTTATTGTAGTGGTAGAACCTCCGAGTGTTCTCTGCCAGGTAACACTTGTTACAGTTGTAGTGGATGATACAGTACATACCAAGGTCACAGAACTTCCTGAATTGACCGAGTAGGATGTCTGTGTAATGGTCACTGTTGGAACAGCTGTAAAAAATTAACAAAAATTGCTTTAAAACAAAAATTTTGACACTGAAAAATGAAGATCTTATAGAGTTGGGAGACTCAATACATCGCCTATCGAGGCCATGTTTTTATCTGACACAATAAATCATAAAGAACCTTTTATTACTGGTAATTAAATATATATAGTCCACCAATTTTTGTTTAGACTACAAGTAAGATTTCACAGAAAATGAAAATGTGAATAATCTAGTTACAATGACACACAACAATAGCTGGAAAATAGACTTGTGGTCAAGTTGAGATAAAAAAAAATATTTAAAATTCTACTGAACTGTAACTACCTAAATCATTTTACTGCAAAATATGACCTCTAGTTCTTCTTAAAATTTTAGTTTTTAGTGCACTGAAGGATCATATTAAAAAATTGATCTGAAACTAAAATGGCAATACTTCAACATGCAAATGATGCTATAACTTCAAAGTCAATAAACAATGACTGAAGGTGCAGAGGAACACAATCTCTGTGAGAATGAGAAATGCCAATGCTAATACAACTGTATACCAAATACCATAGACTTATTATAAGTGGTTCCCTTAAAACTGACCTAAACAAACATTTTAACATGTAAACTATGTATACTTTTCAAAATCAATGAACAATCATAATGAAGAGGGGGCATATAATCTCCATGGAAATGAGACCTGCAAATGATTATACAAATGCATACCAAATATCATTGTCTTACCATAAGTGGTTTACCTTAAACTGACTAAATCACAAACTTGGACATGGACACTAAGCACACATTTCAAGGTCAATAGATCATGAATGAGGGGGAGAGGCAAATAATCTCTCTTAGTAGGGGCAAGACTAAAAGCAGTAGGTACAACAATTTCACTATTAATAAATATATATTTGATTGATTTCATTCATATTCATTCAAAATAACTTTCTATTTCATATCTACTGTGTACTGATTCAATAAGATACAATTAACAAATACATAAGTACTATATATCTAGCATTTATCAATTTCTGCACTTTAATAATAAAAGACAAACTTGTTTTTTGTCAAATATGTGTCAAAGAAAGAATGCTGGCTTTTAAAATAATGCTTTATCTTCAATGACAAAACAGTAGTGTTAGATAGAACTGTAAAGCATGAAAAGGATTACCTTAACCACTGATGAAACTAGACACTATAATAATTGTACATGTTTATCTCTTATCTTTATCTGGATCTATGACAAACTTCACCAATGACCATTCCTAAAACTTATCAAATCTTTTCAATCTCATAGGTAAGACATCATTTAGCTTGGTTCTTTACAGGTTTTTTTTAGTTTTGAATTCTTTGCATTGTTAGCAGAGCAGAATTAAGAAATACTTCTGGCTATGGTGAGAGTGTTTCATTATTTTATTCCTACCAAGTTCATTTTTTAAACTAAATATAAAAAAGAAGATGTGGTATGATTGCCAATGAGACAACTCTCCACAACAAACCAAATGACACAGAAATTAACAACTATAGGTCACCGTACGGCCTTCAACAATGAGCAAAGCCCATACCGCACAGTCAGCTATGTAAGGCCCCGAAATGACAATGTAAAACAATTCAAACAAGAAAACTAACGGCCTAATTTATGTACAAAAAATGAACGAATAACAAATATGTAACACATAAACAAACAACACTGAATTACAGGCTCCTGACTTGGGACAGGTAAAGCTCTGTTGTAAAGATTTCCCATATGACTCAATGGGAGTGTATCCGACTTAAAAATGTCCAGCATTAGGTTGTCATGTTTAGAAAGATTTAGAGTTTAAGCTCCAGATGAAGAGGACAATTTTATCAATCTGAATAAAAATTGCCTATGGCAGCCACATTATTTCATCAATGACAAATTCTTGTAATTGACCTTACATATACTATTCTTTAATTTGCTTTGGCACAGCCATTTCAGAGAAAAAGATGAAAATGTGGTTTGGCAATGCAGTATTGAATCAATTGAAACCTATGTGGCATCATTGCCACCTTGTTTTCTTCTCAATCAGCATTAAATAAAAATATTTACCTTTTATAAATTAGTTTCAGAAGAGGATTATTTGAAGTTTACCAATCAGAATCACCATCTGCTTCTAGCAACTATTATTTTCATCCAAATGAAACAAAATGTGGAACATTCATTAAGTTTTGTATATGTGTTACCATTTGCATCAGCAATACCAATAACTGGTAATAGGGTATGATTATTAAAAATAAAAAAATATGACAAAGCAACTTCATAGCTAGTGGTCAACATTATTTATTTCACCATGACCTCCAATGTTGCAGGATGTTTTATCTTAATCTAAGATTTAATACATACTATTTGTAATAACATTCAGAGTTGTTGCTGTGGCACTTTGTGCAGTCCCCACATTGTTTGTAGCCAAACATCTATAGGTTCCAGCATCGCTTGAATCTGTATTGAATATGGTGAGTGAAGGAGTAGATGAAGTACTGCCGCTGTATTTGTTGGTGTTGGTATTGGATGTTATTGTAGTGATAGTACTTCCGACTGTTTTCTGCCAGGTAACACTTGTTACAGTTGTAGTGGATGATACAGAACATGCTAGTGTAATTGATCCTCCATTGTTTACAGAGTAAGATGTCTGTTGAATTGTCACAGTTGGGGTGCCTGGAGCTATAAATTAATAACAAAATGAAATCTTATTTCAAATGACACAGTTAGTATCATTTTTTTTAAATAAACCATACAATAATATGGGTCATTTTAAAAAAATGTTCAATTTTTTGAAATTGCAAAATCAAATAAAAGTTCCTAGTTTTAACAATCATCTTCATAAGAAAATCAAAACAAATATACTTCTTGATCACTATATAAATCTTTATGATGTCATACAAGAATATATTAAAACATTCTTTGACAGGTGGTGCAATATTTTGTCTATCCTGTTACCATTTTCAAAAGGAGTTTTGCACTATAAAGAAAAGATCTTGATAAAAATTTTAGCTTGTTTTTCATGAACTATAGTGGTTTTCTAGAACAAAACTTCTATTATTTTCCTTCTGTGTATTGATAGATTGTTTGTCAATTTTCCATGTTTAGTTCTATCCTGTTTCTGGTATTATCTATCCAGTTACCAAAAGCAGTATTACATGTTGTGTGTGCTAAATTGTCAAAGATAAAGGTGTTGTGACTTGTAAAGGAGTTCAAATAATCAAACATTTCATTATGTGTATAAAAATATATCTATATACTATATAAAACGCTTAGGTAAAAAATAGTTTATACTTTTACTGTAACCATAGTCACAGGATAGACAATTTATTATATTATGAACTGTATTGTGAAATAAATATTCCCTTTTTTGCAGTGACAATGTCAGTGACAATGTTTTTCTTTTTTTTTACAAGTATAATATTGTCTTTATTAACAAATTTGTTTGTAACAGCATAGACATGATAGAAGACTATGCACTCCTTTTTGTTTACTAAATTTCTTGAATTCTCTACAATTCTAAAAAAAAAAAAACTGTGATTTTTTGTTAATGTTGAAATAAACATATTCAATAGTTATCTATGTAAATAACGCAAACATTTAAATGAAATATATTTTAATTTCATCAAATAAGATGTAAATGGTGTTATTCAATTCTTGTTACGACTCTTAAATTCTACAAACATTCATTTCAACACTTAAAACAGTATTTTTCATTAAATTTTAGCAAAGGTGTACCGAAATTTTCTTTAAAATGACCTAGGAGGGAGGGTTGGCGCCTTCAAACATCTTTAACCCCATTACATTCTATATGTGCCTGCCCCAAGTCAGGAGCCTGTAGTTCAGAGGTTGTCATTGGTTCATGTCTGTCATATTTATTTTTTGTAAATTGTTTTGTTATAAATTAGGCCGTTAGTTTTTTCAATTGAATTGTTTCATATTTTTCATGTCGAGACTTTTATAGCCAACTATATGGTATGAGTTTTTATCATTGTTGAAGGCTATAGGGTTTTCAATAATTGCTTACATCCACTTCATTTAAACTTTGGTGGATAGCTGTCTCATTGGAAATCATACCACATCTCCTTATTTTCATATTGGAAAAAGAGAAATGTCTGCTTATTCATACATCATTGAGACACCAACCTAACAACACAAAAACTAAAAGACATCAAAAGGTCAACACAAAAACAAGAGAAGGGTTTCTATACAGAATGTCAAGTGTAAAAAAGTTGTTTATAATTAATAAAAAAATGTAAATAATCTGTCATCTCAGTCAGCACTGAAAATGATAAGGAGCTCTTTATTGCAACAGAAAGGAGAAAATTTTAAATCTGTATACATTCATATGCAAAAAGAATTCAATTTTGTTTTTATATAACCCTTATATAAAACCAAAATTCCTTTAAATATTTTCAATTGTTATATAATTGCAGTACATGTCATTCTAATAATAAACCTGAGAAAAAAATATATAGAACACATAAGTAAACTGTGAATTTTACTTATCATCTTTTCATTGATAAAAATATTTTAAAAAATCTATTATAACAGCAAATTTGCTTTTAAATTCATTTTTTTTCAAGGGGAAACAAATATCCTTTTAAAGGTTAAATCAAGGACAGACATGTTTAAGTTAGTACATAAGTCCTTGGTTACATAGACCATTGTAATTTCTAAAGAGTACTGTAAATTCAGAAATTATTGCATGCATTCAATTTGTAATTTCGACATGACAGACCAAAATGTGAGAATAATTATTGTTATTACAGGAAAAGCTGCAAACAAATATATGTGTCAGATTTTAGAATGTGAGTTCTTATTATTGCAAATCTAACACAATCGCATTATTCTCATTAATAAAAATCTGGCAATAATTTCTGAATTTACAATAAATATTTTTGCAATTATAAATAAATGGAGAATATGTCTATGGGCCACAGATGCCCCCGCTTGTAAAAATGCATGAGTCAACTTCCACATACAGATGCAGGATTCAAGTAGTTAGGACCGTT